GAGCGCTCGGCGAGAGCGATCAGCGCGTTCCACGTGCAGCTCATGTTCTGGCGACCGGCTGGCGACCAGCTGGCGAGCCGCTGGCCACCACGCACGGGTCTGGTCACCCAGTGACCAGACGCTCGCCAGGCGCTCGCTAGGTGCTGGCAATGGCCGGCAAGGACTCACCGGGCCCAAAAGTTTTTGCGACACACATGGCCGTACATAGCACCGCCACAGCTCGGATCGAGACTCACATATGGTCACACGAGCAGTCTGGAGCGTGTAAAGAGGGTAGAGGTGCCCATATGCGATGTGACAGAGGCTTTGTTGCATGAGCCTTCTGGGCTTGCCGTTCTGTAAGCTCAAAAGGGGTGAGAGAGGGCATTGTCGACCTCATTAATAGATTGTGAGGTAGAGTGCGAAGTAGAGTGTCCATGTACGCGGAAGATAGTTCAAGGACGACGTTCATTCGTCCCGACGAAGTGTTCGCAAGCCATATTCCTTCCATGTGTCATCCGATACAGCGGCGGGGCTGCGGAATAAAGGGTCTGTGCCCGCGCCTGTCTTTGGGAAGGCGATGACGTCGCGGATCGATGACGCATTGCAAAGCAGCGCAACCAGCCTATCGAATCCTATCGCCAGTCGTGAGTCAATGCTATCGGAAAGAGATGAAGGCAAAATGCGCAAACCTAAAGCAAGACCGCCGTGCGGGGGTGCGCCGCAGCGTAGCGCGTGTAAGAGGTGTCCAAACCGCTCGTTTTCGTTCTCGGAGAGCTGCACCGACATTGAGCTACAGGTCAACTACATGACCGGGGTACACGCACTTGGAGAATCTCGCTGAATATGTATTGTTGCATGTCAGCGTCATGTACTCGGACTGAGCCACCGCCAATTTCAACCCCGTTCAGAACGAGATCATAGTGCTGTCCTCGAACCTGCCCCGATGAGTATCAATATCATATAAGCGGCTCAGTCTGTCAAGGACCTACCGCAGCGTAGTCCCCAGAATAAAGCTTCGGGACGTCTTCTGCCATGGGTGCGGTGAACGGATGATGTGATGAACTCCAGCGTCCATGAGCGAGGAACTCCTTGTCGGCATCCGCCCGGGTGAACAATGGAAATTCGGTGACCCAGAGGAAACGAGGGGGCTGCTCCGCCGGCTTCCAAGTCTCTCGCTTTTCAGCTTCGTTTGCAATGCGTAGTCGTTGCCGACCCAGAGCTGTTGATCCACCCTGGAATCTCATCAGATTGTGTCAATGTCAACTCTGCCAGATGGTCTCACCTCCGATATCGTACGACGCCTAGCTAGGAAGACGATGTCGCCGGGGTTCAAAGTCGGTATGGAACTAGTGCTGAGATCGGTTTGATTGCCGGGCTCTTGCAGGTCGCGCAGGATAGGCAATTGAGTTACCCAGCTCATGTTACCGCCAACCTTGATCTGTGAGCGGACCTTGAATACTAGTCAGCATCGTGCCTTTGTCCTTGTGCAGCGCTCAACAGATTTCTCACCGTACCAGGCTCGAGCTCACACTTGCGCGCGGCCTTGAAGAACGTCTCCGAGTCATGGGGCACGACCATAAAGTCTAGAGCGTGGCCTGATGCATTCAAAGCGCTGGCGAGCTCGGATGGAAGCCACGAAGTAGCGTCTTGGATCTGGAGATTGGGCTTAGCATCGGCGAAGTCGGTATGCTCGGGATCACTGACCTCGAGCCCGAATCGTAAGTCCGGTTTATCCGAGCCATACTGTCAGGATCCGGTCATCAGGAGGTGACCGAAGAAGGCGTGGTCGGACTTACCCTGGTCATAGCGTGATCGTAAGTCATGACCTGAAAGCTTGCCGGAAGCTCGATACCCTCGGTTTCCGACCATATTTGTCTGACTACGCTCTCAACAACGTCCTTCACTTCGCTCCCTCCAAGTCTCCATCCGGATTGCAAGTCTCTTGGGCGAGGTCCCCAGCCAACGAAAGCCATTTCCAGATCGATTTGGGTGAACTCGGGTTGGCGATCTTTCCGACCATCTTCATCTCGGAAACAGCGCGCAAGTTGATAGTACCGATCAACCGCGCCCGAACACACGAGTAGCTGCTTGGGCTGTTGGGGAGACTGAGGCAAAGCGTACGATCGTGCGCCGCCAAGCCGTGTAGGGACGAGGAACTCGCGCGCTCCCTCCGGCGTGGACTTGAGGAGCATCGGTGTTTCAACTTCTAGAAAGCCTGCAGACCGGTGCAGTGTTAATAGCCGTGGGATCGGCGATCACAACTATGACGACTGACCGTGGCCCTCGAGCACTGTACGCACGACGCGGGCGATCTTGCTGCGCTTGCGAATGTTATCGGCCAATTCATCCCTTCGCAAGTCAAGATAGCGGTACTGGGCACGGATATCTTCGCTAGGCTGGGAACACAGTGAATCAGCTGCTTCATCAACAAAAGCAACGAGGCGATAGATATGACGCACGACGTTGAACTTGGAGGACGGAAGGAAGGGCATGCCCCGAGTTGGATTGAGAAGGGTAAAGCCATCTACAGCCACCTCGATGTCGCCGGCAGGGACCTGAGATCGATATCAACTTCTGACCTCGCCCTGGGTATACCCGAAAACAATCTCACAGGTCGACGCTGGGTTTTCGGTCGGGCTACCACAGTACCTTCGACGTGTATCACCGACTCCGGAGGTAAGTCGGGCAGGCCTGCAAGTTGAGGATACTTTTCTGCATCTATGAGCAGCTGTGTAGTCCCATGCGCATCTTTCAAGGGGATGAAGGCCCGATGCTTGTTCAGCACTCTATAAAGCACCGTGAGAGTCTGTATACATTCCCGAGGTAGACATTTGATTCACCGAGCGGGGAGTGCCCAACCTTGTAGAGTGACCCGAGAACCAGCATCAGCCGCAGATAGCGCAGCACAAGTATGTGATCTCGGACTGTAAGGCGCTGTCACATTGAATATCACGCCCGTCAGTTTACTCTGGAAAGCCATCGGGCGCTAGGATTCGGACCGTTATGCGCTGGCAGAGGCGTAGACGCTGAGGCAGAAGCAGCTACGGGAGAGTGAATCTGCCGGACATTCCGCAGGCACAGCTGTAGTCGTGAGCTAGGTTTGACCAATACGCGAAGACATGAGGGCGGCTGCATGAGCGTCTTCCAGAAAGACGCTACGGGAAGCGTGCTCTCACTGCACGGAGGTCACACGCGCACGTGGCTTCCTTCACCGCCATCCGAATCCGCCGGCGCTTGGTTGCGCTGCCCAAGTCAGAGAGATTTGTTTGGGCGCCTTGTGCGGCCATCGATGCACACTTTCCTTTTACCACGCGCCTCCATCAGCTTTATAACTTGCTCTAACCTGTTTCGCATTCCCTGCTATCCTTTGACCGTCATGGCCTCCTTCGCCAAGCTGCCGCTCGAGCTCGTCGACGCCGTTGCCACCCACCTCGACGCACCCGCCCTCGCCGCCCTCTCATGCACTTGCCGCGACTTTCACGCCACTGCCGAGCGGCTTCTTTACCGGGACCTCGCCCTGAGTTCCTATCAACATAACATTCGCGCCGTTCTCTCTATTGTCGCCCGTCCAGAACGTGCCGCCTACGTCCACACCCTCTCCGTCACGCTCGACTCCCAGACACCGGCCCTGCGCAGCTTCTACATAGCCTTGTCACAGGCGCTTACAGCCATGACCGCTCTGACCGAGCTCCAACTGCGCGTCGACCCGGGCGCGAGCTGCATTCTCGACCAGTTGCCGGCCTCAGTATCCTACCCATCTCTGCGCAGCTTTGTCACATCCCTGCCATTCGACGCTTCCATGTGTCACTTTCTCGAGCGCACGCCTGGCCTTCTGAACCTGGAAGTGGCGCCAACAGAAGCTGCAGCGCCGCTAGCCCTCCCAACGAGCGCCGTGCGCCAGCTGACCCATTATTCGGGGTCTCTCGCAGGGGCCAAGGCTCTCGTAGGGCGGCCGATTGTCACCCTCCATTCATTCGACGGCGATTTCTCACTCGAGACCTTATCCGACTTCTCGAATGCGCCACTTGGCGTGCTCACAGCGATGACTGCTGCCCAGCTCGTCCCCTTCCTGCAAGCGCTGGCCGCATATGCACCCGAGCTGGTCTATCTTCGCCTCACCGCCGCACTGCCGTTTGGCAGGGACTCGCCATCTCCCGATGCCGTATGTGGATCTCCATGAGGCTTCGTAAACACATGTGCTGACCCACTCTCTCCTACAGATGTTCTATGAACAGGTCGCGAGCGCCCTTGATGCTCTGACGCATTTGGTTGACTTCGAGCTCGAAGGCATGCACTGGCCGTGCCACACGGAAGAAGACTCCACCCGTCGGGTCTGGCAGCGTGTGCCCTCGACTCCCACTCCGTCAACTCCAGTTCTCGAGCACGACGATCTCTATTCGGAGCTCGAGTTACTCTACTGAGTTTGCTATCGCCCCTCCCTTGCATCTGCCCATTCCCACTCCCATCATATCTCTCAAGGAAGTACCCTAATTATTATCTATATCCCGTATCTTGCATCTTGCGTACTATAATGCCTCATGGTCCCTGCTAGCCTGTACATGGATATCTGCCCCCTGGAATCCGGAATCTTTGCTTTCGCTGTGTATAGCTTTACCCTCCGTTATCGCGCTCGTACATGCCATGTGCGACCTCGGCTGTATCATTATATATCCGTTACATGTACATACCTCGCTGTCATCATCACTGCCTCCTTTGTTCTGTACCGCCCTTGTTGCTGTCATCCTTGGCCCCCTCGTGTTGTTGCGCCGCCCTACCCTACGTAGTAATACGCCATGCTCCCTACATTCCGCATGCATAATTCAATCACTAGCGTCAACTCTACACCTGCAACCCTGCGAGTCTGTCTAAGCTTCTTGGTCATAGCAGCTTCTGAGCTTTTCAAAGCGTCCTAATCCACTGCGGCGTGCGCTCCTCGCGCCGCCGGCTAGCGAGTAAGCTCAGGGAGAAGTGTATGGTGCTCTTCCTCGCAGATCCATCGTCGCCTACAAGCGTGGGGAGGACGATCCGGTCCCGGCCGGGCGGCGGCCGATGGGTAACCGGTCGTACAGAATACTTTACCCTGAGCCATAGCTGCAGATGTTACTCAATAGAGCTGGCGGGTAGGGGCGAGCATGGATCGATCGCTAGCATATCAAAGATTCGGTAGGTAGAAGCAAGTTCGGTAAGGTACGATGTCTAGCGCTAGGTACGAGCCAAGCTGTCAGTGCAAGAGTACTGTAGCTCAATAGAGTAAGTCAATCAGCTGAGCAAACGCAAGGCCTCTTCCAAGAACGACTGTGCCCTGACCACCTCTGCGTCTCGAGGGTCAATCGGATGCATCGCAAAGGGGCTGTTCCCTCCTGCGCGCGCCGCGACGATCTCATATGACTCTCCAGCTACGGTCAACGCCAGGGTACGGAACTCCCATCCGTGCGGCGGCACGCCGTCTACAAGCACCCTGTCCTCTTCCTCCTCGAGGGCACTGATGGAAAGGGGTGTGTTGTCCGCCAAAGGTATCGCCCCGGAATGAAACTCTGCGGCTTTCTGCGGCGACGCGGGAGGCGTGCCGCTCACTGCCGAAGGGAACGAGCAGTCGATCCTCGCGAAGTCGAATCCAAGGCCCAAACCCAATGCTTTCGTGTACGCCTCCTTGGTCGTCCAGATGCGATAGAAGCGGCGCCAGGACTCTGCCTGCGGTGTTGTAGTGGACAGAAGCGCCTTGGTCTCCTTCGCGGATAGCTACAGTGGGTCCGATCGTGTGCAGCGCAGTGAAAGGTGCCACCGAGAAGTCAGCGAGAGAGTTGGGACGGACAAGTAGGACAGGTCAGCCTTCTATGCAATCAGCCGAGAAGCTCAGAGAACGTACAGCTTCTCCGACTGACTCGACAAAGGATGCGTACGATGTGCCTCTTGGGCGGGATACGCGCATGAGGTCAAGGCCGATGTTCTCGCGTTCGCCCCGCGCATAAGCTATTCCAACGAGCTCATTATCATGCGAGACGTTGAACGCTAACGGTGGGCTGAGTTTTGGTGTAGCCTTTGTCTGGGTTAGGCTCTGCAGCAACGTATAGCAGGGCTAGCAGACTTACTATGTACGGTTTCCGAGAGGGTGTCTCGGCGAAGGAGATGGATTCCGGAGAGACACCTTCACGCGCTAGAAGAACGCGCGGAAGTAGACGGCCTATCAGACAACCTGCTTACAGGGCGAGCTGGAGGAAGCGCAGCAAATCACGGAAAATAGGCGCGCACGGTACGAGTCTGCGCGGTGGTAGAAGCGCCCACAGCGCTCGCGACTGACGACGTCAACGAGCGCAAGCGCTCGTTCATACGTCTAGATCATGTCAGTCAGTATGCATGAACGTCACCAGTGGTAAAAGGGCCGAACATCTTCCGAGATGGCCGTGGGCTCAGTGACCAGCAATACTTTTACATTGGAGGCCATGATGGTGGGAGGATCGAGAGGATCAAAGTGGCTGTGGTCGACTGTAGGCGCCAGGTATCCCGCGATGGCGAGCTGCAGTCCGCTGTCCGCGTATGATCCTTTTGTACCCTCTTCATACTCTGATATACTCTATCTCGTTACGTACCCCTGCAAACTCCGAATGAAACCTCCCAGACGTTCCCCATAGAGATAGCAGGGTCGTCCTACCAATATCAGACGGAATATGCTGTGGATGCACAGGCGCGCCGCCAACGTTCTGCGGTTACTGACTTTTCTGAAAATCATTATCGATGGCTAGGGCGCCTACATACCCCAGACAGCTTCTGAGGCTTGTGGCGTGCGAAACTCCCGCACCGAAAGGTGAAGCGCCGGGTTCGCCAGCGCCTGAGCATGATTACACGCCGAGTGTAATTGATGTAAAGCATGCAACACGTCAAACCGATAAATCCTATCTACTAAGATAGCGATCATCATCATAGTGCACGGATCAGGAGCAACGACAGTACGAGAACAGACGGTACAGAAAATTGCAAAAAGACACAACAACACGGGCGTACCCGGAAGACACACGACGTCCAACCTCAAAACAGAGTACCCAGTCCTCATCTCCTCCTCTTAGAGCGGCCCGGCTTCGTCTTGGACGCAATTCCTCCCTGTCGATTCATGCCTCGTGCTTTTGGTCGGGGTGCCATGCCCTTCGATAACCGCCACTGTTCTCGACGAGAATTACGAGGCCCATGCGTGGAAATCTTCTTTGTTTGTGCGGCATCAATGTCCATAGTTTCTGCAACCCCATGTCAGCTGTGATTCTAGTAAACGTGCGTGCAAGAATGGACTAACCTGTTCCAGAAGCAGTGGTTGCAGCCTTTGACGTTCCGGCTTCAGGTGCATCATCTTTGCGAAGAGCATGTCAGCATCCTATCCCCATCATGTGCTAGCACAGGAGGAAGAGAACTGCTTTCAAGCGCGCGAGGGACCAACCCAAGCCTCTCCAAGGCGGCGAAGTCGATGCCCTCTGGGTCGAGAAGGCCCAAGCAGATGAACCAATCCATCGACCTACCCTGCATCTTCTCATCGTCCCCTTCCTCATCCTCAGAGACTACCTCTGTCGGCGGATCCTGTGTAGTCAACCCGACCAGTTTTGCGTTCAGACGCTGCAGCCGGGCGGCTTCGACCGCGGCGTAGACGCTGTCTTCGCGCTTCTTGGCCCGGTGGGCGCGCTTAACTTTTGAGCGGGTAGATTTGGCCATGACGAGTGGGAGTAATAGCGAGCGCTTGGGCCGGTGGTAGTGACGATGGAGGTGAGAGTGAAGGTGAAGGTCGAGATCCGCGGCGAGGGAAGCGCAAAAGCTTGAGCTCGATAGGGGCTCTTGACTAAATGCGTGTGACTCAAACTGACCACACTCGTGCGCAGACTCGTGGCGCATTAGTTTCCCGTATGGTGCATGCGTCTATAACCATACCTGCTACTATGATACTAGGCCTAATCAAATTAGTCTCAAGCACCTTGTCGAGATAGGGATCTCGACAGCGAGCAAGTCAATGGTCACACTATACATGCAGTACACAACATCTAATCACAGCAGGTACACAACGGATAGCAAGTACATCAAGTATCAGGCTAATCTACGGACTCAGCGCCCTTGTCCAACGTCTGTGCTCCTGCAGGCTGAGGTAGACAGCTCTCCCGATGACCATGGAGCCAGTCGCTGTTCTGCGCGTCAGCACACAATCACCGCGAAGCAGACAGCAGCGCATCTCACCTCTTGCGACATGCCGCCGAGCAATAGCACGCCCCCTTACACCTCGCGCACTTCTTCAACCTCCTTGGGCTCGGCGTATCGGCATGATGCTCGCATTCGTGCCACGCACACCAGTACTGCGTTCGTACCATATGATACTCGTCTCTGTCCTTATCTTCATCCAGCCCTAAGGCCTTGCCGAACTTCACCCAGGATTTCACAATATTCGAGCAGCCGGGTAAGGGTGCGGTCATTAGGCCGGCTTTGCGCATCTGCCGAAGAGTAGGATACCAGAAGTCGCGCGCTTCGGAACGGAGGGAGGCGACTGTCGTGGACGGCAGCCCGCGTTCGGTGTTCCATTTGCTGTCATCAATCCCGTCGCACCACACGTCAATCACACGAGCAAACGCGACTCTGAACTTCTCCAGAACTGAGGCGAGTCAGTGAGATCGAATAGAGAAGAACTCCGAAGACCACATACGCGAGTTTCGTTGGTTATCTTGTGCGCCGATCTTGAGCTCAACGAGATCCATGACTGTATCCAGCATGTAGCCAAAGAGACACCACGTCGTACGAGCCGGGACCAGTCCGGGCGATATCGTTCTCCTCGCGAGTCCACGACCGAACAGCCTGATGCGACACATGTCAGTAACCCTTGCCTACGGCGCAAGGGTGCAAGACGTACTCCATCACCGGCGCCAACTTGTTCGCAATCAGTATGTTGATTACGCGGTCTTGCCTTCCCCTCGCCTGCGGATCCTTCTCATACTGCGCGTCCAGATACCTCGCAAGCGATTCATATAGCGGTGTCATGAGCGGGTACGTCGCGCATGCTTCTCCAATCCTGTCATCGCCTGATCTGATGACGCATTCGGCTGTCTCAAGTAACGCGAAAAGCGCGCTACCCTTCATGAGTTTCTCATCGGCCAGCGCGCCCTGGAACGCGCGTATGATCGCGTCGGGTCCGACGGATTCGACGAGGTCCGTCGCGTAGGCGCCAATGCCTTCATCGCCGTATTCTTCTTTCATGCCGATGATAGTGAGGAAGACGGAGAGGGCTTGATGCGTCGTCCACGGTATACCGCTCTCTTTGCATAATGGCGCCAATGTTGTCCCCGGGTGGAGAAGTGTCCAAGCGTATAGTGCGACGTGCCCTAGCCTCGACGCGTAATCTGTCACGTAGATCTCCCTTCATAGAAGCCTCAGCGAACGGCGCGCACGACCAGGAGCAAGGTGAAGACGTACAAGAAGTCAGGTTTCGTGATCTGATGCACCGCCGCGCATAACCGCTCAATAGTGACGATTCGCCACAACGATCTCTCCACGCTCCCCACAACAAACAGCCTATCCTTCTCGTCCCACAGACTGACCCACACATCTTCGACGCTGACAAACGCCCCCAAGAAATGGCTGATCTGGAACCGCGACGGGCGCGGGTAACTCGGCTTCGAGCTCGGCTGGCGGACGTGGATCCATATGTAGAGCAGACCAAGCAGGCTTGCGAGGATCGAGTCGAAGTATCGCTGAGGTAAGGTGAGGTGAGGTGAGAACGTGCTGAAACTCGGGCATAGTGACGTACGGCTTATCTTACCTCAGGGTGCTCCGGCAGGTACGGGTCCGTAAAGCAATCGACGAGCACCAGCAGCATCTCGTTGCTCAGGCATGCGCGCCAGAACTCGATTCCAAACTCCTCCACCGTAAATGTCGAAAGCGGAATCCTGGAGTCTCTCTTCTCCGTGTTCGGCTCGCTGATGCGCTCGGCGAGCACTTCGGCCGCCCGCACGAATGGGTGATCGGGTTTCATAGGCCCGGGCTTGCGAGAGAGCGCGAGGTTACGGAGGTGGCCCAAAGCAGCGCCAGGTTGCGAGCGCAGTCGCCGCGCGAAGTCTTCTTGCTCGGATGTCCATGACGGGGTGCGAAAGTGACCGTTGAAGCGCGGCTCGTTGCTCGTCGTCTCCGGCATAGTGTACGGTTGCAGAATCAGAGGGTGGGTGGGGTTCGCGGAGGTTTGAAGTAAGCAGCGTGAAGGCGCTTATATCGCGTGTTGGTCAGCCGGCGCATCTCGAGAAGCTGCTTCAGGCGGTGGCTGATGTTTCGTGGGAACGCGGGTCGGGCTGCTTACCGTAAGATCACGTACTCTCGTATCGTGGACCTGCACACGCGCAAGCAAAGACGGGAGAGGCATGGGGTGTTTATTTGAGAGCTTCAATCTCATAGGCTGCTAGCACGAAAGGTGCCAGACCCTTGAGGTCGTTAAGGTCTACAGGTTCGGAGACATAGTACTGAGAAGAGCCCGTCAGCATAGGCGGCTGAATCGATCTCCGCAGCGAACTCACCTCATAATCATTGCCTGGCTGCAAGCTCCCCACCACGACTGTCGCATCATAACTCATCGTCCCATTCTTGTTCGTCTCCACCCACTTCCCGCTGGTCGTTGCGTACTTGAATGCCTTCTTCGCAGCCTTGACGTACGAGCCATCAACGTCGTCCAGGAATCCGAGCCTCACAGCACGAAGCAGTGCGTAGATGAACATAGAGCCCGCCGAACTCTCGAAGTAGTTTCCTTCACGTCCGGGCCATGTCAAAACAAGCCACCATACGCCCGTCTTCTGATCCGCAGCCTTCACGAGGTTCGGTGCCAGATCCGCCAGTATACTCTTGAGCGTGCTCGTGAGGTCTGTCTGCTCGGCCGGCGCGATCTGCAGCACGTCGACGAGGGCCATAAAGTACCATCCTAGCGCACGGTCCCAAACCTCGGGGCTATGCCCACGGTCGGGCGAGGCCCAGTCTTGAACATGGCTGTAGTCGTAGCCGTGGTATAGGAGACCCGCGTTCGTCTGGTTTGTCGTGGCGTTGTACTGTTTGGTGTTGGTGTGCATGAGCGAGAATTGCAGAGTGATGTCGTCCCACGCGGTTTGGTTCGTGGGCTCGAAGAGGGCGGTGTATGCAGCGTAGAAGACTTCGCCCATGTAGATGCCGTCAAGCCATCCTGAAAGGGATTGAGCAAATGTCAAAGGAGGAGAGGGAGACGAGCGTGCCTTGGTTTGGATAGATCAGCTTGTGCCAGAACTGGCCCTCGGCTGTGCGTGGATGGCCATTGAGCTGACTCCGGTACAGATCCGCAGCCTTCTTGTACTTCTCCTCACCCGTCATGTTGTACCTAACATAGCTCATGAATGTCACTGATGAGAACGAGGTCAAGAGGAAACGCACAGGTATACGAAGCTGGGTCCAACTCGAACGGGATCCAGAGTGTAATCGGTGACACTGGATGTGCATGTCAGCGCGTAGCCGGTGAAAGTGATGATATACACACTTGTATCCCCCGCCTACGCTTCCATTGGCGAAGACGACATTGTCAACACCCTCGACGATGTAGTCGAAGTAGCTTGCGTTGCCGTCACGTTCGTACACTGTAACGTAGGATCAGCCAACCGTAGAAGGCGATAGATGTGTGAGAAAGGACGTACGCAACCTGAGCGCCCATTGGAACACGCCATCCGGATAATCCACTAACGGGACCCCGTCCTTCAAGCCATTGCCTTGCCCACGCGAGATGGCCGAGTTGGCGGCATAGGTGGACCAGTCTCCGGTCGGAGGCGTGAAGGCCAGGCAAGAAGAGGTTAGCGCCCATAGCGCACTTAGAGCGGGCAAGATGCGCGTCATATCGAGGGATGTCCAGTTGCTATAGGCCGTAGATGGCTATATAGCGAGAGCTCGCTTCCGAGCGAATGAAATATGCCGCTTCTTCTCAAGCGGGCCGGCCTCGACGAGCAGCTGAACATGACTGGCAGTCACAAGCTGTATTGAGGGCATACACCTGACCATTCGAACAGTCGTGTACATCGTGGTGCGCAGATCTGAGCACCAAGGTACAAGATCTGGTCATGAAGGCCGCCATCAAACCGAACATGTATGGAAAGAACTCTGCGCGTCATCGGCGTGAGCGGTTATTGGTCGATAGGCAAGGCGACAGAACACACCTGAAGCTTGAACAAGTCACAAGGACTGGACGTGTATTTTTGGGCAGACGGTACGGTCCGCGATCATGCCGTCGTTCATGAGAGCGGAAAGAGAAGGCAGGACTTCGCCGAGCGAGCGCTGACGCGACTTGTACGAGATACGCACGTGGTCGTGCACCGACTCCTCTTCGAAGCCGTCTGCTACGATGAGCTCAGTCAGCGATGAGAACATAAACATCGACGCCCATGTCCACGGAGAACAAAACAGCCTGCGAAGACTGCGCCCCAATACCGCCTGAAGACGCGGCGTTTGCGTCTATTGAGGCTGCAGGGTTGCAGGACCCGCGCGTCGAGCCTACGACGTACGACCCTCTCAATCCCGCGACGTTCGTTGCCCCCAAGACGCTCAGCGCGCCGAGCGTAGTGATCGAATTTTGTGACAGAGTGAGCTTGTTGTCCTCTTTTTGTATGCAACGTTGACGTCTCTGCCAGTGCCGATGGTCAGCACCGAGTGCGCCTCCCGATATCGCTTCCCACTAAAATCTGCATAGGTTGCATCGCGCTACATGGACATCGACTGAGCTCTTCCTGACATTCCCTCCGCCGAATCTGAACAGCATCACGCTCGTGCCGCTGAATGCGGACGAGACGGCAGGCCGGTTCAGGGTGTGGTTGGCACACCAGGGGCCACACGGGGCGGAGGAGATGGCGATGGTGTGGGATCGGAAGGTCGAAGGGAGGTTCCCGGAGATGAAGGAGCTCAAGCAGAGGATCAGGGATTGGATTCAACCAACGAAGTCACTTGGCCATTCGGACCGTTGAATATAACACTGGTCAAGGAGCAATAAATCAGAGTTGTATTCCCTTGCACATTGTATAGTATATCATGTCCTGTACGTATGACTCCGCGCGTCATGCGGCGCGTGAAGAGCGTAAAAAGTGCGGGATGCACGCGTGCACGGAGATGGTTGTGAGGGAAGAAGACGCGGCAGCGTGCATGCAAGTTCGAACTTTGTGGCTCATCGCAACTTGGAACCCGACCGCCAACTCTATTGATGACCTCCGCTCACCTCACGACCTGAATACGACTTTCTGATATATAATATGGACGAGAAACCTGTTGCAGCGCTTATACAGCAGATATCCAAGCCTGGTATGTCGCGTGTGATGTATGTCGACGCTGGGGTATGGTATGCTCATGCGCTGTGGTTAAGATGTCGACGCGAAGATCGACGCGGTGAGTAAGCTCCAGGCAGAGTTCGAGAAGGGTTCGGAGGTATGTATGCACTATACACATACCGAATCATGATATTGAACTGTATACAAGGTACCGGACACGGACGCGGCCATTCAAGCGCTGAAAGCCTGTCTACGGATATCGAATCAGCACCTGCAGACGGCCACGCTCTCCGCCCTCCCCGCGTTCTTACCGCTCATACTTGGCCATGGATCCTCCCGCGCGGGGCCCAGCTCTCACGACATTGGTTCCACGTCCTCCGCGGGCTCGACGTCGGTAGACCTGTACACGATCCGCCAAGTCCTCAACGCGTTCCTACCGCAAGGCGGCGTTCTGGACCGCCTCGGCGACGCCCGCGAACGCCCACGCGAGAAGGCCCGCGAATCATTCGTCCTCATTGGCGGTTACGCGTTTCGGGCGGGAGGCAGTTCGGCTCTCGCTCGGTCGGGAGGCGGGAAGAACGCAGAGACGCCGTTGCAGGCGTTCGAGAGGTTCTTGAGGGAGAGCGGCCTGTCAAGCAAGAATCCGAGGGTCAGGGAGCAGAGCGTGCTGGCCCTTGTAGAAATCAGGAGGGCACACCACATGTTTCCGCTCAGGCCATATCTGCAGTTGCTCGTCGGCACGCTGGAGGATGGAGACGCGACCGTACGCGAGACGGCGAGAAATGCAGTGGTCGAGCTGTTTACCGGTCCCGGTGTGACCGATGCGGCGCGGTCAGACCTGAAGAGCCAGATGACGAAGAAGGGTGTACGCAAGGGAACGGTCGATACAGTGCTCGAACGCATATTCTCAAAGAACGCCGCCGCTTCGCTCAATACGCCGCCCGCAAGCGAGGATGGACACGCGACGAAGGAATACATCCCTCCAAGCCAGATGCTTCGCGAGCGCAGACCCACCGCTGGTTCGGACACTGCTCCGTCTACCAATGGATCGCGTGTGGCGAGCTCGGCCAGTATACCAACATTACCGCGGCCTGCAAGTCGAGCACGCGCGCTCAGCCCTCCTCCGAACTCTATACCCCCAACACCTACGGCCGAGTCCTCGGCTGAGGTTTCACCTGTCTACATTGCGTCCAGTCGGGATTTGGAAGGAGAGCTCGGAACCATGTTTAAGTCATTCGAGGTCAGCCGCCGTCCATTGGGCTGAATGCATCTGCTCACGCCTGTTGCAGGGTAAAGAGACTGAACACAATTGGGCGTCTCGAGATCGCGCGATCACTCGTATTCGAGGTATGCTCAAGGCAGAAGTGCATGAACAGTATCCGAATGTCTTCCTCGGTCATCTCAAGCCCATCATCGAAGCGTCACTGAAGACAGTATGAAGTGCACCCCGTCACAGCGCCATACAAGCTAACATTGATGTCCATTAGCTCGCTAGTCTGCGGACAACAGTCGTAACCAACACCACCAACATGTACAACGAGCTCGCCACTACCCTGCAGTCCGATTTGGACCCTGTCGTCGAGACGATGCTTGTCGCTCTATTGAAGATGGCCGGTTTCACGAAGAAGATTACCGCCCAGTCCTCCCAAGCGACTGTCACCACACTCTTGACATATACCACTCCCTCACCTCGCATCGTCATCAATGCACTTCACAATGGTCTGCAAGATAAGACGCCTCAGGCCCGTGGCTACATCGCCGACCATCTGGCGAAATATCTCGATCTGCATGGCGGTCGTATCAAACCGTCCGTGGAGTCCGGTGGCTTGATAGATCTACTCGATCGTACACTGCGCAAGGCCGTAGCGGATTCGAACCCTGCAGCCCGCCAGGCAGGCCGCATTGCATACTGGGCATTTGAGAGTATCTGGCCGGAACGCGCACTGGCAATCCTGAACGCACAGGACGCGGCCAATCGCAAAGCCATCGAGAAGGCGAACCCTCACCCGGACTCGAGCACGGCCCCTGCAACCTCTACTGCCGCCCCGAAGAAGAGCTCTATCGCGGCAGCGATAGCAGCTAGCCGTGCGAAGGCAAAGGCCATCGCAAATGCGCCTCCGACTCTACGACACCAGGCTACGAGCGCGGCGCGGACCATCAGTCCGCCCAAACGCTCCATGTCTCCCTCATTTTCGACCGGTAGTGTGGGGTCAGCATCCGGTTCCCCGCCCCTATCACCCCGTTCGCGGATTGTGTCGTCCTCTGGGAAGGGCACAGTCCGCCCGGCACCTGCTCCCCGGATGTCACATTCACGCACATCGTCCTCGGACTCTATGCCCTCGACGTCCAACTATCCTCGCCCAGCGTCGCCTATGGTCGTCGTGCCCGCCTCGCCTCCCCGCGGTACACTTCGACGCGCGATGCAGACTGCCCTACCGGGTTCGCCGCCGGCTACGATGGTCGTTACACCCCCTTCACCCGCCGCTTCCTCCAGACGCTACGTCCCACCATCAACCGCAGCGCAAGACCGAATGTCGATGGCCATGCCTATCCTCGATCCCAACGAGGAGAGTCTGTTGACAGCCGTGGCCATCCCTTTGCCGGACGATGACTCGGACAACTCCGATATGGATGTGGACGATGAGCCTGGGCACGGACAGCCGCTGAGTTTCTCGGCTCTGGACGAGAGATACGGTCCGCCGTCGCCTAGTCCTGCTGGACGAGCTAGTCTGTCGAGGGATAACTCATCGCCTTCGGGTAGAGCGAGTCTCTCCAGGGGCAACTCTTCGCCATCGCACTCCACCGGGTTCTCGCCCAAGGAAATGTCCAATACGCTCTCGACGGGTACGGCGGGGAGCGTGGGAAGTCCGCCTGCGGGTGCACCCCAGCCTTTGGTCGAAGACGCTCTCCGCGCACGGGCGGAGCGCGCGCAGAGTGCCGCGGATAGACTGCTCGAGCTCGTCGACCCTCCACCGCCGTATCTCCCTTCGCCGCCTTCCTCACAAACCGCGCATCCAGCGCTGCAGAGCAATGCTGCCCGCATGCCCGGCACACCTGTGCGCCACGCGCCTCGGCCGTCGAACGAGATGCCGGTGACGCCAGTGAATAGAGTTTGGAAGCAGGCTGCGGCATTTCAGGACAGCCCTGCTGGTGGGGCACCGGCGCCAAGTCTGATGACAGACGTCTTCAGGCCGAGTGCGGGTGCGGGGGATAGTACCTGGTGGAGGAAACGTATGAACCGTACGTCTCCTCCCCCCTCGCATTCGATCCGTCTATCCTTGTACTGACCAAACCCGTGCTGCAGTGTACAACCGTCGTTCATCAGCGCCGCCAGCGGATCCGTCTCAATTGCCTGGTTTCATTGAGGCTCTCGAGCATGGAACAGCCGACGCCGCACTTCTCAAGCAAGCCGCATTGTTCTGCATCGCGCACCCTGCCACTGGCGGTCCTCTAAGCCCCGTCAGTACAGGCTTCCCCGGCAGCCCCTCGCCGTTCTCCTCTTCGCGCCCTGGTGCAGGAAGAGGTACGAGCGACGTCTGGACGGACGAAAAGGTGTTCTCGAGGTTCTTCGGCGCGCTGAAGAGGTTCTTGACGCCGGAGAGGGACGAGGAGTTGCTGCAGTTGGGCTTGATCGTGCTGTGGGAGATGATGGAGCATTTGCCGGTGTTGATGGAGGACAGGGAGAGCGATGTGTTCGCGATCCTGTTCACTGTGCGGTACTCGGACAAGCAATCCGTAAGCTTGTGCACAACTCTCAAACGTTCCCGGCGCTCATCCTCATACAGGTCCTTGGTTCGACAAACGTCATCCGCGACGCGCTGTGCCAGCGCGTAGACCCGATCTACGGCCTTACGACGATGCATGCGAGCCTGCTCGTATTCCTCTCTGATGCCCCTCCGCCGTCATCCTCAGCAGAGGCTAAGATGACGACGTATGCTTTCGGCATGATCGCGCTCGGCAAGTTTATCTTGAGGTTGCCGGACGAGATCTTGGAGGAAGAGTTGCCGAGGCTGAAGGGGACGTTGATATCCGTACGTGTGCTGCTCCCATTGATGTGTGATGACAAGGTGCTGAAACGATTTTTGAATAGGCTCTGAACGAGACCGACTGGCTCGTTGTACGCGAAGCGGCCGCGTCCGCCATCATCGCTGCGCAGCTCGTGCTGCATGACGAGACGCACCTCTTCGCACTACTCGACGGGCTCGCGGACGACAAGAAGAACTTGCTGACGTACCTCTTCGAGAAGCACAGTGCTAGAGCCACAATTGGGCCCGCGTCGACGGGCGCGGAGAAGCTAGAGAAGGAGATGAGGAGGTTGGATGGGCGGACGAGTACGCCGCCGAGGGCGTCGCTCGGCGGGCGATAGGAACTCGTACCTCTTCGTTTTGTTTCGTTGAGCTTGGATCTCACGTTTATATGCATACTTGCCTTCGTAGATAGCCTATGGTCTATGTTGAGCCGATATCCCCCATTTCCCCCAGTTGTCGTTTTCGCGCTTTTAATCCTGTCGTTTCGTCGTTGTCGATGTTTTTACTCTTTCCTCGCGTAGAGCCCAGTCACTCGTTGTCATATATGCAATCGCTACTCATATTCGTATGCAAGTCATCGTCCGTGGTGATAGTCTATGACGCTGTGCATTGCCCTAGGTGGCACAACAGGGCTAGGCCCTTAGTAGCCTCTAACTATATAATGATGTAATTGTCTACACATCCGTCTTCTCCGCATCCTTCAACATCATATCCGCACACTTCTCCGTAACAGCATACACCAGCGCCTGCGGATGCGTAGACGGTGAAACCGGCAACACGCTCGCGTCCGCGATCCTCAGATTCTTGACCCCATACACCCTCAATCTCGCATCTACAACCCCAGGCCCGTCGGTATCGTCTCTAGGCGCCATCCGACACGAGCTTGAGTAATGTAACATCGTGTTGAAGTTCTTGTCGATGTAGTCGTCCAATTCTGCGTCGGAGGAACTCTTAGGCGCGCCGACAGGCGTGAGAGGATATCCCGATTCTTGCATCGTTTGCACGAGGGCCAATACGACGCGTAGAGCGGTGCGGAGGACGGCACGGTCAGCAGGGTGAGAGAGGTATCGCATGTCGCAGATGGGCGGGCTGAGGGGGTTGGTGGAGCGGCGAAGGATCTGGCCTTTGGATTTGGGGACGAGGAGGGCGGGGTTGAAGGCTATGAAGCCTTGGAGCCAGGATTTGGTGGGTCCGAGGTTTGGGTCGCCCAGACATGACTGGTGTAAATATTTAGTCTTCGTCAGGTTGGTGAGATGGGGATGAGTACGCACAGACATGATGCCGAAATCAGGTATATTCGCCGGATCGCTCGCATCTTCGCGCTCCTTCGGATGAGGCAACGGCTTGCCGTCTTCGCCGATGAGAGACGAGATGCCAAAGAGCTCAGAGCCGACTATAGTGCCGAGGAACCAGCCCGAGCCGTGGACCGCGTAGTTGTATATCTCGCGGATGAGCGTTGTCGGGCTGATGAACATGGACCAGAGGGAGTCTTGGGGCGGGGCGTTGAAGGAGGTGTTGATGATTCCGTGGTCTTGCTGGTTGTACATGAGCTCTCAAAACGAAGGATGGGGTGGGTAGAGGTACTTACGAGGTACTGTCCGACACCTGGAGAATCGAGCACGGTCTCGATACCCATGCTCTGGAGGTACTCCGTTGGCCCGACACCGCTGAGTCCACCGATGAGCTCGTGCAAGTAAGAAAGAGAGACGGTGGAATCACCTCAATAATAGGATCTGCGGTGTCCTGAGCGCACCAGCAGTCAACACAACCTCCCTCTTCGCATAGACCGTCCGCATACTCGACCCATCGACCGCACTCAGCAACGCCGAAGTAGCCCTCAACTCCCCATCCCCATCCTCCTCAAAGTACAGCTTCGCGCCCATGGTACCAGTGCACACATGCAGCGTATCTCTTCGTTCCTGGATGAGAGAGGGAGGGATGAAAGCGCGGTAGGACGATTGGCGCGTTCCGTCGGCGCCGAGGGCGTATTGCATCTTGTTGCAGCCGAAGCTAGGCTCGAGGGGGGAGTGCATGTCGAGGATAGGGAGGAAGCCGAGTTTTTCGGCTGCTTGGGCCATCCTGGGTCAGACGCTGAGTGAGCGGAGTGCAGTAGATGTGGATGGAAGACATACCGTTCGGCTGAGCCGTAGTGGTACTCGTCCCATGACCGTACTTGCAGAGGCCCTAGAGTACGCATTCGGCATCTGCACTACGAGCAATGGGGAAGCAGCACATACCGTCAGCCCCATGAAACTCCTTCGGACTCGGCCCAATCCACCTCTCATGCTTCTTGAAATACGGCTTCAACCCCTCATACGACCACCCCGCAAACTCCGCGCCCATCCGCGACCACGCATTGTACTCGCCCGGGACGCCACAAGTGTACTGTCCGGCGTTGATGCGCGTGCTGCCGCCGAGACCTTTGCCGGAGATGAGGGAGTAGGAGTGGTTGTTGAGGGAGGGGTTGGGTTCGCTTTGGATCGTGTCGCTGTGTTTGCCGTCGGACCAGTGGTGGAAGGAGAGGAGGTTGTTGCGGTGATACCACCTGATGATGTATGTCAATGGGTTGAATTGGCCATGCAGCGGTAGTGTGCTCACGACTCGGCGCCATCGCCTCGTTCAACGAGGAGTACGGTCGCGTGCTCGCTCAACCGTCGGGCCAGTACACATCCCGCGCAGCCACCTGTGATACTTTTGAGCGATCGTACATGCGAGGCGTAGTTCAGGGAGTCACCTCCGATGATGATGTAGTCGTAGCTTTCCCTGAGCGCGTCAAGAGACTTCAACCCCGCAGGATCCGCAGACGTGAAGGGCCACATGTAGATGGAAGCGACAAGAAAACCAGAGTGCGCCGCGCGGAAGGTGCACTCCCATTGCTTATGAGACTCTCTGCGTAGTTATGGTACGATCGCGATCAAGACCTGCAGCGCGGCAGGAACCCGAGCGTCCTCCATCAATGAGATGCAATAGACCGATAGCAGTTGTCTGGACCATAGAGACGGCAATTCAGAATGCTGTGTAGAGCAGTGCAACGTTGATGCGCCCGTATTCTGAGCTCAAGTGGGTGTACATTTAGTGGTGCAAGCGACGTGCGCAGCAATGGTGGTGGACGTGAGACAAGCGCATGCCGGGATAGCCGGTGAGGGGATGGGAGAGTGAACGTGACCGCGTTTCTGAATCTGTGTGGCGCGCGTTCGTCAACGTTTTCGAGACCACCACCGCGCGACGATGGCCGAACAGGACGCGCCGATGTATCCTCCTACCCCGAAACCTGTCAAGGGAGAGTCGCTGGATGGTCACGATGCTGTGTGGCCCGTACATAGTACGTGCTGAATAATTTGGGATTGAATAGATTACTGATTGTAGCTTGTAGTCGAAGTACGCGTCTTGCCCGACGCGAGCGTGCGGCTGGACACGGTCCGGAACGCCGTGCACGCCTTCGTCACCTCTTCGTACGAAACGCTGTTTCTGCCCTCCACGCTCGAAGGCTGGCAAGACGTCCCCCTGCTGTCGACCTCAATCCACCGCATCCGCGCCTGCGAGTCTCCCTGCCCAACATCACCACTCCCCATCGCACAAGCCGCGTTACAAGTGCACGTGTACCAGCCGACAGAGGCCGATGCGTTTGAAGAGTTCTCGAGTGGGGGTGGAGAAGAGGGCGAGGAGGTGATGGCTGCTGCGGTGCTCGAGCTGCCCAGTGTGCTGTTGGACGGGCTGTGGGATAGCTTGATCTTCCCGGACGATACGAAGCAGAAGTTGCTAGATTATATCTATGCGACGGTGCTGTTCAGTGATGCGGGCGTGGACTGTGCGTATATCTACGCTCTTTGCTTGTATCTGGGCTGAAAGGGCTTCTAGTTAATGTAGTATCCTGGAATCGCGTAGTGCTTTTGCATGGGCCGCCAGGGACGGGCAAGACATCGTTATGTCGCGCTCTCGCGCAGAAGCTCTCCATAAGACTCTCGCATAGGTAAGCTCCCCTCTTCATCCCGCATGTTCCCCGACTGACCACCATCCCATGCAGGTATCCGCAAACACGACTACTAGAAATCAACTCTCACTCGCTCTTCTCCCGCTGGTTCTCCGAGTCCGGGAAGCTCGTTCAGAGGCTCTTCAGCAGCGTCATGGAGCTGGTCGAGGACGAGCATACGTTTGTCGTGGTCCTCATAGACGAAGTCGAGTCGTTGACTGCTGCTCGCGCCGGAGCGATGGCGGGCACAGAGCCATCCGATGCTTTGAGGGTGAGTGGCATCTCTCTGCGTCGGACGCGTCGCGTCGCTAACGGGAGTGCAGGTGGTGAATGCTCTTCTCACGCAACTGGACAAGCTACGGCACAAGAAGAACGTCCTTGTCGTCTCGACGAGCAACTTGGCGAAAGCCATCGGTCGGCGGTCTCACTCTGCACTGTCTATCCAGTACTTACGCCCACTTCAGACTCGGCCTTCGTAGACCGCGCGGATATCGTGCAGTACATCGACCTCCCACCACGAGAGGCCATCTACGAGATCCTGCGGACATGCCTTGTAGAACTTGTACAGAAAGGCGTGATCAGTGATGTGGTACGAGCATTGTCCCCATTTGGTTTGTACAACCGCTGAAGTTGACTTCAACAGGAAGTCCCGGTTCTGGAAGACGCCCTACGATACGAAAGAAGCGCACCATCCGCCGCTTCAATCTCCACCGCAACATTGAGCGAACGCGAACGCACGAAGCTCGTCGCAGTGCGTCTACTGGGGCTTTCGCAGAAGTGCAGGGACATGAAAATGTCCGGCCGCGCACTTCGGCGCTTACCCGTTCTCGCGCATGCGCGATACATCGGCCACGCATTCTCTGCCGTGCCGTCTACAGGAGGTGCGCCAGGTGCGGGTGGTATGGCCATACGCGTCGAAGTCTGGCTGTCGGCCATGGAGCGCGTTCTGTACAACCACGCCGACGAAATTGCTCGGTTCGAGAAATGATACTATGTTTCGTACTGCTACTCTTCTTGCTGTGTACTTGCTATCAAGTTGCTCGCTGTCGTGTACTGCATTTTTTGTTGTAATTTACGTCGTAGCCCGAGTCCGGGATTTTGATCCGATGTTGTTGACGCGCGAAAGAATAATTGGGACGTGACCTGACCGCCCATGTCGCGGCTGCTGCAGCGCGTCGCAGCTCGTCAACGCTCCACACTACCTACTGCTACACCCAAAATATGCGTCCATCTGCCCAAGGTCGCTGCACGCACACTAGTGTCCACGCCGACGCTGGACGAGTTCCTATGGCAGAACCTGAGCAGTGATGACAGCTCAACGGCGTCGACGTCCGCCTGGCCGGCCGAGCAAATGCGGCAGCGGATGCTTGCGATGAAGACGCGGATGCTGCTGGAACTGATGAGCCGGCCAAACCCGCAGATGAACGCGGTGTGGCACGCGTACGAGGACCTGCTGGCGTACGCGGGGGACGACGTCCTTCCCCTAGAAATCCACCAGCTCGCCCTCCGCAACTCCGTCCTCTCCCCGCACGAGGCCCGGCGCGTGTCAAAATCTAAATACCTGACGGTGCACTTCCCCGACGAGCCGTTACCGCTGGAGAACCGGATGCGGAGCGTGCTGCAGACCATCAAGGACGGCGGGATGGTGCCCGCGCTCGAGGACTTTCACTTTGTGCTCAGGATGTACGCGTCTGTTGGACACTTCGCCGCCGCGGAGAAGATGCTGGCCGAGGTCGGGGAGTGCGGGCTGAAGCCTGTGCCGGCGACGTACGGATACGTCCTCCAGGCCTGCGCACACAGGTCGCGCCTGCCCTCCCACGCCAAACACGTCGCCACCCAACAGCTCGTCGAGTGCGTCCGGCGCCTGATAGCGGTCATGGCCGAGCGCAACATCCCGATGGCGCCCGTCAACGTCGACCTCGCCGCCCGCGTGCTCAGGTACGGCGCCGACGAGGAGGGCTTCGCGCAGCTCGTCAAGTACGCATACGACTTTGACCTCGCATTCACCGACCACGCGCCCATCGACGTCGCCTCCGCTTCCACTTCGACGGCCATCCCGGCCAGCATGCCCCGCTCCCGCCTCTCCACCGCCGCGCTCAACATGATCATCGACGAGCTCGGCCGCACGCGCCGAATATCGAAGATGGTCGAGGCGTTCGAGGTGCTGACCAACCCGCTGCCCCAGCCGTCGTCGGCGGAGGTCGCGGGCTGGGACGAGGACGAGGACGGGGGGTACACGCCCATGACGGCGTCCGCCCCCGCCAGCGCACCGCCCAACACGACCTCTTTCCGTCTGTTGATCACGCATGCTGCGAAAGCGGGCCACGTCGCGCTGGCGAGGCATTATATATTACACGCTATGCACCTCGAGACGCAAGAGTCCCGACGTATACGCGCGGCGTTGCGCGTCAGACCGCCCGTGGCGCTCCCGGTTCAGCCGCAGGTCGCGGTACATGTGCGCATGCTGTATCCGTTGCTGCATGTCGCCGTCCGGAAACACGACGTGGGGCTCTTGCGGTTCGTGCGGAGCGCGGCGCTGAGGAGCATCAGGTCGAAATGGGGCGATATCGACGTGTTGACGGAGTGGAGGGCCGCCGTCGAAGCGCAGGAGGCCGCCGACAGGCTCGCTCCTCCGCCGCCGCCGCCTGCCGTGGAAGAAGCGGCAACGTTCCCGTTCGAGAAGAACGAGAGCGTCGCGGAGGATGCGGACGTGTTCGCGCCGCTCCCGACGCCGCCCCGACTATCAACATTCTTCACTCCGTCGTCCAGCACGCCCTCTCTCCGCCCCAAACCGGACCATATAACGGCATACGAGCCCGCCGACCGCAAACCGCTCAACTACGCGCTCCACATGCTTCTCCTCCAGACCGAACGTTCACGCCTGGACGAGCTCGTCGTCCTCACGTCCAAACTCTACGCCCGAGCGCAGTTGAGGATCAAAGAGAGGTTGGGGAGGAGAGTGTGGCGCGATCAGGACGTGTATGTGCGGAGCGTGGGCGATCGGGTGCGGGTGGATAAGAACTATTGGAGGGGGAGCGTGCGCTTCTGGGGGAGGGAGGAGGAGGAGAGTAAGGCGGTGCATGGGCAGAGGAGGTTCGGGAAGGAGGGCGTTTGGAAGCCTAGAGAGGTACGTTGTTTGCTACCTCTCTTAATGATTATGGTGCTGAAACTATGGTATAGCGGTGGCCGGAGTTTGAGGATCCGGATGCGTTGCCCAAGTTGCGCCGTCGTAGGGACTAGCCTATACTACACTGTCATTAATGCTGCAATCATCTTGCTTTTCATATTCACACGATTTGCACACTGCAAGCTCCAGAGTCCAGGCCTCAATCTGCCAGCTGAACGTCGTTGTCAGTTGCGGCGGGCCCGCGCTGTATGATGGGAATAGTGATACTGTCCAATAGTGGGGAGGGAGGGGATGTCCGCTTTTCTACTAATGCTAGCAACCTCATACTCCGCGTACGGGATGCCCTCCTGAAGTACGCATACAAATGCCCTCAGATTCCGGGCACGACCATCAAGAAGATAGATGCTGGCGGCCCTGATGGTGTTGCGATAGGGTATTCACCATATCGTATACACCAGCACGAGCCCAAGTTCAGAGTTGTGATGAGCCAGGACAGCGACCAGCCTGACAACCTTTCTAAATTACGGACGCTCACTTATTGCATACCGGAGTCTCGCGCTCACCCACGCAGAACTATAGCTCTACATACAATTTCCTGCATGTCCCCTTGCATACGAGCATAACCCTGCACTGACCTCGGCCGTCTGGGGCGCCAGCGCGCCAACGCGGTCAGGTGAGTTCGCTAGTCTCAGTGCTAAGGCCGAAGCTGGCCGAAGGTGCCGTCGTCCAGACATGCACGCCTCACCAGGCAACTTGTGCTAGTCCCCCCCGTACGATCTTCATTAGTGATCCATCAGAAGAAGATTTTTCCACAAGGTTCCGCCCGGAGATCTGCTGACCATACGTATCAAGATGATTACTTGTCCCACATTACAGTCACTACCAGTACTAAGGAACGCGCCAGAACAATGTTTGTGCAATAACACATAGTGAAGAATAATCCCATAGTGCACAACACTTGAGATGAATAGTCTATTGCGAGCGGTGGCCGAGGCCGCCTGTAAACCTCACACCTGCCTGAGGTACTTGAGCGCTCGGAAAGCTGCGACCTTCTTCACGAGGTTGATCCTTCCCCAATGGCCCGAGCCAATGGCGACGCCATTCACTAGCAAGCAGATTCTTAGCTAAGACCACGAAAGCACCAAGAGGGAACGGTAACATACGCATTGCAGCGGCATAGTGCATCGGTGCACCGGTAGGCCCCTCGGTGGTAATGGTCCACTCAAAGTTGCCGAGCTGCTTGGTGTGGCCGAGATGATTGTTCAGCTTCAAGACGTAGTCAACTAAGTCGCGATCAGAATAAAACCATCCAGTATTAAAAGGCATTCACCTACCATTCCTATCGTAGCCTGCATCTTGGCACTCTTCGCTTGAGCGGCTCGAAAGGTTGATCCTGGGCCTCGTCCATTCGACCAGTACTCGCGTGAATCGACCCAAGAAATTCGTAGTTGACTCCGAGCTCGGATGTGCGGGTAACATCGAGTGTGAGGAAGAGATAGAGGATGTGGAGGAAGAGCCAGTCCTGCTCATGGAGTGGAATCAGCGCTGAGACAGCCTGCAATCTCAATGTCACTAGTACTGACGTTCTCGGACTCATGTAGAATTCATTCGTCTCAGCAATCTTGATGTCAATTTCGTTCCCCTGATACAACCCATACGTATGCCCACATTTCGAACTAAACTTCCAAAGAGTGTTAACATGTATGTTCTCGGGCGATGATCAGCCGTCCTCACCACACGATCAAGCCTCCCTCCGTCCGTTCCTCTTGCTTAGTGGAGAGTTTCCTGCAAAACGGGCACCCGGGGAACCGTTCACGAACCACGACAGCCATTCGTAGTCGCGCTTTCGGTCGGACAACCTGCGACCATTCCTGGCGAGTGATGCGAAGACGATCGGTCGTTCCTAGAGCATAATCTCCGCCCAGCACGTATGACGCCCCTATGCGCCCTTTGAATTTCTCCTTCAAGAATCTATCCGTGGTCTGTACATGAAAAGTTCATATAAGCCTCGTTCCCAGCAGCTCACAAACGCAATATGCTGACCTCCCAAGTAGAGAAAGTGTCGTAATGGAGCTCCCATTCGTGATCAAGGATGTCTACGATGATGATGCTTCCAGGCTTCCATCCAAAGACGTGCGGTACTACAGACAATAGCTTCCACATCATGAAGAGCAGAAGATATATCGCGGCCATCGATACTGCGGTCCCAACCGTCACGGACGATGAATTTGGAACCAATTCTTGGCCATGACCGCTGCTGTCTAGTTCAAGAGCCCATGAGAATATTTTCGAGAGACCTCGTTTGATAGTGTCCTGGTCCTTGCGCGAGAACGTTGATATTACGGCTCGCACTTGACGGCCTAGAAAAATCCAATCGTCGTCGAGGACGGTTACAGGCGTACTGGCACGTTCGCTATCGATCCTACTGGACGATAAGGGTTAATCGTGTGACAGAGGGATGGTGTTTTGGCGCGTACTGTTCACTATCATGGCCCAAAGGCTGGTCTACCTGAGGTGGGGCGGATGTCGTAGGTTCGTCACGCTCTGTGGAGGTTATGAGTATACTAGTGCAGTGAAATTCCGAACGGCTAATCACATACCATTGAGTACGCCATCCACCGGGATAGACTAAATGCGACATATGGGCTATGAAACGAGTCATAAACAGAAGGGACATACTGAATGGCCCACAGATTCAAAGCCGGCGTTCGAAGCATAAACTTTGTCAGTTGGAGTTTGCCTTATCGTCGTCATCAGGTCGATCTACGGCGGCATCAGCTCATGCGGTGCTCTGAATGCACATCTGGCGACGTACAAGCTCTGATATCGAACGACTCAGGACGTTGACCTTCTTTGTTAGATCATCTTGTGCCATTGTATGTTCAATATGGAGAGCAACCTGCACAATGATGAGCAGATGGCCATGTGGATACGCGTATCTCCGCATGCACTGACGCAAAATAAGGCGAACGTCGAGTTCATATCTTCGCGGCAACTCTTCATGGTACCGAGGAAGACTTTACGATTGATCACTTTGCGGGCAAATCGACGTGTACGAGACGCAGCAGCTCGAAATATTCCTTCGTTCTTCACGACGTACATGGATGTGCAAGCATCGATGTCTTTCCGGGTCCGGTCAATGCATCTATCAGGCGCCTTTCAGGGCACGTCCATAGGTATGAAAGATTGTCTGCGCACTCTTGTAGTTTGGTGAGGGGTTTGACAAGGGCAGCCGGTATCATATCAGTCGCCATCCCTCGTCCATCACACAGGCTACGGGTTGTATCGACGATCTGCTTGATCTCGCTAACGACTCTCTTGACCGCCTTGCGTTCGTCGTCAAACTCGGACACTTCCTATCTGACGGTGAGTATATACCAGGCAAGTCGTGATGTGTCACAAAACTCACATCGCATATCTTCATGATTTCCGTGAGCGCCTTTGAGATGGCTCCCAAGAAGGGCACGTTCTCCGTCACAGCCGAGACAAAGCTCACGGCCTCGACGACGACCTGTACGGCTTCCTTGATATTCTGCTTTCGTTCATTGTTGAGAGCTATGTGCATCTTCGCATCAGCGACTCGCGCACGCCACACTGATACGAACAACGTACGAGATGGAGACTCTGGGAGACCCGTAACTTGGTCCGGGGTTGTCAAGCATGCAGACATGTAGAGTAGGCGACTGACGGCTGAGAAAGCTGGAGAAGATGTAGATCTCAGTCGTATATGGGAGGAGGAGGCAAGCCTTCCCGCCTCGAGTAAGCGCTTCTGCCATATCACAGCCTACCACTGCCCGCCGGTACTCACGCCCACATGCGTGCTCGATGGCAGCTTGCGAAAAGAGAAGGGTTGACTACTTCGCTTTACGCGGAGAGGCTACATTGAGGACATATGGCATACTTCGGGGTCGGTCCATGCATGAGTACCATTTCCGCCTCTTAAAGACGAAGGCGTGTTCCAAGTTCGCGTTGCGTCTCGCGTCGGAGGTGCGTGGGACAAAGCGCGTGACGGCCGACGCGCGCTTTGCTCGACGTCACGGGCCGAGCGTAGGTTGGACTCAACGCTCGGACACTCCGGTCCAACAAAACCACTCTAGCTATTGTCTCCCCTGATATAAAACTCGTCCCCTGAGACCTCTCATAAACTACCCACCATGACCGACGTCGCACCAGCACACCCAGAACCGACGGCGCAGGAGCAGATGCAGGACAACGAGGAGGAAGACTCGGTACGTGCCTTCTTTACCCTTCCCCGACCGGCTCGGAAATTACCCTGTGGCTGTCCTTTCTTTTGGATGGATGGAGAAGGGCTGTCAAGATGGAAGGCTTTGTTGTTTGGGCGCTTAGGGCTACACCGCGCGCTTGCCGCACGTACTACACGTATTGGAGGGACACTCACGCCCCCTACACCCTTGTCTGCGCCCCTTCTTCCTTGGCTGCCACTACCTTATACTCCTCATCGCTTGAATTTATACTTATTGTTCTTCTGCAGGAGATTGCGCTCATGAAACAACGGGTTGCCGAGATGGAAGCCGAAGCCGCAAAGTTACGCGAGATGCAGGCAGAGGCGGAGGCGAAGGAGGCCGAGCCGGCTAGCCCTGGTACGCCTATGGACGCGGAGGATGACAAGACGCTCTCGGACTCACGGAGTGTATATGTTGGAAATGTACGTTGGTCTCCATGCTGGAAGGAATATTTTCGCTAACGTGTGGCGTCATATGTACATAGGTCGAGTATGCTGCGACGCCGGAGGATATCCAAGCACATTTCCAGGCATGCGGAACTATCAACCGAGTAACCATTCTCTGCGACAAGTTCACCGGCCATCCGAAGGGGTACGTGCTGTCATACGATTATCTGCGCTCTTCTGGACGCTAACGGCGTCCTATAGCTTCGCATACGTCGAATTTGCTGAGCCCGAACACGTCGAAGCCGCTCTGGCACTCGACAACTCGATGTTCCACGACCGGTTGATCAAGGTATGTGCACAGCGGAGTTAGGTGTGGCGAACAGAGGTAACTGACAGCTTCTCCCCAGGTCACGCGGAAGAGGACGAATGTCCCTGGCTTCAACCGTGGACGTGGAAGGGGAGGCTACAGGGGAGGTTACCGCGGTGGATACCGTGGCGGAGGTGGTTACAACCCGTACGGCGGACGCGGTCGCGGCAGGTAAGCTGGCCCTCGAACTCACACAACTATGACATGCTGATTTTCTTCGCGCAGGGGGCGTGGCCGTGGCTACTGATTGCCTGTCAAAAACGTGCTCTATTCTCTATTGCTTCAACCCGTCGACAAAGCTCTCGCATCTTTTGTGTTTCTTGAACCTGAACGCTGCCTGTTATGCCTCTATGTATCGCTTATGATTCTGTCTCAACAACGCTATTAGCACCCGCATATGCGGTAATCCCTGCCCCGCTCATTTTACCACCGCATGTGACCTTAGACTACCCACGAGCGACAGGGCACTGCTGCATGGAAAGAGGCTGTTCCAATTTGCTTGGTCAAACGCGCCCTTATCGACCAGATATACTTAACCTAACAAGCTGCACTTGAGATGTTCAAACTGAACCGAGATCTCGTAAAAGTGAATGACAACACTGAAAGAGCTCATGCTTGATTCTTCTTCCACGTACTGTATGGACAGCTCAAATCCAACGATGGTATCGCCTACCGAATGTGCGCTCTTTCACGTCATCATGCAATCCATTCATTCGTGAAGAAAGGATTTCCATGGGGAGAATGATCATTGCTCTTCAGGGAGGCACAGTATAGCAGTATACAAGAAGACCAGCAAATGCAAAGCAATGAAGACGGTGTGCCAGAGAACAAGCCTAGTGCCGGGCTTTCGTGAGAAATCCGTACAACAATCCATTAGAGAGCTGGGCGACATACCGTGGCCTCTATCCCTTGACGCCAGCGACGAGCGCAGCCATCTTGTCGGGTCTGTCGCGCAAGTAGTTCATCTTTGCATGATGCGTCCTCCTGCCCTTATCCGGCCCCTTCTGGGTTGCGCGACTCAACACCCTGATCTCCTTCACGTGCGGCGAGTTGACGAAGAACTGCATCTCCACGCCCGTCCTGGCAACGACGTTCCTCAGCGTAAAGCTGGTATCCGGCCCGCGCCGACGCACGCCCATGAGTACGCCGCTGAACGCTCCCGGCGCGTGAGTGAGCTTCACGCTCAGTACCGAGCCGGGCCGTACACGTTCCGGGTGGTTTCGGGCGAAGAGGGTGGTGATGAGTCGTTGCTTTTCTGGGGTGGGGAGTGTGCGCTGGAGGTAGGCCATGAGCCCTTTGCCGTCTTTCAGTCCTGCTGGCTTCTCTCCAGGCGGTGGTGGTGGGATGATGGCCATCTTCGAGAATGGATAGGTGGAGACGGCTCGTTTGGAGGCTGGTGCCGCCGTTGTGGACGCGACGGCGCGCGGGAGGGCGCGTAGGGAGGAGAGCATGGCGGTCGGGGACAAGTCACAGGTGTCGCGTCGCGACGAAATGTCAGCACGTCGATACATGGACCCACAACTCTCCTTTCGCCTCCTACCACCACCATTGAATATTCCTGCCACCCTCACATTCAGTCCAACGGGACTTGGAGGCTGCACCCACTCCTTTAGTGCATCTATAATGCAGAACGGCAAATCATTTATCCCTCGACACGCAAGGCTGAGCGTCGCCTCGCGGTACTGTGCCCGCTCTCGCGAAAACAACACCAAGCTTCGATACGACCTATACAGGTTGAACTTCACCTCAACGAGCGAGCGTTATTCTTTACTCTACTGACTTTGTTTGCGGCGATGCTGAAAGACGTAGATCGCGACGAAGAGTTGCTTTATGTTCGCTGAATGGCTCGTAAAACGCGACCCAGACTGTCGACATGGCTGTGGCACTCGTGCCTCCTCGAACTACTGATCTGAATATACGCTGCTGCCTGCCCATGTACTTGCGTACAGTGGTGATGGCGCGAGTGAAGCCAACCGTTCAAGGACTGAAGTGCTGCTTGAGCTTCCATGAGGTCTGCAATGAGATGAACTTCGAGCACTGGTCGATGCCGGTATTACAAGTGGTTTCGACTCATCAATGGTGATAGGATATTGTCTGAGCTGACCTGTGCAGGAGCGCCTTGCTTCCATCATGTTACTCTTCCGCTTTCCGAATATATCGTCTGGTGCTATCATGGATATCAGGTCTCAAGCCCACGTAGTGCGTGAGCCCTAATGGGGCTCCTGTATCAGAACATGAGGACCGAACCGACGCTAGGTGAGTCGGTCTCGTGTTTATCTTGCGTTGAACGAGCCCGCAATTAATTCGCACCCTTGTCATATAGAACTCGGACACTGGCAAGCGTGCCTGTATGTACGGCACACGTACAATGTCTGGATCCGCGACCTTTTGTGAATACGTGAATACGCGAGGAACCGTCGCGGACATACAAAAGACATCCAAGAACACGCCCTGATCTAGCATATACGACTGACTGCTGCTGTTCGATGTCGGCATGCTGAAGAGCGATTCGATCCGTCAGATCCACCGGGTTGACTCTGCATTATGATGGCATTTAATCACCGTGTTGCTGGGTCTACGCCCGGAGTCATAGCATGCCGAATAGCAAACCCATTATCATTGTCACTTAGGCACAGTGGGCCTACAATGTCACTTTCGAGTGGTGGATCGGAACTCACTATGACGGTCACCCGCGCCCTGCGAACAATATCCCACAATCGGATACCCTCTCAATCTTCTCTGACTTCTTGATACGCTTGACCGATATCTCCGTTTTCGTGGGTGGCAAGAAGTATCTCTGACCGGATCCAGTAGAGTCTGGGAAGCCGGCGAGGACCGAGGACGTGGTGGTTCTTCACCTCGGGCTATCAACGTTAGGCTTTACAAGATACTCGGTGTATACTTGAGCCCATCCAGGCTCGCATCAGCTCTGGTCTACAAAGTGGGTACAACCTGGGCCTCAGCGCTGCGGATAGCGCGCATTGTTGTCCCAAGGGGTACAGGCTATAATCTCATTGACCCCATTTGACATGAAATGTTCCGCGGACGGATACCAGCGGAACCGGCTTCTCGGATTCTTCGATCAGCAACTGACTGGATGGAGAGTGGGGCAACTCTGACATACAAAGATCTGGGGCCAACAGCGTCAAAACGCCAGACTTCCCAGCACTTGTCATGCGAAGGTTCGGGGGCAAAGTCACGAAGTAAGTTGATGCGCAACTGGCCTGCGATGTATGCTCCGAGGAATACAGTTGGACATGCGTATAGGCGCAGATGAGTTTGAATGCTTGATCTTCCGAACGTGAAAGAACCCCGCTGGCTCGATCATGAGTACCCCCAGTGTTGACTGCTGAGGAGCATGAACCGATTCATCATAGATGGCTTTATCCCTCGAGCGCAGAAGCCGTGTCAGTCCGTTTCGGACAAAGTACGAGTGGGTACGTTCAACTTCACCGATCCCGACGGTGATGTATCTGGTTAGGTTGTATGGGATGATGTTACACGGTTCTCCATGAATCAAAACGTTCATATCTAATGAGGGCGTCTCCAACGACAAGCCGAAGAAGCCGGTACCAGTAGAGCTCATATTTCCTCTCAGACCTTCTTCCAAACGACCATCCGCTGTCTGCCCTCCTTCCCTTTCTGGACGACCGCAGGCACCTCATCGAGCACCTTCTCCCAGCCATGGAGAACTTCGTCGTAATGTCCGGGCTCGAGATAGAACGGCGGGCCATCGTCACTCTTCGGCTCATTGAGAGGGAAGACGAGTGTGATGAGATATGCGCCTGGTCGCGCAAGATCGGTCATCTTCTCAGCCCAAGCACTTCGAAGCTTGGGTGGCAGGGCTACGAAGAATCTGACCATTCGCGTCAGCCGACGGGTCCGTTACAAGTTATGAAGATGACTGCATACGTATAGTCATAGATCAGGTCGAATCCTTGATCTTCCAAGGCAAAAAAGTCCGCAAGCTTGACGGAGACCTTCCCCGTAGGAGTATCCGATGTGGACTTCAACAGCCTATCATCTCATCGTAAGTTCGAGACGCAGCGCCTGAAGAAGTGATGGACCGCACAGTTCTGCGGCTTCCACAGCTGATGGAGCGATGTCGATGGCCACCGTTTCCAGTCCAAGATGACGTGCAATAGCAATAGCATCGTATGCCTGTACGAAGGTCAGAAGCAGACATGTGTCTGTGCAGATATGGACACCAACACGACCGCAGCCGGGAACGAGAGCACGTCCCGATTCTGGAAGGGGAAGCCTTTTCGACGTCAGTAGATCCACCAATGGAGGCTGTGGTTCTCCAGCGTCCCAAGGGGTGACCTTGTTCTTCCTAGCGTCGAACAAAGCGCGTCACTTTAGGGCCGCCGAAGAGTCGTAGCGAGTTTTTCACTACCAGGCTTCGTCCCATCCGTCTTGGCCCTTCTCGGAGATGAGGCTACGCACTCTCAGCGTCGCCTGAGATAGAAAGGGCTTGGCTGGCTGTTCGGACTCGGACATGTTGGGAGTATGACAGCCTATCGGTGACGTTCAGATGCAAGGGTTGACTTGGTGGTCCGGAGCTAACACGCGACTCACATCCACGCGACTTCTACAGCTCTTCTGGTTCCCACGGGCAGTTGACAGCCGGTTCAGTCAAGAAGCTACGTAGTTACACGAAAATGATACTACGGTTGACTTTTGTTTTAGGAGGACACTATTAGAGCTTTCATAAGGATGACAGGGATGGCGATACAAGTACAGACATTCAGAACTGACATAATGAAGAGATTGATCTGAGGTCGCGCCGGAGCGTAGTCTTCTTCCGACTGAATACATGACCAGCAATGGTGTAGATAACGTCAAGGCAAATATCGACTGAATGCCTGATCTCGCGTCAGCGGTGCCAGACCGTCTCACGCGATGCCAGGAAATCAAGCGAAAGCCTTGTCTACTACATACACTGCGCTTCTTTCTGGGGTTTCAAGGTATCCGTCACTCGGTGAGCATTGGAATGCCTTAGACTCGTTATAGCGTACTTGCATAGGAGTGTTGAATCCTATGTAGTCGGACTAAACATCACTGGGACTTTGCAATGTCCGACGTTCTGCTTCGCGCCGCTGAGCCTCAAGATTCCGTTTGAACTGCTCTTCTTGCGCTTCAAGTGTCCCCCTGAAGCGGGAGATAAGGTCGTGGCCAGACGAGTGTGAGAGAAAGAACGCACGGCAACGGATTCTCCTGAATGGGCAACGTGCAGAGGAAAGTGAGGAAATTAAGAGCGGCTTGGCAAATGAAGACTACGTGGATGGCGTCCGAGTACGAGGCGATTGCCGCAGCTTGATCCTGGGGGCTCAAGCTGGGAATGATATCCGTCGAATGTCTACGATACCATTGGTGAGTCTTCTTTTAATGAAATGAAGAAAGACGCGCACCGGATACTCGCGATGATCTCGGCCGCATTGGGTCCATGAATGCGCTCGTGCAATTTCGTACCAAGGACGGCTTGCAGAATAGTTCCGCTCAAGCTTACTCCGAGAACTTGGCCAGTCGTGCGGAATAGGTACGTGACTGATCATTTGTAAGCGTACGTTCGAGATATCAAACGATTAGACACCTACTGCCTGTTGCGACTGCAATATCTGCTTTCGCTACACCAGCAATGATAGCCTGCAAGATACTGGTCAGACCAAAGATGTATCACACGATGAGCCTAACTGAACCACAGACAATGAGCGTCGACGTAATCAGACTGGCCATGCCGAGACCCTGAGGCATGATGTCGAGCCAAAGATGCCATGTCGCCGTCTTGTCACTCCATTGCGTTATGAGCAACGTGGCAGATGTAGCCAGCAGTGCACTTGCTACAGTGAGCCAGTACAGCTTTCCAGTATGGCGCATGACATATCCCGCAAGTAGGCTGCCTGTCGAGATGGCAGCCGAGTGTGGAAGGAGGTGAAGGCCAGCGTTTGTGGAGCTCGCCATTCGCACTGCGGTAAAATATAGAGGGACATTGTAGATGACGCTGAATGCCGCCATGCTACCAAACAAGTTGGAGAGGCAGACAGCAAGCGGCGTGCGCTGAGTGATCAGTCGCAGCGGGAGAACGGGTGAGACCGCTACTTTCGCCTCAACTGTCACAAACACAATCATAAGCACACCGCTTGCGACGAGAAGTCCCCAGACCACCGGCGAAGCCCACGGGAGCGCGGCGCTTTCTTTGAGTGATACGCCGAGGAGCAGGGCTCCGACTGTGCCAGCAAGTGTGAAAGAGCCAAAGAAGTCCATGCGCTTGAGCTTCTCCCGTGTACTCTGAGCCTGCAGCTCGGCTGAGAGCGGGATGTGCACCTTCCATGCCACAAGAACGACAGAGAAGGCTAGGACTGGTATTTGAAAGAGAAACGCAGAGCGCCTACGCGAGACAGCGTGAGCATGAGAGATTGCTTAGGATTGGGGCAGTCTGCCAGCGTACCATCCGAAAGCATCATTGAGCCATCCACCGAGCGGACCACCAGCGCCTGCGCCCAACCCGAAAAGACTAGTACGAATACGGGTGAGCATATGCAATCGGTGCAGGGTATCAAGAATGCTCACATGTTCGCCATGCCTTGATATAACCCGCGTTGCTTTCTAAGGGCGCTCAGTACCGATCGCGATTTGCGCTCATCCAGATCAGAACTTACAGCGGGATGAGATCAGTGACTGCCACACTTGAAACTGGCGGCATCTCATCGGTTATCGGAACGAAGAAGCAAGAGAACGGACTAACCAGTCATGACACTATGGTGGGAATACATATTCAGTGATGGTCCTACACTTGACATGAGAGAAGACGCACCCTCCGCCGCCCATTCCCGCGATGGCCCTTGCCGCAATCATCATGTTCATTGACGTAGCTACGCCGCATAATATCGTCCCAATGCCTATTGGGAGACATTGTCGTGATGAGATGACCGGTCTGCGCCTGACCTTTGATAACACTCACCAAAGAATGCAAGACCAAGTAACATGGCCCCGCGTCTACCTAATACATCCGATAGACGGCCTGTATCAGGAGGTCGTTAATCTCGGTGGTAATAGTCTCAGCGATTGGAAATGCTGGCCTGACCGTAGAGGGGCGTGAAGCAGCAGACAGATAACAGATAGGATGTCCCAATATACGAGGCCTCGTTGGATCGTTCAAAGTAGTTGCCAATTGGCGTCATAAGCGTAGCCACAATGGTCCCTTTCAATGGTTCAATACTGGATGTTCATCCCAGCTGGGTGACGCAATCATACCATCCAATGCACCGAGGAAGACGGCACTCCAAAGTCCAGCAAGAACCCAGACAAGGTCAGCACGCGAGGTGTGCGGGGGTGGAGGTTTCGGTTGGTTATCTACTGTGGTCGAAATAGGCTCTGGGGAGCCAGATCGTGATCGGTTGTATGCGGTAGGCGATGATTCGCCAGACAGTAGCGGTTGCCTTTCGGGTGAGGTGGAGATGGTGATATGTTGTTTGGACATGTCGCCGAGAGGTGTCGCAAGTCAATGGAAGCTAAAACTCGTCTATGGGTCGTTCGAGATCCTGGTATGGAACGGAATGTCAGCGCCGTTATGTCGTGGGGTCCCGAAGAAGGTGAAGGGGAAGGACGGAGGTGGAAGTTTCTGCCCCAGGACTTTAAAGGGAACGATGCCCTGATATCCCCAGTCAATGCTGTCTACCGGTCGATATCAAAGGCGCCCTGAAGTCCAGGCTGAGAGGATGTACTGCGAATTCATCCACTCCGTCCTCATCGGACCAACTTCGAATGGACGATTCTGGTAGACAGTCTTCGCATACGCACCTTCTCCCCACTGGTTATGGTGTTTGTGGTTGTCGCAGATTCTGGCCGGTCAATTGTATGATGGTGAGGGTAGCATCGAAGCCTGCTCATTGAGGCAGCCGGCGGAGAGCAAGATGAGGGAAAGAGGGAACGGGAAGGAACACCGAATCACGTCATGCCGAACAGACTCACGATATCGTTGTGGGCGCTTGAGGATCGCAAGTCCCTTTGTTTCAACCACCACCGCCGGTTACCTACGCTACGACCCGCTTCTGGTAGATATCGATCTGCATGTGTGCTTCGCGAAGAGAAGTGCTAGCTACTAGCCTAAATGCTTGATCTATATCTGGAGCACAATGCCCGGACCTATTGGGCGCCAATGCGATATCTGGCAGATATTTGTGCGGTGTCAACGGACGCGCGGAACGGCTTTTCACGCCTCCGGGTCAACCGCTCAGGCGCCCACGCCGAGCGAAATCGTCGGCCGACTGGCATTGCGCCTCTACTGCACTTGTTTATGTGATTGAGCCTCTAAATCGCGTGAATCTTGGCCGTGCTTGACCAGCTTGGGCTCAGGGCTCGAGGATATCTGCCTCAGGCCACCGAAATCTGAGGTCGGTGGATTATTATATGGTCGCTCGCTGGCGCCTAGTGCCCCGCTCGGTCGAAAAACGACGCTGGGTTATGTACAGCCTCGGGCGTCTATGTATCTGACAGTCCGTGAAACCCGTTCGAGCACACCCCCCACGCAAAGAGGGTATATGCTTATGATCCGGCGATGACGGTTCAGTGGTCGGGCCGAAAGCAACCTTTCAAAACATCAACTTGACCTATTTCCGTCAGAGAGAGCAGCAGCTATTGTGTTTTACTAACGAGTCCCGTGGCCTGAAGAAAGGCAACATTCGATGCCCGAGTGGGAACACCAGCTTGGTTTTGTCGGAGACCTCTCTCCATAGTACATGCCACCGCGTCTTTGACCGCGACCTACATACGATTGCGTTCAGTACTCATGGTACGAGATAACTCATGTGATCGTGCACAGAGGCGACAATACGTGGCTCTCCTACCTTTGCGCGGATCGTTGAGCGGCTAACAGCAGTTTCATGTGTACCGGTGCCATGATCATTGCGGGGTGGCATGGATACCAACCTTGCTGTTCACCTGATAGTCCCCGATGGCGCCGGAGCCGCTCAGTCCCAGCCTCTCGACGGAGGGGACTGATTTGACGTGCGTCACCTTCACATCACTCAGAATGCATGCTTACACTCATAGTGGCGATAGAGCGATAACTGTGTCTCAATGACAGAGCTGGCACGACCACCTGTAGGTGTTCATACACTTTCTAGGGCTCGCAAGCGGCGAGTACGGAGTAGGATTTGTGTATCTACACAGTGACTCCATCCTCTCAAAGATAAGAGATATGAGCGTCCATAGGAAACAGACGACCTCTTCACTCTCACCAGGATACGTATCGCACCCACGATCAACGCCGATGTGGCGCCCAAGTGAAGGTCCGACGCAAGGATTGGAGCTGGAGGATGTCGAGCTCCTGCCCACATCTCGTTCAGGTTGATGTGATCAAGCGTAGGCTCCCGATGCTGCTCAGGCAGGGCAACGCTTGTCAGCTTTATGTTGAAAGTCTCTCTTGAACTTTCGACGACCTCGACAGGAAGGTACTGATTCCGAAACATCCCGTCATCCTACTCAGAGTTGACGGTCCCCAGGTGTCATGAGGTCTACCCGCGACTGTTGTACTAGGTTTAGTCGCGCTCGTTCCCTACGTTCGTTGTGATCGACGTGGGTACGAACGCGGTTATCAAGACCCATCGTGGAAATTGAACTCATGTGATCGTTATCATGAGTAGGCGCTTGCGGGTCCGCCGATCCGCGACTGAGTGACCCGAGCCTCAAGGGGCTTTGTCTCCTCCCACCACCATGAATGAACACAGTTATCATACTCGAAGGACTTCCTACAATGACAACAAGTCGAGTGCACCCCTGATCTATCAAAGAGCTGACGCAATTGACCCGACACCGACGGAGTCGCCCAGTCGCGTACTGGGCGGAGCATCGAGAAGTCATCCGCTGGTTGCGCGGGCAGATGCCACTTAGCAGTTGATCTGCACCCACCTTAACACCAGAACATGCCTAAAGTCGGTGAATCTGAGGCCTTTCCAGTCAATACACTACTCCTTGAGAGATCCGGCACTGTCGCTTCAAGCTACTTAGGTTCGGCTTACATCGAAACATAGGTTCTACTCCGGACCTTCAGGCCACCAGACTACCAGACTGTCTATCCTATTGGTGCACGATCTCGATCAGTGCTCAATCGTGCGCCTGCGCAACTCCCAATGCACGCTAGGCTTACTGTGGGCTCACTGCCCTCGTTTCTATCGGTGTAACCTAGCACTCGCTACTCGTATGATTATCCCGAAGAGTCGGTTATGAGGTTTCTCAAGGAGCGGACAAGGTAAGAATCACTACATGGCATGCTTACCCTCTCCGATGGACCTAGAGAATTCTCGCAGGCCAGACCGTCAGACATCAACGGCGCCGCTGTATAGCGCGCGAATCCCAACTGCGGGACCAATACCGTCGGTGAAGTTGCTTTAGTCCCAACACTCACATCGATAGCGCTGATGATCTGGTCCTTCGTGCATCTCGAGATGATCGTTTGGATACGGAGCACGCGTATCACTCAGGCTCGTCACAGTCCGCGGGTCTCTGAGGGGGCCAATGAACTGCGGCATATCTAGTCCCGCGGATGGGGACAGTCCAACACACGACTTATAGCGGACCACCATCCAATCCATCTTCTCTTTCTGCTATCATGTTCTGTTTGCGATGTGCCGTACAGCTATGCTCCGGCCATGGTATGTACTCGCTCGTGAAAAGATTTTACCACCGGTACGCTCAACCGATGATAGAGTTGTGCCGACAAACATGAGAGGTCCAGGTCCAGCAAACCGCAAGTACACACCTTTTCTCACAGCGGTCGATCCGCAGTGCGGCCCAACAACTCTGCCGTACATATCCTCAGCTCTCAAAACTTGGCCCGATGCTCCACGAGTAATGAAGCTTATAGAGGTAGCAGTTTCCCCACCAGAACAACGACACATGCTTGCCTCGACATTTTTTGCGGTCTGAGTTCGCCCCAGGCGGTGGGTGCCGTACATACCTGGATTTACAACGACTCCAACCTCGTATGTCCGATCGCTAATCCATACCGCAGAGCACCTTTGCTTACACAGATTGGTTCGAGCTGAGAATGACTAGACCGAACCGTCGTCAGTTGGGTCTGCTGTCTTGTATGCCGTCTTAATGCGTCTGCGAACACTTAGAGGGTGATACTCGTGCCACAGCATGTACCACTCCACATTTCATGAACGCGCAGCTTCATGGACTCCGCCGAGTACAACTCTCTCCTCATGCTTGTGCTCTACCGTTAGACTTGCACTGTGCGCACACGACGTAGCTTCGCTCTTGAAGATTCCTCTGCGCCGTAGACGGCGACGTCAGGGCCGGCTCGAGGTTCACGAAGAAACACAACCCTGCAGGCGGAATACATTCGCATAGCATCCGTTGTGGCACTGGGATTCGCGCGACAAATATGCCGTTTGCATGGTCTTCGCGTGCTGCGCGCACGCACGGGCCATGGCCAGATGAGGAACACGGGCGGTGCCGAGAACGTAAACGCTGGCTGACTGAGCGCGCGTCGGGCTGCTGACTGAGGTTGAATTGGCTGAGTTGAAGTCGTCTCTGTGCGTCGGCAGCGCGTCAACTTCAGAGCGGGCGTACGAAGGCGGCGTCGGGGTCGAGCAGATCTATGAAGACGCGTGTTCATGCTGGCAGCGGCGTTGAGCGTGTGGCGCACGTCGGAGATGCTTTGCCGATTCCATTGCTTTCAAAGCCAGAGTCCCAGGTCACCGACTTGGCGTACTTACTCGGATAGAATAGCTGGTCCACACCCTCCTTCTGTCTACGGCTGACCGTGGTCAAATGTTCAAACGCGCTTGTAACGCGGAGGGCATGCGCGAAGGGGCGCATCAGTAGGAAATAAAGATGGGCCTGGCTCGTGGCGCTCTAGGCAAAAGTTAGATGTGCTGTTTTCTATACACAGCGCCTTCCCGTTCCCTAAGAGGCAAATATTAGGATGGAACTCTCAGCACCATATTATGAAGTTCGTAGCTATGCTGAAGATGCGTAAATGCGGGGAAGGCAGCCGGGGAGCGCGGAGCGGAGATAGCCGAGACCCAGGCCCGTTCTCCCGCGTGCCCCTTAGTCGCTAAGCGTCGAGCAGCACTTGGAGTTGGGCTGCTTTCGACCGCGTCTCACTGTGCTCTTCGCAATGCCTTCCACGACGACGACGGCAACCCGGCCGACGCCCGCGCGGACGCTCACATCGCACGCGAGTGTGGATGCGTTGCGCTCAATGGGCTCGCACAGCACGCCTTCGTCGCCTTCACCGTGGAAGTCACTCTTTCGCCTACCGAACGGCTCTCGGAAACTTGCATCTGGCAATGCACCGCCAGGAGAAGAGAGCTTAAGCGTGGACACGTCGCTCAGTCTAAGCGCCACACCGCCGCAGACGCAGAGTCCAGCGCTGCTGACACCGACGTCGCTTGCGAGCCTCGGTCCGGACCGGCCCTCGTACAACTCGAGCCTCACCACCGTCAGCTCAGACGACAACGGTTCACAGACCCCACCCGATGCCTCTGTCGATCTAGCCGGTCGCAGACATAAATCGACAGTCGCAGCGCCGCCGCCGCTTAGTCCGTCCACGAGCGCCTACTTTCCCGGCGCCCAACAGCCCACGCGCCAGAAAACCCAGCCGGCACCACAGCAGCCACAACGGCCTGGGCTGGGTCCTCGCAGCATCTCGGGCTCTGCATCTCGCTTCCTCCGTCGGGTTGCATCTGCACCAAACGCCAAGGGCCTCTTCCACCTTTCATCCCGGACTCCTTCCACTCCAACTACCAAGAACGGACATCTCGCCGCGCCTTTACACGAAGGAGCACATCATGTACAGGCGAAGGCGGATAGCATCGAAACAATCTCCAGTGGAAGTAGTCGAGGAGGAGGACGGCCACCACCACGCTTTGTTAGCCAGCCCGGGACGCCAGCACTCGGCGTGCCCAAGGCACCTTTCCGGCGCACATATTCCAGCAACTCGATCAAGGTCAAACAGGTGCGTAGCAATTCAACGTGCATGCCTCGCGTAAATACGCAGCCGTTAGCCGTAACGGGCGCGCGAGAACCATAAAGATCGCGAACGGTGGAGATTGCTGGTGATGGCACTGTTTGTTGCACGTCCATCACGGCTGGCCTGGGATCCTGCTGTCGCATGCTTGAGCTGTGTGCGGTTGCGTCGCGTTGTATTGTCTCGTGGGTCCGGAAATACGAATAAGCTTGCTCATGCGCCGTTGGTTGAAGGTCGAAGTCGGGCCAGGCTCGTTTCAGAAGATCAAGTTACTAGGTCGCGGCGATGTCGGCAAAGTATTCCTCGTTCGGGAGAAAAAGAGCAGCAAGCTCTTCGCCATGAAAGGTATGTGCTAGATCAACTGCAGTGTTTTCCACGCGCCGCATGCTTCCCTGCATACCCATATATGGGCTGTGGCGTGAGGCGCATTGTTCAAGATACGGTCATGCTGACGTTATGAACGTTCACAGTGCTGTCGAAACAGGAGATGATCGAGCGCAAGAAGATTAAGCGCGCACTCACCGAGCAAGAGATCTTGGCGACAGCAAACCATCCATTCATCGTCACGCTTTACCACTCCTTCCAATCCGATCAATACCTGTACTTCTGCATGGAATACTGCATGGGCGGCGAGTTCTTCCGCGCCTTGCAATCAAGACCCGGGAAATGTCTACCAGAGGATGCGGCAAGATTCTACGCTGCCGAGGTCACCGCCGCACTCGAGTACCTCCATCTCATGGGCTTCATCTACCGTGATCTCAAACCCGAGAGTGAGCATTCTCCGATGGTGCTTAGGAGGCGGCTCAGACTGACCGCGTGTATAGACATCCTGCTGCATCATTCAGGACACATCATGCTTTCCGACTTTGACCTTGCAAAGCAATCCGGCACCATGGGTGGGATGAACGCGAGTATATCTAAATCAGAGCTCAATGGGGTGCGTACTCTGTTCTATCATGTTTTGCGTTCGCTCGTCAAGATCCGTCTACAATCGCGCTCGGGTCCATATTCTATTTTGAGTCGGAGGTGCTCTGCTGGAACATACAGTGATCGCGCGCGCCTACGAGGCACATGCGGGCCCGAGTGCGGCGCAGACACATCTGCGTTGGCGCAAGCGTTCACATGTGCAGGCTACAACGGAGGCCCGTCGCACCTCGCCGCCTACTGCCTGCGCGCCGCAATAATGATTATTGCCTCTACCTCCACCGCTGCCGTGACGCGCAGAGTTCTAGAGGATGGCAGGGCCATGATATTCCCATATTGCATTATCGGTGGTGCGGTGTGGGTGCTATACAGTGGTCCTCCGAGGCCTTCGTGGCGCTGTGGGAGGCACGGCCTAGTTTTCTGCCTGTGCGCCTTCCTTGCACGGGGTAAAGCCTTCAGAGAAGGGAAGCCCCGTCCTGATACGGGCTAGACCCTTTGTATTCATTCCCATGCCGTGCTCGCGTGGTACTAGCGCCAGCAGGACCACTTTCTAATCTTGCGAGCGTGGTGCTTGCGTTTTCTGTTCGCCGTGCCTAGGAATTTCTGTTGTGTTGCCGAGGAATGGATTGGGACTGGCAGTTGTAGTGTTGGGCGCGCGCTGACGTGCCGTTACACCAGCTTCCGATGGTCGACACCCGCTCCTGTACGGGCGACTTCCGCGCAAACAGCTTTGTGGGAACAGAGGGTGCGTCTACCGTTGTCCGCTCTACTCCATATGACGGGGTACTGATCTTCGCAAACGCTTCACCTTTTCATTTTCGTCTCCACGCTCGGTTGGGTCTGGTTGATTGCGGTCATACGCGCACTAATCCGCGGCGCCCACGTCCACGCCCTTCCCACCGCACCGCACCGCGACGTTTCGCCTCTGTGATCCGTTCTCGGTCTATGCGCCGTCGCCCTACACCACCCGTACTGCATGCACCACGCAAATCGCCGCGCACCAACTCTGTTGCAACTGATCGCGCCCACACTTTCGCTCGATGAACACTTGGACTCTCTGATCTTCCCTGGCCTATGTTTGACCGGACTTGCTCATGTCCATCGGCCACCGTTCGACATCGGCCGCTCGCTGCCTCCGACCGCGCCCGCCACCACTGCGCTCTGGCGCCCTTCGGCGATGCCGCGCTGAATTGATGCATGCCGCGGTGCTCACTCACGCTCCACGTATGGCAATTGCTAAACCTCGGACGGGAACGCTCTTGCTTTATTCTCGCCGAATGTCACATGCGGTCCGGCTCGCGCGCCTTGCTCATCTAATACGCTATCTCTATGGACGATACGTGCTCGGGCGGGAAATGTAGAGTACATCGCGCCCGAGGTGATACGCAATACTGGCCACACTTCCGCAGTCGACTGGTGGACGCTCGGGATCCTGATCTACGAAATGATCGTGCGTTACCCTCATGCCTCGCCGCAAAGACACATACTGATCTGCGCTTTGTTCTCTTTTTTCCTTGTAACCTTTCCACTGCGCTCCGTGTAACGTCAATGCCTGCACGACTTTCTCACTTCAACCTACTTTGGCCAATCGACTTGCCATCACCGTACAATCGCGCGCGATCGGCCCCAATTCACTAATCTTACGCTCTCGACGGGATCTGCCGGCAACGTCCGAACATCGAATCCGGGCGAACCCAAACCGTCCCTGACGGGCTTTGTGGCGTCGCCGCGTGCCCCTCGTGGCTGCCGTTTACGACCCCCTCTCGCGAACTTTTCACGACGGCTGGTGACCTACGCTGCTCCTCCGCCGCGTTTGGTCATTCGAATGCATGCATGCGTTGCGGTGCATTGTTGACGCGTACTGCGCACGACGCGGATGAACGATTCGTCCGACGTTGCCTTGACTGGCTGACTGACTTGACACTGGCCTGACTGAACACTGACTTCATTCGCGCTGGATCCTCGCCGCTGTCGCCTCTCGACATGGCCCTGGATACTTGTGGTGCCTGCGATGGCGCGTACCTATCCGACTGAGGACAGTACGCAACAACGCCGTTCAAGGGCCCCGAGCGTAACGACACGTTCAACAACATCCTCAAGGTGCCAGTACACTTCCGCGACACGCCCAAGGTGACGAGGTGAGTTCTTTGTCTCGATCACGCTGCTCCATATCTTCGCGCTCCGTACTTCCCTTCCCTTCCTATGCTTCCGCGATTTGGCTTTTTGGCGTGTCTCGCCGTAAGATCCTGCTCGTCTGCAAGATCTGCTTCCAATCCTGCACGCGATTGTCTCAACCATCCGTGCCCGCCCCTTGCACCGCCGGATACGCTCAGCTTTGAGATGTTCCTCATTGCTCCGCCACCGGGGCAATTCCAGAATGTCTCGCAGTCCACTGTAGAGCGTACCCCGCCGGCGTCTATGACTTGCATTGTACACCGGCCGTGTATCGGCGTTGGGAGTACCCGCCGGGATAATGACCCTTGTACCTTGTATTCGAACTTCGCCGACGTGCAGTCCATGCTCCAGCGTCTACGGATTCGTTTCTGCTTCGTCGAAGGCATGCGGCCCCTGATCGCCGTGGCGCTTCGGCGTACGCTGTGTATCCAGTGCGAGGGCGAGAGGTCCTCCGCCGTTCATCTCGCGGTGGTCGATTATGCCGCGGATAACGCGACATGTGCATTCCACTTCACATTCGCGAGAATCGCACGCTTCGCCGCCGTGCTACCCAAATATGCTTTTCTGAGGTCTTCCGCGGCGGCTTTCTGTTGAGCTGAGGACTCGGGGGTCAGCGGTGCATGAGCAAGCTCCGACGGTGCATGCGCATTGCCCTAGATGGCTTTCCTTGCTCTTTCTCTGTGCCATGCGCTTTCTGATGACATGATCCCCTTCATCCTTCCTCTACCTTTTTCCTTCATCTTTTCATATTGTCGTATATGCCGTGAGCCGCATGCTGACTGAGATGTTACACACAGCGCTTGTAAGGACTGCGTGACACGGCTACTGGACAAGAGCGATACGCTTCGATTGGGCAGCAAGACGGGCGCGAGCGAGGTCAAGCAACACAAGTGGTTCGCCAAGATCAACTGGGGATTGCTCAGGAATACCGAGCCGCCGGTGAGTGTCCTACAATCTACATCTTTCATCGTCCATCTGTTCGCGTTCTGTTCGCATCGTCTGTTGGATGTGTGAGCATCTGTTAGGCGTATGTGACGGGGCGATGGCAGGCATCGCCGCATCTGTTCGTGGTTATGACCTTGCCGAGTCCGACCGCACTCGGGCTCGGGCATCCGTTCACGTCGTTTCTACAATCTGTGTTCTATGTGAACCGTTGCTGACGATAGGCTTCACTCAGATTGTCCCCGCATCGTCGAATGGGCTCGACGCGGTCAATTTCCGAAGACTTGACGAGACGCGCAGCCAGTCACTGCACCTCGAGGCCGAGGCCATCCGGGCCGTCGCCGGCGCTGGTGTCGCACAGACCCCGGGCGAGCACGACGGGATAGATGCCGACCTCTTTGGCGCGTTCAGCAGTATGACCATCGAGCACGACGGGGAGGTATAGTGCGGTGCTGCGGATTTTATTGCCTCACCGCGTGCTCGCTGGTTGCGACGTGCTCTTCTCATCTCGTTCATTCATATCATCTCTTTCAGTTGATCTCTTTGCCTCTCTGCACACCCAGACATTCCTTGGATTGTTTCGACGCCATATTGCTTTCTCCGCTGTACGATGTTCGTGTCTGTCTCGTTCATACATTTTTCTGCGTTTGCATCGCCGCTGCTCGGTCCCTCCCTCGTTCAACATTGCCCAGGTCTACCCCCGCACCGCCTTTCTCGCTTTCATTGCCTCTCTCGCCCATCATATCCCCTATTGCAATCTCTCCGTTTGGCCTCGGATACATTACACCGCTAGCGCAGCACACTCATACAGATACACATATATCATTGGACGGAACGGCGAGACGCGCGCGTTTGAGAGCCTAACTAAGAGGGTCACAGCGAAATGAGATGGAACGACTATCCGTGTGTGGTCGGGTGAAGGGTGAAGCAAGTGGGAGAGTCTGGCGACGGCGATTCATGACGCGCAGAGGCTGGACCGCGGGCCATGGGCAGTTCGAACCGCTGGCCGCAACAAGGTTTGGGTTTCGACGATTGGCTGGACGGGGTCAGTTGCGGGTACGATAAGGGCCAGGAGCAGTCAACGTCAGGCCTTTGTCTGTGTGCGCGTGTGTACGCGGCTACCTTGTGCCATTCTGTGCTGATGGTAGCGCAGCGAGTGACAGAGGAGGTCGAGAAGACGGGCGGGCAAGTAACGTGAAGGGGGTGGCAGGAGGATTGGCAAGCAAGGCCCCGCTCGAACTCGCTTGTCACGGGCGAGCGCTTCGGGGGCCGGGTGGGAGGCGTTTGCCGGGTTGTGAGATCTGAGATCTGAGATTGCTCGAGCGCGGCGATTGACCTGTGGCCGAAAGCGGAGCGGTTCCATCAGGCTTCTAAACGGAAGCGGCTGGTCCCGGGGCTCGGCGCAGGCGGTAACTCGCGTGGTCGTACGCTTGCTGCTCTCGCGCTCTCGGTTTCCACTCTGCCATAATTATAAGTACGCGCCGCGGTGATATTATGGACCCCCAACCTCAACTTATCCACTGCCGAGCATGGACTACTCCTACGACCAGCCGCCTTCGCCGCCCAAGGACGGCAATGGCAACGCCAACGGCAAGCAGCAGGCCACCTTCCTCACCAAGCTCTACGCCCTCCTCGAGCGACCCGAGAACCACCACATGATTCGGTGGGACGCAGACGGCGAACACATCATTGTCGAGCGGCCAGAGCAGCTTGCTTTGCATGTCCTTCCTTCCATCTACCGCCAGTCGCGCTTCGCGAGCTTCTCCCGGCAGCTAAACGTGCGCGTCATTGTTCGTTCTGTTTGACGTTGGCGCGGTTCTGACAGCTCGCATCGTAGATCTACGGCTTCATGCGCAAGGTCAACCTCCGCAACGTCGACCCGGGCATTAACGACCCGGACGCCAGCACGTGGTGTATGTGGCTCACTTTCTGTGTACCCGTTGACGCGTGTGTCTCACTCGGTGGCGCATTTCCACAGCTCACCCGACGCTCAACAAACACTCCCCGCCCGAAGTGGTTGCCGCCTTCAAGCGTCGCGTGCCACCACGCCCGGCCAAGCCTACGCGCGCCGGCAAGCGGGCCGACGACGGCATGCAGCCGCGCTCTGCCATCGCACCCAACGAAGCGCTCCCGTTCGGCCACCCGGTGTCGCCCAAGACGCGTGCACGTGGATTTTCCGCCCCTCAACCGTACAACCCGCCACCGCCCTCGGCCTGGTCTACCGCTCAACAAGCCTACCCTCGCGCGCCCCTGCCTCCTCTCACGGTCCCGAGCGACCCGCACCCGCACTCGCTCTATAACCCGTCGCCGCTTGACGACGCGACGCCACAAGCGTCATACTACGGCCACAACGTCGGCTACAGCAACGGTTACGGGGGCTATGCCGCTCAGCCGCAAGACTCTGGCTACTCGTCTTCGCTCTCGACCATCTTGAACCACGGCCACTCAAACTCGAGCTACCACCACCAGTCCCAGCAGGTTCAGCAGCGGCCGCAAATTAATATCAATACGGCTTACGCATCGGTACCGCTGCAGCCGCACTCTGCATCGTCTATGTCGCCTGACAGCTCTTCGCGTCCGCAGACGGGCTACTCCAGCCTGGGGCCTTACTCAGAAGACTCGTCGTACGGTCACCACCAGCGCGCGCACACGCCCACCGGCAGCAGCAGGCCCGGCTCATCTCGTGGGGCGTACGCGAGCGTTCGCCGAGACCGCCGTCACAGTCACACGCCGTACCCCGCGCCGGAGTACAGTGGTGCGGAGGATCGTGCACGAGGGCCCATCGCGTTGCCGACGGCAGGCGTCGATTACTACTCGCAGCCCCACGACGCGTTCGCATACGGCGGGCAGAACGACTGGGACGCGTCGGCGCCTCGTCACTTGCGGCCTAGCACGAGCGCCAGCAGCCTCAGCACGGGCTCGAGCGCGGCGCACACGCCGCCAAACGACATGGGCGGTTACGCCGATGCAGCGGACATTCACACGCGCTGTGAGTATCATTTCTCGATTATGCCCGCCTCGGCGCGGTCGCTTACGGGCACAGTCTGACCTGGCCGTCTACAGATGAGACCGAGCCTTTCGGATACGCCGTCCCTGATGTCCGTGGATATGCGGACCCAGTGAAGATGTGAAAAGGCGCGGACCGTGCCGCCGTGGCTGCTTTCTTGTCAATATTTGCTTTTTTCTTCCTTTCGTGGTTTGTTTTGCTACTCGCTCGCATGTTTGGACACCCCCGCCCTCGCCGCGCGCGCCGCTAGATACCCTGCGCGGCGCTCTACATATCCTCCCCGCAAAATGAGACTCCGCCCCGCTTCGCCGCTGCTTGGACTTTGCCATTTGTACGATTAGAACGAACGCCGTTCACCCTCCATACCACTTCCCACCTGCTCTTGCTCACCTTTGCTGTCCTGTTCTGTGTGCCCGCAACGCTCTGTATCACATTCAATACCACTCATAGATTCATCCCGTTCATCCTGGCAAGATGCCCTTGTGACGAAAACGATGAGAGAGTAAGGTCTTGTGCGTTCCGACCGCCGACAGTGCTGACGATATGTGTTACTGACCTGTGCCTGCAGAAGCCCAAATATCGAAGAGGATGTGCGCTCGAAGTCGCCGCCGGTACCTCAAGATCGCGGCACGCAGCGGGCATTCGCCTTCTTTCGCTTCGAGCCCCCTCCGATTCCACGGTCGTACCTGTCGAGATCTCTGGACGTCGCAACTCTAAACCTCATGTACGCCCGAAGGCGAGTGAGGGGTTGAAGTTCATAACAGTACTGTGTGCAGTGCGCGCGTCTGAGGTTGCGAAGTGGCTCTACGGGCCGTTGGCTGCGCCACTAGCTGGGCCCACCCTAATCCGCTCGTACTTGCGAGTAGACGTGTACGCAGGGCTCGTGACAAGCTAACGTTCAATAGAAAAGTCCCAATGGGGCACTCCCATCTCAAACCCTGTACTCAGGCCAGTCGGGCAAGTGTCATAGAATGTTGCAATCGACAATCGACGTGATAATCAGCGGCGCTGGACCACAAGCATCGAACACCGAGGATACGCCCCCTCGCCGAGTACGCGAGGCGATCGTAATCTCTCTCTCCTACGCTCTGGACCTCGTTCGACGTATACCATGCCCCGTGCCCACGAGTCTCTCCATCGATTTTCTCGTGTCGGTCGGGATAGATCCACACTACGCCACACTCACCCTACAATTCACCCTGTGGCGCAGTGCGGCGTATGCCAAAGGACGTTCTTACGGTGGACATGCGCAGCCACATGTACTAATGGCTTACAGTTTAGACGATGAAGATGTCTATTCGAAAATCCGACGTGTATAGTGTGGGGAAGATGCACTGATGACTGAGCCGCGAGTAGCGGCGCGGGCTGCTCGAGGCGAGTTTGTCCAGATTAGGAAGATCGTACGGCGTCCTTTGTCTACTCGGTGCGCACGCGCAAGTAAGCACGTCGTCTGAGCTCTGTCGTCATGGTCAGAAAGAGCCGCCTTCGGGGCTCGGATTCGGACTCGGACAGGGACAGGGATAGAGGTCGGATTGCGCCTTTCCGTCATCACCGTCGTCTACGTAGGTTCTCGAAGTGAAGTGTACCACCCCTTTGCTGACAGAACCAGTACAAAGCTCTACTTTAGGTCGGGTCATGACAAGACGCCTCAGTCAGTGCGAAGGAAATGAACTTGCGCAGGAAGAAGGGGTCGGCAGAGGAACGTCACTCTGGTCGCTGCTCGCTGACGAAGGACGGTCTCGGGACGTCGAGAGCGTCACTGGAAGGCTGACCGAGCAGCTTTGTCTATGCCGTGGACCATTGCGTGCGCCGCATACCGTACGTTGGACCGGTGGATGCACGCGTCGCTGTCGTACGCGCGCCACCGCGTTACCCGTCATCGAGTCTCCCAACACCGCCGGCCCAAAGTTGAACGTGTGCTTTCGTAGGCGAGCAGATGCTCCTATTCTACCCGCACACTCCGCTGAACCTGAGCATAGGGAGCTTTCAACACACTCCCGTGAACGCGCAGCCTCGGAATCGCGTCTCCTTTTTTCGCGCACACACGCGCACACGCGCTTTACCGTACCCCGCGCCGTAAAGCCCTTGGCGCAAAACTGCGGTTGACCGCGCACACAGAGAACGTACTGGGTCGGCTTTCAACTGCTACATGTGCACTGCGGGCGGAGGCCTTGTACGCCGATGATACACTCGCGAGCCTGAACTGGGTTGCGCCATTTGTGTTTGCCGGCCTCGGCGCAGTCTACAACCTCCGTCAGAAAAGCCGGGGAGAAAAGCACGGTACTCTGGTAGCTGGCTTACTCTATACTGACTGGCCGCCGGGGCGATCTCTATAGTTCGGGCTACAGCAAGTGCCCTGTAGTCCTGCACGACGCGTCTCTGCGTTAACCGCGGTGCCACAGGGTCTGACACGCCCGCCTTACCGCATGAGGCATGGCGCATCTTCGCGGAGTTGCGCCTATCGGCGTCGGCCGCGCCGGGAGCCGGGAGCAAGCAGCGATCCCGCGGGGCGCGTTTGCGATCAGGCGAGCGAATATGGATTAGAAAATTTGCCTCCGCCCGTCGCGCGACGGTCGCGCCAGGCCCTCTGGCTGCGCGCGACATACGTAAGTGGTCCCCGGCGGGGCGCGCAAGCGTCGGGCGGTTCGGTTCAGTGAAGGCTCGGGACCGCCGCACATATGTTTCTTTTCTTTCTGTCGCGTTCTGGGCATACATACCCAGTGTCTGCGCAATCTGTTATGTGTCGTGCTGTCACCACCGCCGATGCCTCCCGTCCCGCCGCAGGACATCGTCTGACGAGCAAACAGTGCCCGAACAACCCTTCTGTTGAGCGCTGAGCGCGCACACGTCTAGGCGAGCACCCCGGATTGGACTTTGTGTACTTGCATCTCCGCGGCCGCGTCGAACAGAAGATCGCTGCAGGGATGCAGATGACGGTGTGGCGCACCCATACGGATATTGTACGGCAGGGCAGATCAGGCGTCCAATATTTGCATATATACGCAAAAGCCTGCGACATACGTATATGCGAGGCTCGCAGCCTCGTGAGGTGCGCTACGGGGCTAGCGCGCGTTGGGAGCGCGGTGGGCACAAGAGAGGACGATCGAGCCCGCTCGGCGGGCCCCAAGTTCGCGTGCGGGATGTCCGCCGTCGGGATGCGTTTGGCGGTCTCGGTCCACTCGAGCTCTGATCTTGCTCGAACCCTCTCTGTTTGAAATGGGTCTGGTCAGCGGGACCAGCATCCGCGGTTTGGTCTACAAGGGATTTTCGAGCTCCGCTTCGGGCTCGCATGCATCGTTGGTGACGAGTCCGACGAGTCGCGTATCTGTATCGGGTTGGGGAGCGCATGTGGAGGATCGGGCTGTCCGTCGCTGTGGACGAGGCGCGCAGCTCGGTGGCACAGAGACGGGGCGCCCGCGCAGGTGCGCAAATCAGAGTGCACCGGCACACTCCGATGGTGGGATTTTGAGTCGGCGCTTGGAGGAGTTCCAATGGAGAGTTTACGAGCATGCCCAGATACATACATACTTCCTTGTGTCGTTGGGTAAGGTGTGGCCCGCGCATATGTAGATCAAGACAGACGCGTCGCAGCGCGGTCACGCGTCAACCGAGTTCTACTAGTTGGATCTCGGGATGACAGAAACAGGCTTTGACGGAGGCATATCTGTGCAGCGCAATCTCCTTCCGCCATCCGGTCGTGCGGGGAAACAAGCTGAACGGGAGCATCGGGTGCCGGCTGTTGGTAGGATGAGACGGGCATGACGCGCCGTCGGGGTTCACTTGCGCCACATGCAAACATACCATACAGAACGGGCTTTGGGTGTACGACGATCGAGTCTATGCACTACCAACCAGCAGCGCCGGGGTGAGCGCCGAGGAGCAACTCGCGGCAATATTTTTCGCACATAACGGCCGACGCAGATGAGGGCGCAAACATGCGTGCACGGTGACTTGTTGATTGGCTGACGCCCGGCCACACTCAATATCCAGAGTTGGCCGCAGCTGTACCCTCTCCTCCAGCGCGCGTGCAGCTCCGAAGAGCCCACGCCACAGAGCAGAAGCCGCGTAGTAGAGAACAGAACGCGTACAGGAGGATACGTAGGCGTCTCGACCCTGCAGCTATAGCTCAGACTCGTGCTACCGCCGAGGGCTTCTCCCATTCTCCGTGAAGAGATTGGGCTTTACAGCTGAGCTTCTCCCGCGGCGCGCCCATAGTGTAGCCTTGCAAAGAAGCAGACTTCTTGAACCGCAGCAGCTAGCAAGCACCATATACGACCGAGAGAGGATCTTCAGAAGCCAGGCTCACGAACTTGCCCGCTTGAGCGCCGTCGAGAAGAAGCAGCGACGGCGCCTGTCGTGTTGTCGTGTTCGCAGGATCCTCGCACCCTGTCCCCCTCTCCGTATATCCAGCGCTCAGGGCACTATACTGCGGCAGATCCCGCGCAGCCGCTCCAGACGCAGGTGTAACGGTCGCCGCAATTGGTGTCCTCGCCCACCCTCGAACGCGGCGGAGGCGCCCTTCCCATGCGCAGAGCCTGCTACAATTCAGACGCGGAGGGCGGCCGCGAGGACAGTACACACGCTCGCGGAAGCAGCCTTCCTCCGAGCCCCGCAAGTGGACCATACAGGGCCCGCAATAGAGCAATCGCTTGCGAATAATGGGCGCGCTCTCATGGGGGTTGATCATGACGGCAAACACGTCCGGCGGGCTCGTCGGGTCGGGCTTTGCGGGTGTAACTCCCGTCGCCTTCGATATGCGTCTTTGCGCCGCACGTCTATCGTCTTGTCGTGCTTCGCGTCATACTATCCTGCGGGGCTTCGGCGGGCGATGGGCATCGCGCACTGGGAGAAGACTAGAGAAGGGCGGCAAATCGGGCGCTGGCTACTACGCCTAAGGCCTAAGGTGGGGCACTGGCCAGGGGCGAGGAAGCCTCGGAAGGACTTCGCGCTTCCTGTGGCCCGTGCCATCGACGTATACCGGTATACCGCCGGCGTCAATCTACAAAGTCGAGAAGCCCAGAAGCATGCCACGATCGTATTCAACGGCCTATGTATAGCCCTCTGAATTGTTATGTGCTTGATCGCACTGAGAGCTTGAAGGGAACTCGGAAGGGGCGTACAACAATGTATTACAATTGACGTCGACGGCGTAGTGTTGGACAATTCACATCGGCTCATCTTTGCAGACACATATCAGAACAGCAGGTGTTGAGATATGCACCAATATGGTATAGTGATTGTCAGAACATCCAAAGGAGTTGGACGATGCTCGGAACGGGCGTGAACAGGTGCTATCAGATCTCCGGTCTGAGGAATACGCCTCCCACCGTCGGCCAAGTGATACAGTTAACGATGGCCACTCCAAGAGTACAGTACCACTTGGATCTGAGGTGTTCGGTCTAGCCATGTCAATCAACTCCTAGACGTCAAACCGTACCGAACAAGATGCACATACACAGGGCTGTTCTCATCCACCACAATTGGGAGCGAGCGGCCCGCTGCTTCCCGCAAGCCGTTCACGAGGTCTACACGTAGATCGGTGACGCAGTCATGTGAGCTGCAGCTTTCTGCCCGAGGAACGTGAAATTGCGCTAGCCCGTGTGGCGTAGCGCACGTGCAGTTCAAACGATGAGAGAAAGATGCAAGAGACCATGTGTGGGTGCATGTGGAGATTCGATAACGCAGCTGTATGTGTTCCAATAGCGTCATGAAACCGCGAGGAAGAGGGTCGAAAGAGGGTGTTGCGGGTCAGGTAGCGCACGAGAGAGGGTGGGGTTGATTACTCGTGCAAAAGGGGATGAAGAAGGTGGGATCCAGTGAAGTAAAGGGGTTGAAGGAATACTCGAAAAGGTGAATTAGCGAGGATGTGGCTCGGGATGGACTAAAAGAACAGATATGTTTGCGCGACAAGCCGGGGTGAAGATGAGTTGCGTAAAGATAGACAGATGAGCTAGATGTACAATTTGGGCTTTGGCGCGCGACGAAAGCATGGTGCAAAGGAGCGACTATCCGTGAGGACTAAAGAGAGGGAGTTTAAGCTAGGAGGCCGTGATATAGAGTCCAAGTCCGAGCCAGGATGTCCAAGGAAAAAGGCCAGAAAGAGCTGTATTGCCACAAGTTGGCGATTTCAGACGATGTTTTCGCCTTTCGCGGTCGACGCGACAGGGGTGACAGCGCGCTCGGTCATATATGCCGGCGCGTCGTCCTCGTCCTCTCCATCCGTATGCGCGAGGAAAGATGCAGTCTCCTCGGCAGTATGTGTCGGCAGCTCATCCTCGCCATCGAGCTCGCAGTCCACTGCGCGGCGCGCGACAATGGCGAGGTAGATGATGATGCCGACGCACAGCGCAACACCACCAACGGTATAGTACATGCCCAGGGGGCTCTCGTCCTCCTTTTCGTGTTCTGCGGAGTGTGCATGGTACTCTGCGAAAGAGTGTATGCTCGCGCCGAGGTAGGTGTGTATGTACACCTTGAAGAGCGATAGCGCGGTGCAGGAGACGTATGTGCGGAAGGAAAGCGTGGGTGATGCCGCGAGGAGGCAGTTCATAACGTTGTAGGGGTATGGCGCCAGACGGATGAGGAATAGTAGTGTTGGTCGCTTCTCGATTGCGCGGCATACGCGGCCGATAGATCGTACGGAGGCCAGCCAACGCGAGATAATGTCCTTGCAGACGTATCGCGAGAGCAGGAAGACCACGACAGCGCCTGACAGTGCTGCACAGTACGAAAGTACGGCACCTTCCAATGCGCCGAAGGTGTAACCTGATAGGACGATGAGGGTCGAGTACAACGGTATAGGCGCTGCGGGCGTAACACATTGTAAGACACGGGAGGAGCAGAAGATAAGCAGGGGTGGTACGCACGAAAACATGTTGCGAAGATGAGGAAGAAGAGTGCTGCATATCCGTAGTAGTCCTCCTTCAGCCATCTTGAGAGATCATCAAGCCCTGTCGATCATGTGTGAGAAGCACGTTCATGACATGACACGAAACATCGCAAGAGGCGCATACCTTGGAAGAGTTCTGTCCTCCAAAAAGCAAATGCGGCGATGAAGGCGAGGGTCGTAGCAAGATAGGCGATGAGCGGTAGCCAGGGCCTGAGGTGCGTCATGCACCGCACTCTTCTTGGCGGGAGAACGTATTCAGAGTGCAACGATGGATCCGGGTAGGCGAAGTAATGAGACTGTACATCGGAGTGAGAGTATGGGTGTGATGATAAGGGCGAGTATGCGGGAGCAGCGCTGGAAAAGCGCGAGGGTGCTGGCGGATGTGTTGGCCGTGTCGGGGCAGGGGAAGCCATGGGGGAGAGTGGACGCCATTGTGCGGCGGACGCCGGGGAAGCGAGCGACTGCTCGAGGGCCTGTTTCTCGCTTGCCGCAGAGAGCGGGCGCGAGGCTGTGTGGGGGGCCATGGTAAATGGTCAGGTCCAAAGGGTCAGGCCTGCTGAGCGTCACTGATTATAGGCGGATTAATTCTGTGCGCAGCACTCCGGGATTAGACCGATTCTGGTAAGGGAGTCTAGAGGGTCTTAGGTACGAGATTAGCGTAGTTCCTGGTCTCAAAAATCCTATGCAGGTCCTGCTGTCGGAAAGAAATAGAGCGTAGGTACTTGAGAGCTCAACGTAGTCGGGACCAGAGTCGCTTCTGAGCCCAAGCGGGCGCCTTTGTTGCTGCGTCGTGACCATCAGCAGGGACCCACAACAGATAGCAACCCGTGGCCGCCGTCCCCGCACGCCTGCTGCCATCTCGCAATTTTTTGGAGCTCTGGTACGTCCCCTCTCGCTACGATGGCCAACTGCGAGTTGCTCTAGGCCCTCTCACTCTTCTGCTTCCATCGTTGCTGTGCCACTTGAGCAGGACAGCGACATGTTTTGACGATGTTCCGTCTCTAAGCGCGATCAAACGCGTGGACGAAACAAGCGTGACAGCGCGTTGACGCGACTTTCGGCTCTGGCGCGTGAGACCACCACCTCCTCTACCTCCATGTCTTCCCGCACTGTCTTACGACAGACGGCGCCCTTACGCCCGTTAAATGCGTCGCTTAGGACGTTTGGAACAACACGAACTGCTCGCCAAAATGTGCCTCCGCCTCCACCGCCTCCCAAGGCGCATAAACCGCACGGGCAGGTCTATTCCGATTTCTTCCCTGCGATGATCCCAATCGCGCTCCTGGGCTCTGCAGTGTACCTCGTACGTGACTTTGACAGATCGTCTTACGTGTCTGATAAGCTACAATTCAACTGCAGGGACTCGAACTCGTACGCACGAACCTGTCGCGCGAAAAGTACCTGGACGAAGCGCGGGCACGCATCAACGAGCTCGAGGCGGAAATAGACGCGCTGCGCCAACCGCGTACTGACGCGATAAAGACAGTCGCGTCCAGCGCTGCGGCGAAGGCAGTCAACAGCGCGGGTTCCTGGCGCAAGTGGCTAGGCTGGTAGAAGCTCACTCCCGGGGCACCGCCTTCCACTCGTTGGCCTTGACCAGCCAGACCGTCGTTCTCCGGTCTCAATCGGTGGAGTGCATGATGAATGCTCTTTGAATGCTACTTAAATGTAGAATGACAATGGTCCGCGCACGCCCGGTCCTATCGAAGAAGCCGCCCTGATGCTTCGACGCAGTTATTAGAGTGCCTAAAGGGGTTTACGCTCATCGCGACTGAAGGATGAAGATGACATCGGGCGTCGGCGGTGTTTGCTCTTCGACTTTGTGTGCCTACTTGGTTCTGTGACTAGTGGTAGCACCACCTACGTCCACAATGATATACCCTATCGCGCGCCCACAACGTTCTCCAATCGTCTATCGACGCCGCCCTGTAAACCGGCGCTATGAACGACTCGCCTATCATTAGAAGGGGCAGTATCAATACTGGGTTGCTTGCCGTGGGATTTCTAAACGATGTAGAATATCCTAGGTTGCAGACTACACCCGCCCGCTGGCTCAGACTGTCGTGGGACGCGTGATAGAGGTCTCTGGTTGGACGACACCGCCTGCGATCAAGATTCTCGTCACCTATTTGGCGTCAAGGATGGTCTACATCGTCTGCAGAGCCCACGGCAAGCAACCCACTAAGATGTGAAGCAAATGGGTATCAATATATGACATTATACTCAAGGCCCTACAAATAGCAACGAGAAAGAAAGAGTAGCACAGCAGCGAAAGCGAAGTGTGAGCGTAAGTTAAGCAGTCAGAGCAACAAATCAGCAATGAACTAGAAGTGAGAAGCCTTAAGTAGCTGATTGCGGTGTTTATCGTAGAGCTTGGCGGAACTGTAGAGGGGATTGAGCATTTCAGCGATGAATGCCCAGCGTGACACATACCTCAGGAGAGCGGAGGCGAGCCCAGCCACAGTCTGAATGGGACCCTTGGCTTTCTTTACGCGAAAGACGTCGTACGCTGCAATGTCGATTAGCACGTGTATGATGCTAGCGGCCTTGAGCCCACTCACAAACAAAGACGAGGTCCATGAGGAGCTTCATGCGAGTCACCTGCAGCCAGTAGTCTTGGCGCTGGAGCTTCTCCAGCTCACCCTCGTCGACCATCGAGTTTCGAGGCGCCGATTTGGCTGTGGCACCCGACATCGATTCTGTGAACATGCGCGTCTCGACGGCGCGCTGGGATCCGATAATCATCGACCGCTCGACTCCGTTCTCAACGAGCCCGATAAGTGTACTGGCAAACCAACACCAGTCCGCTATGCGCCCGGCACGTTCGCCTGTCCGACCCGTCAGCAAGCCGAGCTTTGCCCAAGTAGATGTATCGTCCGCCACAGCATTCAGAAGTTCGAGGAGCACGGGTGGCGGCGCATGCAAGAAGGTATGTAACAAAGGTTTGGGCGGCGGCGGTGCCACACCTAGTGCAGCACTAGCAGACGGGTCAACAGAAGCAGCGTTCTCGGCCAGAATCTCGGTCAAGGGTGGGAGCCAGTTGAACAGGATAAGGCATTTCCTGTTTGGGACGGTCAGTGGCACGTAACATTCATACACTAGGCATGTGAATATCTACCTGGCAAGCGAGAGACCGGCGGCGGCTGATGTTGCGCGTCGGGATATGTCCTGTTGGATGGCGGAACGTTTCGCCAGCCGGGAGGTTACGGCGACTGTCGAGTGGAAGAGCAGGTACATCTTGAGGGTATATTGGATGATTTTCTATGAGTTACAGGTTATTCACAGCTACATACGCCAGTGGAATCATATGTGTGACGTGCCAATGCTTTATCTCGACCAGTTGAGCTCTTCAGAATCTCTCGCCAGACATCCTCCCTCCGCACAGGTCGCGGGCTCAGCTTATCCCCTTCCCTGCGTTCCCTGTGCGCCTCTGCGACCTCCTCCTCGATGTCAACGGGTTTCTCCTCATTCTCTTCAGTAGATGTGTAGATGTCGGAGGCGTTATATGTTATACTGGGCGCGCTGGCTGCACTGATACTGGTATGCGGTGTCCGTGGCGGGTGCGCGCTCAACGGGTTCATTGTGAAACCACTCGCACTACCAAGCATATCATATGCGGCATCCTCATGCATTGAAGAAGAGGAATGATGGGAGGGGAAGCCGTTTGGGAAAGTAATGGCGGACATGGCGGAGGAGAGCCAAGCAGCTGCGCCTCGAGGATACGCGCCGCGTCTCGGGATGATTGACGCGCGCCAGTCGAACAGGCGCCGGATGTGGTCCGTGGTTCATCCAAGCCACACCGCGGCGCGACTCTGCTCTTGCCCTCATCTCGGCCTGCCATAACATTATCATGAGCGTGCTCTCAGCTGGTCTGCGCTCGCCACCCACTCCCAGATCAGAGGCCGCTCCATCTCCACGCCCAAAGTTCGACGGCGAACAGCTTAAACCGTATATTAGGCAGCTTCTCGTGTCTACGCTCCAGAACGTGACTTGGGTCGAAGCAAAGGATCGGACAAATGGCAGTAGACTGATAAAGGAAATTGGAGGACGGGTGAAGGAACGGATGTTGCGTGCGTCTGCCGCGAGAACTTGCATCCCGTGCGCTGTGGCTGACCATGTAGAGCGCAGAGATCGAACCACGAAATTTGTACGTCACCGCTTGCGGTACACTGGCCTGTCTGCGGATCTGACACTGATACGTATCTCCGTAGCAAGTATATCGTGCTAACGCAGATAAACGAGAATGTGGGACAAGGTGGAAGGTGCGCACCTGACATATCCTGCGCGCGGCCACTTTCCCTAACTCGACCCTATCTCCAGAGCAGATATGGCATGTCACTGGGAAGACTCGGATGCCGTTGTCCAAGAAGTCTACATCAACGTGCGTTCGCACTCGGACTCTATAATATCTTTGCGCCATCTGGCTGATACTCTCGCGCCGCCCACAGGACTCGCTGATATGTATCTGTATCGCTTTCGCTGTGCGAACAGTATGAATCTTTTCTCGTCATCGTCAACGATCCAACATGATACCCATCACATCGGATACCCTCAATCACATCACTACTCCTTCAGTCGGAAGCACAAGATATCTTTGTTAAACTCCCGCGCTGCGTCGCACTTGTTCCAAATCCTTGAGCTGCCGGATTTCGGCAATGTCTGCCTCTCCACAGAACGGTGTCTGCTAAATGACCGTTGCTGGGAACTGGTCGGCTTTCTGTGTCGAGCGATGCCGCCAGTTTCTCCTCGGCATCCTCTCGTACCGTTCCCGGGGACTGTGCAGTCCAGAAGAGTATAAAGCATACTCTGCGCATTCCTCTCCTGCGCAGACTGCGGGACCGATATGAACTCCATCCCACCGTCAAGTCCGGCGAGTCAACATCGCGTATAGCGGTGCTGCCAGCGAGAGGCTAAGACACCGAGCGTGGCAAGGGAGCTTGCTTGAAGTGCGACGAGCTCGATACGCCTATCATAAGCCGAACAGCAGCATGACGCTTACGTCGACACAACGACTACTCATATCAGACATGCGACCTCTGTTCGTGGGTGTCTTTCAGCGGCTATAACTCGCTTCCTCGTGCGCTTTGTTCTTCATGGAAAACCCACGGACTGAGCCCTTGCGTAATATCAAACCGAACCGCGGCGCTCAACGAGTCGAACTTGGGTAAACAGGGTTTGCCCTCCCTGCACCGACGCTTTGTCCTCGCTGACAGGGTGATCAAAACCTTCGCGCCGCAACGACTCAGCGATTGCACAAAGCGGACTACGGGATTACTTGAGTAGGACACTACCTCTCATGAGCCCTCGGTTTGACGGTCATACTCTTTTTCTGTCTCTATTCCAGCTCGGAGGCTGCTCTCTGCCGTGATGGACGACTCTAACGGATATCGTTGACGGAGGATCCCGTGCGCGGTGGGCACCGAGTATTAGCCCAACCCATGGGGAAACTTGCGAGCGTGCAGCACAGAAAGAAGCCCGCCGGACGTTCTCGCCAGCAAGTCTAGCACGGGCTTCTCAGAAGGCCGCGTCTTCATAGACTTTTTGGCTGGACATGCAGGCTACCAGTCCTACAGCTTCTTTTCCATTGTATCGACACCTCGCTTTCGAGCCTCGGATATTCCTCGTGGACGTCCAAGTCCACTAGTTCTGATTTCCCTTTCTTTCAGATTCGCTATCTCGCGATTGTCGCCCTGTGCTCGCGTCGAGTCCATGGCCAACCAGATCTAACAGAGGCCCTGCATCTGCATCGATGATGTAGTAACACGCCGCCACCCCAGTTCTAGCACCCGGGGTGGGAGGGAGGGATAGCAGACGGCAGCACGCGCCGATTCCGTCCTGGAACTCGACGATCAGACTCGCCCCTCCGCTTTCACACTCCGCGCTATGCTATATGCACTTCCTCCGGTGAACTTTCGCAAGCCGGCGCCTCCGCGACGCGTTCAAAGTTGGCGCATCGAGTCCCGCATGCCGGCGCGTCAGAAGGGTGTACGTACGACGACGCCAGCTGCAGAGCGAGAGCCCTCGGGCGAGATGGCCTCTATGAATGACGAGGCCGAACGGTGATGAGCGATTGGGCGCGATATTCCTTTCCACCACTCGTTGGGACGTCTGGCAGTCGTCGTAGGATCGGGCAGACGCTGTCGTAAAGTTCGGGCCCGTGAGATGAAGACAGGACGGCTAGTGTCATCGATCTCTTTCATTCGGCACATGTGTAGCATGCTCAGAACCATAGCTAACATCGAGGACCAGGCTCGCCTTCACCTTACGCTCACGAAAAGAGGCTACACGACGCTCTGTCCAGCGAACGGGACGAAAGGGTCTTTGCTGTAGTCCGCCGGAGGCCGAGGTGAGCCAACGGTAGAGGTCAACTGTACGCCAGTGTTGAACTCTGACCGTCATTGCACGCGAGGTTCCCTCGCTGCCGATCGCGGGATTGAGGCCGTCCGCGTTTGACGCTCTCGACTGCTCCCTCCTTCGGCCGTAGTGGATACGATGATGACAATCGCATTTCCCCGCGATGGAGGGCCCAAGTTTAATCCACGTACCCTGACCGCCGAAGACGGCCAACTCGAATGTAGCTGCATGGGTCCCAACCCCACACGGTCACCGGCTCAGGTTACCACTAGATGCGAAACGGGGAACATGACCGTATGGGACCTCTCTGACATACTCACAGGCCCCGAGGTTAGCACTGTAGGGTATATGCCGTCCTAGCTTTTCGCTAACGCTACTTTATGACAGATCTTCTTCGAGTTCTTCGAAGCGCTTCGCGTTCTTGCAGTGTCCGACGCCACAAAGATGAAGCATATACGTACAAGAGCGTATGGTAGCCCGTGATACCCTTTCGTTCCTATCTTTTGCTCTCATCGACGATGTTCAATGAGAGAGCAACGAGTAGCTATCTTTACCTCGAGGCTATAGGCGCATACTGAGCGCGAGTGATCTCCGTCGTGTTGGACCACAGTCATCTCCGTGAAACGTTTCTGTGCCTTATAGGCCGTTACTGCCTCCCATCTCATTCGAAGGCGGCCGACTCGCATAGGTTTCAACTCGCATATGGCTTTTCAGGCGCATCATACTGATACATACTGATTCAGGATGACACTGTATGAACATTCGTGTTTCGAGCGTGGTTGAGCAGTTTGGCAATCTTCCGTCCATTTGACGGGCCATCGAGTTGGTCTGACTACGGTCGACTCCTCGTTCAGGTACACTCATAAAGATATGAGAGTACCAAGAGTGGGGCGATGCATGGTGGGGGCGCCAGTGGGTAGCGATGCACGCATTTAGTACGGCCCGTCGTGGCTGGACCCGAATGCCTGGAAAGATTGAAGTTGTGGCGACCCGTTCTAGAATAGGTTTCTCGTTAAAAGAGAAAAGTCGATAGTGAACGGACATAGGTTCCATCGGGGTATTTACCGTACAGAGCATGGTAGCGTGGCCGTCTCCCCGACGTGATGCACGCGAATCTATGAGCGATGCGCCTTCGAACGGACTTATGCCCCGCACCCGTTGCCGATCCTTTTACAAGTTTGTTCGCTACCTCCGTGTCCGTTGGTGTTCTTGACCACGCTTACCCAGCCAACGTCAGAAGGGAGTGTGAGGCAGGTTTCGTAGAAAAAACGGCGCGAAGTACTCAGCCAGTGTGATGTGCGTGTTCCGCCTACGCGGTCAAACAAAAATAAGTGCGCTTGAATCTTCTCTGTCCTGTTCCGACTTGACGGCAGGTTTTACGCTTTGCTCTGTCAAGATCATCTGCTTCAGATTCACCGAAGACCGACTTGAAGACCTGACGCGGTGACGTTGAGATAGCGGCACACAGAACGAGACAAAGCCAGAGTACGGAGATCTTACCTGTGGACGATGGGCGCGGTTTCTTCCCCGACTGAGGCGCCGATCACGCCGATGTTCTAGGCACTGTGCATACGCTGTAGATACACAGACGTTGCACACGTTCGCTAGGACCTATTTCCTGTATGACAATGGTGCGAGTTAGCCATGAGCCTCTCTGTCTCAGGTAGCAGCAGCAGCTCGGTCCAGATGCCGTCCTGCTCGACCACAGTTCTCACTTGAACGTTGAAGTGCTGGTTGTACAACGAATCCCATGAACTTGCTGGTACTGATGGCTCCATCAGATAGTATTCGTACCACGCGCAAGATCGCCGAAGGAGTACTTTATCTATTGGAGTCAGCTGGACAGCAGCATCCCGTAGCCAATGATTGTGCGAGAATTCATTGGAAATGCATCACCAACTAGCGATGAAGTTCATCTCATCGTCGGCCTGGTAGCCACCGAAGCAACGCTCTGATCATCCGAGACGGACCTTGAGTTCACTTCGGCGACCTCGGCGCGCGATAGTCATCTGGTGTTCGAACTGACGGTCACCTTGGGCAGAGATATTGTGGGCAGAGGGTCAAAGGCTCGACGTGGCTATGATGCCGATGCAGGGTGAGTTTAAGCCACCATGTGGCACGACTGAAGGTACCAACAAGGCCGGGCTACTTCTGCACCCTAAGCGAACGAGAACAAGGGGAGATCAGAGACTGGGGATCACCGTCGGGCTTCGTACACTTTCGGCGCGTCTTGTTGCGTTCATTAATACTCCATTTCATAGCGGCGCGGGATATGTGAGAATAAATCATGTATTGCTTGGCCGTGCAGGCGGCGGCCGTTCCTCTATCCAACGACTAGGCCGCTTTTGTACAACGACAGGACGGCCGTCGGCGGCACCACTACCCTCGGCAAAACGTAGGCGATCAGGCCGCACAGGGCATGGTAGTACGTTAGACGCCGCGACGGTCAGGACCGAGGCCGCGAAGGTGATCGCGAAGAGTGTGGAAGTGAGTGTCTTGTTGCGCAGAACGCGAAAGTGGGCAGCGGCTCTGGGCGGCATTATCGAGCGGACTATATATTCGTCAATGCCTGTCGCACGTGTGATTAGCGATTGTACGCACAGCAGGTTGCATATCCAGCCCGCGACGGGGAGTAGTAAGTGGTGGTGGTCGGGAGCAAGACGCGCTGTGGTGCTCGAAGCCGGAGCACGCCGAGCCAATGCCCGGCGCGCATTTGCGCGCACTGCGTCGCGTCGCGCGTCTCACCCAAACCACCACTACCCCTCCTCTTGCTGCCCATCATGGTGAAGGAGATGTTCTCGCGCGGGAATATCCGCGTTCTGCGCGATATTCAGGCTCGCAACACCGTCGCCGCCAATGAAGTCACCCGCCGTGCATACCTCTACGTGGCGCGCAATCAGACTCTGCCGGCCCAGGTCCGGTACCAGGCCCAGCTACAGTTGAACTCGTTCAGCAAATATGCCCGGCCGACTACGGTGAAGAACCGCTGCATTGACTCGGGACGGGGACGGTCCATCATCTCGGAGTTCGGCCTCTGCAGGGTGTGTGCTCTTCGTTGCCTGTGATCAGGCTCAGATACTAATCCTCTGCATAGCAAAAGTTCCGAGAGTACGCCCTGGCAGGAGAGCTCCCCGGTGTCAGGAAGGCTTCTTGGTAGTCTACGGTCCTGAGGATAGAGCATCACCCGCTCATACCGGCTTTCATCCACCTCGACTTATGTCGCTCTATTCTATTGCGAGTCCGAATGGACTGTAATGCACTTTTGGAGGGTTTCGCACAGGATTGAGTGAGGATGTCACTTAAGGGGTACATTCCTCGCCATGTCACTTGCTGCACCATGGCAGCGCAAACGCATGTATTTGCTACAAAAGGAGTGTATCTATCCCAAGAGAATGCACGATTTCGAGCCACGGGGTACGAGGAAAATCAAGCATAAGTACAATAAGGAAGGGAGATGAGAGTGAGTGAGCGTGAAATCAAAATTGAGAATGACGAGTGAAGCCGGAATCCGAACAGGTGATGAGAAGGTCGTTCTCTAAGCCGCGTTGGTCGTCGCGTTGGTGAACTGCGTGTTGGCGATACCAAACTGGCTGTTGGTGGTGTCGAAGACACTATAGAAACGCTCGAGGAAGGCGTAACCGTCTATCATGGCGGTCAGAAGGGGAACGTAGATGTGAACCTGCAGATAGCGGACGTACTGATGAAGTCCATGCCCTGGCCAGACGGAGTGCCGATGTCGTTCACGATGAGGTAGTAGCTGTCCTCGGATCCGCCAATCTTAGAGTTAAGAGAGCGGGGCCAGATCTGGGCATCGGGAGTTAACTCGAAATCCACCTACAGCCTCTCGGTCAGCGTCCACGTCAATATGGGTGAAGGAAAGTGCGTACGCCGCCGATGTTGAAGACCAGGCTGCTCATCTGGCTGAATTGGTCCTCGGTGACAGTAAGAAGGCCGGTCTCCTCGTCCTGTGTGGCGCCAGTGGCCTCCTGGTACTGGCTGAAGGCGTCCGACGCAATGTAAATGAGGGTGGTTCCGGTGTCGACGATGCCGGCAGTCATGGACAGGATGGGCGAGTCACCGTAGGAGACGGTCTGGTCGATGCCCCAGAACTGGTTCGCGGGGGCTGTCGTGGTGAGCGGGCTTCATTGAGGGTTAGCATACGAGTTTGAGGATGTGCTGCAGAGGGAGAAGCTCACGTATACGTGATCTCGCCGGTGAACTTAGACGAGTCGGTGCCTCCGAAGGTGAGCTCGCCGTTAGCGTCAGGAGAGTCCGAGTCGGACGTCAGAGGTTGGAAAGACACAGCAACAGAGTCAGTCGAGATTACACCCTCCTGGAAGAGGCTGTCTGTGAAGGTCGGGACAGTGTCAACACCTTCCACGGTGTTCTCTGTCAGATCAGTTGGGCCGATGCCGAGGATGCCGTCGAACTGCGGGAAGTCAGCCTGGCTGGCAACACCGATGGACTGGTTCGTGGCCGTGAGCGAGCCGAGGGTGACAGTATCAGTGTATTCAGTGCCGCTGAAGGAGCCAGAACCGTAGCTGACAGACTGCGGGTTCAGAGAATCAATGCCATGAAAAGAGGCAAGAAAGTGCATGGAGACTGACCACCTCAGCACCAGTGTTAGTGCTGGTATCACCAGGCTGGTAGGGCGTGTCCGCGCCAATCCAGGTGTTCGAGCTATCGTCTGAATTAGTATGTGGACCGGTTGCATTTCAATCAGTCTATAGCATACCTGCCAGTATCGACGATGACCGTGAAGTTCTGGCTACCAACTCCAATGGAAGCGGTGTAGATGACGGTCTGTGAGGTAATAGGAGCGCTCCCAGAGCTGCCATTGGTCTTGGCATCGGAGACTACACCCTTGGTCGTCTTTCCACGCGAGACGATGGAAGCGATGCGGGCTTGGTCGGCGACGATGAGGTTCTTGCCGCTGTTGGTGTTGATATGATTTGAGATCAGAAGGTGACCAGTGTTGGATTGGCTGTTGTGAGACGATTCGATAGGCGAGGCCGAGGCGACGAGGACGAGAGAGAGGAAAGCGGTGAGACGAGCGGCTGGGAACATCTTGAAGTTGAGGATATGAGTGAGTGACGAAGAGTCTGCCGAGTGTACTGGAAGAGCTGCACAAGAGAGAGAGAGCACGGTTCTCCGTGGACTCGGTCTGAGTTGCTTTTATAGCACCGCCGTCTTGCTTTGCGAGAACGTGTGGCGACGAGCGTTAGGACGACGGGTACGGACGAAGAACATACATCACTCTTAATGAGCAGTGTGATCCTCGATAACGTATTCGTACTGCTGTACCCATGTTGTATGCGGTACGAACATGACAACGTATGCGGTACGAACATGACAACAGAGATGAATGCTGCCAGTATGCCGCGTGGATCCGAGTTGGCTGAGGGTTGTCGGTGTGATTCGAATCCCATCGACCGGGGATGGTTGGCGTTGAGCGCCGAGCCCTGAGCCGGAGTCGCAGACATCCAGTATCCCAGTCAGGTCGCAGGAGACCGGTCATGGCCAGTTCATTGACTCCAATGCACGGCCATCAAGATGGTATCATGTCATCCTCCCAACTTGGTCCAGCAAGCTTCGAGTTCTTAACAATAAGCCGTGCTGGTCAAATGCGAGGCTATATGTTGATACTGTCACATTCACTCTGTTTCCTTGGAGAACGACCGTCGCCAGCAATGGCGGGTGCAGATTGTACATTCTCGGGCGCGCGAGGCTACGCTGCTCAAACCCTGCGACGACTTCGGGTAGCCGTCGTCACACGTAGCCGGACCGCATGGTGTGCTGTACGTATCGACAGAGCATATGAGAGAGAGCAGGAAATGTGCATTCGCGTCACTGAGGGCTGAGCTTGGACCATGAAGATGGTGGTGGAACAGAAGTGATCGTTGCAAGCAGGATAAGTAGAACTTGGAAGTTCGACATCTGGACAGGGGCGTGGGACACATCGGTAGTGCCCGGCACGTTCACAAGGCGTGTTGTCCTACGTACCTGGGCCTCCCAGCAACGACGACGCAGTGACAACACCGTACAAAGATCAGCTGCCTAATCACGCCTGTACACGGCATACGTTCTGACATTGAGTTTGTCGTGGTAGTTGTCAACTATCAGGCCATGTAGAGGACAAGGAAGACAAGAAGGTATCTGCATGATCAGGGGGCCGTGAGCTCAGTCGCAGCTCGCCCTGTAACCTCCATCGGCCCTGGAGTTTGAATAGATTCTTGGTTAGATGACTGTCTCGATTCTTTACGGTAGTGAGAAGCAAGAGGTGACAGCTAGCTGTGGCTCACGAGCACGTGTGTTCTCGTCAGACGCGCGGAACCGCGGTTGCTCACCTCACCTCCGACGCCCACTATCGCCCTCCCTGCTCCTGCTTCTGCCGTATTTTACCCTCTTCAATGCACCGAATAGCGCGAAGTATACCGCACCTGATGCGTACGTGCGCCTTGCACACCGCATCTCCGGTCGCCGGCCCGTCCAATCCGAGTAGTCCTCCGAGCGATACCCAACGACGGGACGCCCATTCGCGTTCGATGCCTCCGCTGGACGAGAATCCTCCCTCTGGATCGGGCTCTTCTTCTCCCAACTCCAACGAATCTCCAGCTGCTGGCTCAGGCGAATACCCACCTTCTCCATTGCATGACATGCCCGACCAACATACACCTATTGAAGAGCGTGGGCTGGTGCCGTCGAACCTCCCCACACCACACCAGGAGACCTCCCAAATATTCTCATCCTACGTACCACCTCCATTTGACACACATCGTCTCGTGACCTCCTACGCTCGCTCGTTCTCCACGCCTATCGCCGAGCAGCTCATGCACTCTACCCGCGCCTTGTTGACCGACCGCCTCAACAAAGTCAAACGCGATGGATTGATGCATACGGACTTGGAGAATCAGGCATACCTATTCAGGGCGGCGTTAAGTGAGATGAGGACGGAAGCGGGAGTAAGAGGAAAGACAGATAGTGCGGCCGTCAAGGCTCAGGCTGCTGGAATGAGGAGGGAGGTGGATGCTTTGGGTGGGAGGATGAATGAAGCTATTGCTACGCTGAAGCATGAGATCCAGATGGATATGGACAGTCGGAAGAACGAGGAGAAGAATGATGCAAAGGGGAGAGATATAATGATGGAGGTACGACTTTTCGTATTGAGCCTTCCTATCAATACTCATACTCCGGGCAGGAAACCCTGAATCGATCACTCGTCACGCTTTATGATCTACGGAGCGACATGGAGGAGATGCGTTGGGAGAACATGCGCAAGTCTGTCGGTACGTCTTTCCCTGCGTTGCTATTCCCAGAAGTGATTCTCACTTGTCCTTCTATAGCTGCGTTGACTGCATTCCTAATCTTCATCGTCGTTGCGATGGAGCTTCGACCACGCAAGAAAGCTCCGCCGCCTCCATCCGTGGTACAAGTATACCAGCCGCCCCAGCAGCCGTCGGGGCCACACGTCCCACATGGCGTAGAGGGACTGGATCGAATGGAAAGCATCACCTAATTGTCAGTTAGGATATAATCGTTCGGTGCCCGACATTGTATAATAATCCCATTCGCTATACGTCCCCATGGATCTATTCAGATTCAGTACTCATACACTCCTTTAACCAAGATGTAATACAATCCGCTTTACCCAACTCTCCAGTCTAGGCGGGCATCACGACTCCCCGACTTCAAGCTTCTCCAACTTATCTGCAACAGCATCTGCGTCACTCTCCTTCTCCTTCGCCTCTTCCTCCGCCTCGTCGTCCCAGTTATCCGGCACCTCTTCCTCCTTCTTCTCAGCCTTCTTCTTCCGCCGAGCGGCATTCTTCTTCGCAGCTTTACTCGTCGGCCCTTCCCCTCCTCCACTAGCAGCACTCTTCCCTGCACCTGGAACGCTGGCGTTCGCGGCACCTACTGCCGCGGCGAATAGTGATCGTGCTCCCGGTGCTGCACCGGGTACGGTTGCACGCTGATTTGCTACGAGCCCGCTGCGGGCATCGGAGGCGGCTTGTTTCGTGCCTCGGAACCGTTGCACGTCTTCTTGAGGCGTGAAGCCGGGCCGGATCCGGCGTTCTTTACGGACACTGGAGGTGTGGGTGCGTGTGCGTAGACAAAGCGTGACGAGCATCGTAAATGGCGAGGACGTGTCGATCGAGGGTTATGATGATACATATGAGCGTCATGGTACAAGATTAATAATTTGAGAAGATGACCGAAAGAACAGTCAGTTGGGTATGATCAGAGAGGGATATACGGAGAGCACGCACGAGCCATCCGCGCGCTTCGATTCTGGTATAACGCGATCGAGCGTACGCGGGTCAACTGCGATGCCAGCTGCAGTCTTGTTCGGGTCCAAAGGCGGGCCGCGGGAGGACATCTTTCAAGGTGGTAGAGTATATGGTGGAATAGGGCGGGTGAGGGGGCGCGAGGCGCGAGACGCGGCGGTGATGGCGAGTGTAGAGGTTGGTTCTGACCGTCATGCCGCCCCTTCCTTCTTGTTCAATGGATGCTATACTGCCCCTGCGCTCCCACCATAGCGACATATTGTATCACACTCTGCGTATCGAAATGGGCTCGTCCGTTGCGCACATGGAGTACTGTGCGGGTCTCTCGAGGCAATAAGTACTGCTGCAAACGTCAGTCAAATAGAAAGCGCCGTGGACCATGCGTATGTATCTGGTCTGCTGGGCCCTTGAGCAAGCCGGCGTCGCTTTCTGACAGATGTTTCTGACGCCTTCAAACGTTCAGCCCGCAGTTTTGCGTCAAACGAGGCGCGGGCATGACGTGGGCAGCTCTTGATAGACGTGGTACGGGCATGGATGCGAGGAGGATCGTATATATTGAACATCGTACGGGTACATTCTTATGGCTCGATATGACAATGCTGATCTTCAACTTCCAATACAGCTATCGTACCACGAAGGGACTCTCATTGAGATGATGAGACACAAGCCTGGCATCCGGAGTCCCGATGCAGGGTGAGCTGCGGTCGGGACTATCGCTCACCCACCCTCTCTTATCAAGCCTCGCGATGTGGAAGGGCACGCCAAGGTGAAAGCGGTTTTTGAGCAGGCTCTTGAGCATACGTACATTAGCGAGCTGTTCACGGTCGGCGTGAGATCGCTACCGAAATCGTGACGTCGGGAACCTCAACAACACCCCTTCTGCTTGACGTCTCAACTCCATTACCAAGCTCATCGATAAGCAGCGCATGCTGAACCGGATGTCGTTGAATACATGCTGCCACCAAGCATGAGGGCTCGGATGTTGGGGAGGAGGGCGTTAAACTCATACAAACCATCGACCAACCTGCAGCAAACCTGTAGGGATACGTGAGGTGCGGTACTCCAATCCTGTTTAGTCGATAGTAGAGACTAAGCTCGAAATAGTGATAGATGCATGGTGGGGCACACTTGCTTCTGCAAGGGTACTGCAGGTCGGCACCTGCAACACGAACACTGAGTTGTCAATTAGCCGTGTTCTGAATGTGCGCATGTTGCACTATAGATCCAAGGAAGACAATTCAAGAGCCCTTCCACATCTTCACGGATACGCTGAACGTATGCCAATGCGACGATGCGACGATGCGAGCCCAAGGCAACACAGCGCTGACGTACACCCTCGAGGAACAGCGTGTATGAGTAGGGGAGTGCAACTCCAGAGGGACTATCTGACCTATCTGCGTCGGAGGATCACTGCTGGTGGACAGCGGACGAGGATAGACGGCAGAGTTAGGTATACGTGATCAGGCAATGATGCATGATGCCTCGCCAGAGCGTGAAGCGCGCAATTCACACTCGACTCTCCAGCAAGAATCTGGCCGGCCAGTCGGCGCTTTCTTCTTCCACACATACTCAACTTACCAATATAGCGCGTATACTCATAGATAAATCACATAGACGCGAAGAGATATGGCTCAGATTGATCCAGCCCGAGCAGCGACGGGCTGCGTAGAAGTATAAGGCCAACAGTATTATCTCGCAAGGAATTTCTGCAGATAGACTCAGAGATGTTCTTGGCATTGGTGATACAGTTTTTGATCACGAAGAGCCTGACGGTAGTGGCCAAGTCAAACGCGCGTCGCGGAAACCACGCCCAGGCGATGAGTGTCGGTGACAGAGCAACCCGTAGAACCCTCGTGACCGCGTTTTTCGCGTTCAGTAGGCTCGCGCGGCGGCTGCGCCACATTTTGTCTGTGACCTCCACCCTTGTCTTATACATCCAACCCGAAAAGTCGTTGTCGCCATGCGCTACGCGGTGCTTGTAACGGGTCCAGCAGGAGCTGGGAAGTCGACGTTCAGCGGTTCGCTCATGACACATATCCAACATTCTAAGCGCACAGCGCACCTTGTGAACCTGGATCCGGCAGCGGCGCCGGACAGCTTCGAATACGCGCCTTCCATCGACATCAAGGACCTCATTTCCTTAGAAGATGTGATGACCGAACTGAACTATGGGCCGAATGGAGGACTTGTGTACTGCTTCGAGTGAGTACGTGCGCTAGGCGGACCTACACGCGCACTCGAGGCTTATGGCCTTCGAGGTACCTGCTTGAGAACATGGACTGGTTGGACGAGGAGATCGGAGAGTTTGAGGACGACTACTTGATTATCGATTGCCCCGGTGCGTGTTCTAGCGCAGGTGGCATGAAGGCATCCGCTGAGAATCTCGCAGGACAAATCGAACTATACACCCACCATCCGTTCTTACCGACGCTTGTCAAGCACCTGAACCGACAGGGTATACGCACATGTGCGGCGTATCTTCTAGAATCGCAGTTTATGGAAGACAAGTATAAGTTCTTCAGGTGTGTTTGGTCTACGAAGAGACGGTATATACGCTGAATCCTATAGTGGCGTAATGTCTGCCATGTCTGCCATGGTGAACCTGGAGATTCCGTGGATCAATGTCATGTCGAAGATGGATCTCGTATTGCCCAACCCAGAAGACCCTTCATCTGGCGGCCGGAATGGGCTCCGTACCCGCCGAAACATAGCAAGGCGAGTTACCTTCCGTGTAGAGCGACATGTGCTCGTCCATCGTCGGGAGCAAGACTGTCCCTGTGAATGTGCCTAGCCTTCCGGTGCTAGCGTAGCACCTCTATCACTCGTTATGGCTGTCTTTGTATCCGGGCACTACGATGGCGCATGCGTCTTACCCCTTCTCGCGTACAAGCCTGGAAATGTCCACTAACCGACATCCTAGGTACCTGGATCCAGACCCTCTTCTCCTCGCAACTCCTCATTCCGGTGGCGATGGGACGGAAACACTTAACCCCAGATTCCATGCGCTCAATCAAGCCATCGTCCAACTCGTCGGTCCCACATCCAATCTTCATGAACGATCCAACTGATCATATACTGCAATTGAAGATCGAGGATCACCCGCTGGTTTCATTTTTGCCTCTCGACTTGACCAATCCGGACTCGATTGAGACGGTCCTCAGTCATATCGACTACACGATGCAGTATGGGGAGGATGAAGAGCCGAAGGAGGTACACCATCAAGCTCTTTGTTGTGCCTCGAGCCGGAGCTGATCCGCTCTTCTTCTGTAGCCACACGACCTCGACGAAGGCGACTTCCACGACATGGAGTAGGAGACTTACTTCTCCTCCTTTTCATCTTGTCCCAGTGACTGCCAAGAAAAAGACGAGTCGCGCTGCACGGAGCTTCGCGTTCATCTAGTCGTGTTTCGCCGCTATGAAGCTTCCGGCAAGACGCAGCGCGCATGTACACTACTTGAGAGAGAGAGGACTGGAGATGTCTATATCGCTGATCGCACTTGTAATACTTACTATAGAGCGACCTCTGCTCCACATGTCGACGTTGAGGCGACCCGTTTCGCTGCTTTCCTGCACAAGCCCGCGCTGTTCCGGTCACCATTGGCCGCGTGAGCGTTCTCGGTGGGGACGCACGATCGCCAACCAGGACTTGCGTGGCAAGCGCATCTGTCATGAAATACGTTCTCATGGTATTCTTCCGAGCGATTGAACAGTGCCTGCATTTTGCCGCTGCGGCTTTTCTGTTAATTGAATAGTTCTTTTCAGATATCCTTCGTCGGCGAAAGTTAAGCACTCAAGTACTCATGCATCGCCAACTCATGACTGCGGCACTCCAATTGTACCGCTGCACTCGAAGAATCTTGAGAATATTGTTACGAAGGTGGGGAGAGGACGAAGGGAGGGTCCCAATTGGGGTATCCGAGTATACTCTGCCCTTCCTGGTGGCAAGAATATCGACATGGATGAAGCTCAATATCACGCGGCACGTCCGACGCTGGTGCTTGGAGCGTGCCGGTACCGCACGTGGCACGTCTGCGCATACAAATTCGTGCAAACACCGGGTGCCCAGACGGCTGTAAGCGGCGATCTGAACCTCCATGATACCTCCATCATCTTCGAGGTTTAGCCACAGAAAGCACCGCTCGTGGATCCATTCGCGTCTGGCTTTGTCCTGCGTGCCTAGAGAGTCAAGACCGGGCCCGACGCGTGCAAGTCCTCGGGTAAGAACCGGCTCCGCTGGTTGCGTTCAGGTTTACGCGTCGTTTATCCGACTGTTATTCATGGCGCTCGTCGCGTTCTACTCGGGATTTTCGCTCGTGTTTCTTACGGAGACCTTCTATCGGTTCAAGACACCTATAGACGCCGACATTTTACCCAAGCACCGACGGCGCTTCTTTCCTATCTCATACACAGACGCGGGCTTTTCCCAGGAATATACCAACGCTCGCTGGTCGATGATTATATATGGAACGACTCGTCAATTCCTCAAAATGGATCTTGAACATGACATGGTCGCTCCGCCTTGTTGCTCCGAGTCAAGACCGTATAGAAAGCGAGAAGCGCTGTGACGAGGCCCTGCTGAAGGTCTGTGTTGAATTTAGGAACGACGCGCGTGAATCTGACGACGTACGCTTAGCGAAATAGAGCCTATGTGCGCCTTAAGAGCGACTGCTTCTCACCGTTCGGATGGATGATCAAAAGCTTCTTGTCCGAGCTCTTCAGCTGACCGCCTTCGTCGAACATGCCCGCTCTTGCACCGCCATCAGCACGCTCGGAACTACTACTGCTTATGGTCGTCGCTCTGCATCGTGCACAGACAGTACCTGCTTTCGGTTGTTCATCGGTACGCGCACCTATCCTTGGCTTGGCCAGCGCACCGCCAGGTTTTTTCCGAGCAAGTCACAGGTGGCGGGCGGCAACCCTTGTGTGGCTCAACGTGCTCCTTCCGCCGTGTTTTCTCTCCGTATGAGCGTGCAGATAGTATGTAATTGGGGCCGACGCAGGCCAGTTATAAAGTCGAATGTTTGCCATCGCTGCTCCTCATCGGTCCTCCGACACAGGTCTTCAACTTGGTTATAATGTTCCCCACCGCTTCCCTCCTCGCACTCTCCTACGCCGCTGTGGTTTACGCTCAGCAGGCCGGCACGCTCACGGCTGAGACTCACCCCAAGCTCTCGGTCTCAACCTGCGCGTCTGGCGGCTCTTGCACTTCCACCACACAATCGGTCGTTCTTGACGCTAACTGGCGCTGGGTCCACTCGACTTCGGGCGCCACAAATTGCTACACGGGTAAGCACCATTGGCCCCTCTTTCCAGTTACTGTATCTGATTATTGCATCAGGTAACACCTGGGATGCCACTCTCTGCCCCGACGACACAACTTGCGCGGCCAACTGCGCTCTGGACGGAGCCGACTACTCTGGCACCTACGGCATCACTGCTTCCGGCAATGCGCTCACGCTCCAATTCAAGACCGGCTCGAACGTTGGCTCGCGTGTCTACCTCATGGACTCGTCCGACTCGAAGTACCAGACCTTCAACCTCAAGAACCAGGAGTTCACTTTCACGGTCGACATGTCGCAGCTTCCCTGCGGTCTCAACGGCGCGGTCTACTTCTCCCAGATGGACGCTGATGGCGGTGTTGCGCGCTTCCCGACCAACAAGGCCGGCGCCAAGTACGGAACGGGCTACTGTGACTCTCAGTGCCCGCAGGACATCAAGTTCATCAGCGGCAAGGTTCGCATTCTCATATCTTTGATCTTGAGGGGACTTCCCGCTGAGACTATCTCCACAGGCCAACGTCGACGGCTGGGTGAAGTCTTCCAACAACGCCAACACCGGTACCGGTACATACGGCACTTGCTGCACGGAGATGGATATCTGGGAGGGTAACTCCATGGTAAGATCATCTCTCAGGACCATTTCGCCAACACATCAACTCAACATGTATTCAGGGTGAGGCCTACACCCCGCACGTCTGCTCCGTCACTCAGCAGACCGCCTGCACTGGCGATGACTGCGGCAACGGTAGCGACAACCGCTACGACTCGCTTTGCGACAAGGACGGATGCGACTTCAACTCCTTCCGCATGGGCAACAAGTCTTTCCTCGGCCCTGGTCTTACCGTCGACACCTCGAAGCCCATCACGGTCGTCACGCAATTCGTTACCGCCGACGGCACGTCGAGCGGTGACCTCTCTGAGATCCGCCGCTTCTACGTCCAGGGCGGCAAGGTCATCCCCAACTCGAACTCGACCATCTCCGGCGTCACCGGCAACTCGATCACCGACAGCTTTTGCAATGCTCAGAAGACGGCCTTTGGCGACGAGAACCAGTTCGAGGCCAAGGGTGGACTGAAGACTATGGGTCAGGCCTTCGAGAAGGGCATGGTCCTCGTCCTCTCGCTTTGGGACGACTACGCCGTCAACATGCTCTGGCTTGACAGCGACTATCCGACCACCGAGCCTGCAACGCAGCCCGGTATCGCCCGCGGCAATTGCTCGACCTCCAGCGGTGTGCCCGCCGATGTTGAGTCGCAGAGCGGCAGCGTCAAGGGTGCGTTCTCAACTGCATGCCTATTCATAGACATACTCATGCTATCTTCATAGTCATCTACTCGGACATTCGCACTGGTCCCATCGGCTCGACGTTCAGCGGCTCTTCCAGCGGTGGCGGCAGCAGCAGCGGTGGCGGCAGCACGGCGCCCTCGCAGACCACAACGTCTTCTGCTCCCGCTGGCACCGGCGCCGCGCACTACGCCCAATGTGGTGGTACTGGATGGAGCGGTGCGACCACTTGGTAAATATTTTCTTGGCTTATTTATCACGTTCCCTCGCTAATGCGATCTTCTCAGCGTCTCGCCCTACACGTGCACGGTCCTCAACCAGTACTACTCCCAGTGCTTGTAGAGAACTTGTACCGTCGCGGTGTTGATTGCTCTTTGGGATAATTGGGCTGCGTGGGTGTAAAAAGCGACGGTAATGGGTTCCGTGATCTGCCTTCCACTGTATTCTGGTCGTTGTATCATCGTCTTGTCTTCTATCAAAAAGAATGTATCCTGTTACCTTGCCTCTGAGCTTCTCCTCGTCTGTGAGAGCAACGTCCTCTGGAAGACTCGCAGGGTCGCAGCTCATTCTCAACGTCACCGGCCTTATCGCGCAGCCAGCAATGCGCCTTCTGCGTTGCCTTCGTCCTCTCTGTCGCAAACCTTGACGGGTACTAAAGCAGGAAGTTGGTCCCAGCGATCTTCATACGCGAGGCTCTGCCGTGCCGTATGTGATGCGCCACAATTACACACAACCCCCGGCGTCTAGCGAAGTCACTTATCACAAGCGTCAATTCAGTAGACCGGCCACGTTGGGTGTTATCGATACGTACGTCGGCGTGGACGGTGAAGTCGAGGGTATTGGAGATTGTGGGTGCGCGGTCGTCTCGACCGTGTATTGGAGATGAGCGAACTAGACCGCGGTCGTTGTGGCGCGATGCAAAGCCTTCCTTGTTCACTCAGTCGCCACTTTGCCGTCCGAGTGATGATGGCGAACGCCTCGTTGACTCTGCGTTTGAGTCTGAACTTCGAGAGTTCATGTCGTGCAGACGCGATGGCCGATGCCTGAGAGAGCCCAATGTGGTCACCAACACCTGCTGAGTATACGGTGCTGACAAGGCGGCTATTTCAGATTGCACAGCAGGCGCCGTCCGACACACGCAAAGGCGGATACTGCGAGCCGCATGCTCTGCAGTGGCGGTATATGCGCCGTCTTCTGCTCGGCATTGAAGAAATTTGTCGACTGGCACTTCGGCTGTAGCAGCGGGAGGGACGGCTACGTCACCGTAAGCAAAGAATGAAGGCTGTCAATGGATCGGCATGTGGCGATGCGCTTGTGAGCCTGCCGCCACTGCGCACTCAAGCGCTCAAACTCTACTTGTGTCATACTTTCCGATACCGGTCCCGGATGCGAGATGCGCACTGCTGCAAAGGTAAAGTTGGCATCTGCAGCTCTTGCACCATGGATGAAGTCAGAGTGCGACATTCACAGCCTTGAGAAAGCGGACGGCGGTCCTGCAAACTTTGCCGGTATCGGTGGATACACGGCGCACAGTCATAGTCAGATTTGTTAAGACGTGTACAATATCATAGCCATGGTCTGTGAAGAGCGGCGCGAGTATACTACCTGTCCGTGTCAGAGCCGACGAGCTGAGCCTCCTTGTCCGCCTTGTTTGACGCCACAGCCGCTGCGATCCCGTCGGGCTCGGTATAGACATTCAACGCGATCCTGTATGGTTCGTACACTCGAAGAGGGACCTCAGATACTTGATCGACCGCCGGTTTGTGGATCTTGTTGTACAAGAGATGGCGGGAGAAGACGCCACCGCTCGCTTTGCGCTCGCGCGTGACGCTGCCAACGGTGATAAGATTCTTGAGTGATCCCAACCGGCCTGCGTCGGGGGTGGCAAGATTCGAGATTGACGCCCGAGAAGGCCAGCGTGGTTATGGACTTGTGGGTTCTGTGGACTGCGTTTGCGTCTGCTGAATGGGACACGTTGCGGGCACGATACGAGGTTGGGATAGAAGGTGGAGCGGGACTTGTCCGATGCTCAAGCGCGCGGCGCCATCTGCGGCTCACGCATCGCGCTAGACTTTACGGTGGTACCGTGTCGCGTATGTGGTCGATAAGCTGCCTCGTCACCCGGTCTGAACTCGACCAAGAAAGGCTTGCACCAAACGTTCATACGATACGTTTTGATAGGTCGATGTAAGGTTCGCTCCGAGCCAGCCACCCGCCAAGTACGACGACTATGCAAGTCGGTGGCTGCTACCCTGGCTACGCCCAAGATGCCCGAGCATAAGATTCTTCAACGCGTAGAGTTCTCACAAGCCTTCTTCAAGTTCTTGATGGCGTCAATGGCTTGGAGCAGACTTGAGAACAAGTGCGCACAGCCTCTAAAACCAATCCAACTAACCTCGAATTCCTTCCACGGTAGGCATGAACCAATGTGGGCGCTCGCCTCGAGGCTTTCGCGAGGGGGCACAAAGCAAAATCCCTGCCAGATTCGGAAGCGGCGCCCGTCCCGCCCGCGCTCAGGTGGAGTCGACGCTTCCGATACAGATGCTGAGCCGTCTGCGCTCGGGCTCGGATCCTACGATCCTACAGTGAAAATACAGTGTCGGCGGCCAGTAGTGCGCATAGCTATGCGGAGTGTATTGGCCTCGGGATGCGATGGTCGGGGTTTGACTGAAATAGGGAGCGAGGGGACCGACGGTGGGCGGACAAGGCGGACAATGCACCGCGCCGACGCAGTTCTTTGGCCGCAAACGGCGCAAGCGCGAGCCGCGCGGCGTGCGGTGATGCGCTGCCCGTGCTGTGGCACTGCTCTGACATCCTGAAAGGTTGTTTGCCGTGCGATGCAGCTATCGCGACTAAGAAAGACGACAAAAGGTGGCCTCGGACCTTGTTGCACAGCGTGAGCTGCTGAACGGCCGTGCCTGAGTGTTTGCCGTATACGGCATTCCACGCGAGCGGAAGGCAGCGGGCCGCGGACTCCTGTGCAAGGATGACGATGTGGGCGACGGTGAGATACACGCTAACTGCACCGCGAGGGTGGGGTGATAGACAAGCTCATCCGGAGGACGAGATGGGGAAGGGCGGCCGCAACGATGACGAGGGGGTCACTTCTCGTCGAGGAGAGTTCAGAGTTGTCCGCGGTCATGAACAGGCCTGAAGAGGCACTCGATGCTTGTCGGGAACGGCGCAGGCTAAGGAGCGCCACCACAGGTTATCGAACCCGAGAAGAGAACAGAAGCGCTCGCCCCGACCGAGCTGCGCGCAAAAAAGCGTTTCGTCGGGATCGGAAGACAAAGCAATGTGGAGTGTGAGAGCACGAGGCAGGGCCGGGGTGGCCAGCTAGTGTTCCGTTCCACCCATCGCGCCGTCCGATGGTACGGCGATACACAGCTGCAAGGGTCTTGTTTGGCCGCGAGAATGGTCGGGATAGTGCGATGGCTCGGAGGGAGAGAAGGCACTGTCAGCCGACTGGCATGGCCCCTGAGAGGAGGTCGGTGGGGCTGGCGGGGAGCGTGCTCGACAGCTCTCCAAGGTACTGCGAAGTAAAATCTGAGTACATAAATTGGCAAGTGGTTTGCACGATCCGGATGGGCATGTCGAGTGGCCAAAGGCGGGAAGGCTTTGTGCGACAATTAAGAGATGAACGTGAACAATGACTGGCGCGTCACGCTTGCGGCTATGTCCGTGTGGGAGGTAAAGCGCCGAGCTCGCGTGGCCTAGCGCCTTACGTCCCAAAAGGCACGCCGGGCCCAGTTCGTTCACTTTGATCGTTGGAGCGAGAAAGTATATAGAGCGCGTCGGGTTGCTACCTCGGAAATCTATCTCGCAGCCCACCCAACGTCGAGCTACCGCAATGTCCCACATCTACGCCAGCAGTGTACCCCTCGCGCCCTCGTCTGGCACGCACTCCCGTGGCCGCTCCCGCTCGCGCAACTCGCCGCCCCGGGTCTCCATGCCCTCGCCCCAGTTCCCCGTCAGCGCCCCGTACTACCAGCAGTACCAGTCCTCGGATCCGGGCCATGGATACGCACCTACCCACGCTCGGCACGCATCTTACAGCGGCCAGCCGTCATACAACGCCTACCAGCAGATGCCAGGCAGCGCGGGCACGTACTACGTCGCCCGTTCGCCATCTCGCGGTCACCACCGTCGCTCGGAGTCTGCCGGTCACAGGCATCGTCGCTCGCACTCTACCACCGCCCACCACCGCTCGAGCTCTACCACTGCCGCTCCGAGGCATAGCCAGCACAGGCACTCGTCCACGACGAGGCAACATTCTTCGGTCCCCCATCGCTCCCAGAGCGCCGTGGCAGCAAGGCGGCACACCTACGTGAGTTTATCTTGACATCTATACTTGCTATACCATATACTGACATGTCCCCCGCAGAGCCAGCCTCAACGCCGCTACTCTACACACCATGCATCAAACCTGTCATTCGGTGACCGCATCCGCAAATTGTTGCACATCGGGCGCTTCGGCAATCATGGCAAGCCATACTACGTCGACTCGCGCGGCCGCGAACTCGACCGCTCCGGGCGGCCGATCGTCAAGTATTGAGCGCGTGCCATTGTGTCCTTGCATCGAGGCCGGGAGAGAGATGTCCATGTCGAGCGCGTGACCGCCGCCGACGTAAAGCGAGCTTCATCTCCCGCCCTTTGCCCTTGCGCGCCAAAAGCCCGCGCAGCGACCAGCCAGTCGTTCCGCGCCTGCCATCGTTTCGTTTGTCTGCCAGCTCGAGAGAGGGCCCCGTTCCCATGCTTGCCAAAGTCTGCTGCGCCCACCACCCAGCGCTGTACCACCACCGCTGCCGGCCCTCCGGTTTCGCCGGAGACCGCAATATGCCCATGTTCATCTCGCTCATCTCCGCTGTCTGCACTTGCTCTCGCCCCCTGCTCACATACGAAGTACGATACCTACGATACCTTCACGCGCTACGCCTTCTACGTTCCTGCTTTTTGTTCACGGTTGCTTGATCTGTTGATGATCCCACTGCTGGTCGCCAGTGTACTTTACGCCCCTGCCTACTCAATTTCCTTTTGGTCACCCTTGTTCCCTCTTGACGACTGTATCGAAGGACTACTACAAACAACAAACACATATACTTTTGTAGCACAACCAACTCCCGCGCTGGCTTCCTTGAGCCTTCTGCGCTGCGTGATACCCGCGTCTGAATTGTCGCGTTCTGCTTCGAGTTCGATAGATGATCAAGCTCGCAACGCGGGCATACAAAGTACGCTAACCAGATCGGCGCGCCTAGGCCTCTTCCAGTCTGATGCATCAACAGCCTCAACGACATCTCCAACTTTGGGGTCGAGTCGGTCGACCGACTGTACGCTCTCGACCGCGGGGATCTGCGCACGCGCCGTTCTTCGCGGCCCTAGGCGACAAAGGTAGTCCCGTCCGCGCTTTCCCGCCCCCTCCCAGCCAAGCCCGCGGCGATCCTGCGCGCTGACAGTCAGAAGGGCCTGTGACTTCTCTCGAGAGCATTCATGCACATGCACGGCACGGAACCGTCCACTGCCAGTCAGGTCCACTGGCCGATACACACCGAGATGAACGTGGGCGTGTGTGCGTGGTTGACTGTACAGGTTCTCCGCGCAAAGTCTTTCCTCCTCCTTTCTCCTTCAAGTCACTCGGGCACCGATTGCTGTACTCGTTGTTTATGTCGCGCTCAGGGGCTCGAGCTCGCCCCGGCGGGTGCGCTCTACGATCGGGCGTCGACCCGCGAGCTTGTATCGTGACTTCAGAGTTTTATGAGCTTGCATCATGAACACGTCGTAGACCACCTTCCATCTCTTCCACGCGGAGGCTTTCACGTTACGCGTGTGGCGGATGAAACAAAGAAACCTGTGTGTCCTCATCGCGCGTGTACCCGAGCCACGAAAGAATAAGATGTGATGTTTTGCGTCGTGGTCAAAGCGTGTCTTTCCAACTGGACACCGCACTGTACCACACGTTTACAATTATAGTTCATCTCGGTCAGCTCGTCAACAGCGCTGATCTTTTCAGGCGCAGACGGATACGTGTAAAGTGTAAAGCGGGTCCCCTCGAGGCAGATGTGATGAGAGCGTAGCGGTTCAAAGCAATTCAGCCATAGACCGCCTCAAGGCCTCGACAAACGCGTGTAAAGGCCGCACGCATCGATTCTTCCCTCGAACTTCCACGTAGCGCGGCTCGGTGCCACATACCGCCCTTCATCTCCGGCCAATTATGAACTGATGCCTGCGGCGGGATGCGCCGTATACGGGAAATCGCGCCGTACGCGGGAAGATGGGCGGTGGCGAGGTGGCTGAGGAAGACGGCCCATTCGGATGCGGAACGGTATGGACGCGATCGAGCGGCGCGGGCTCACAGGGGGGTCGGAGTATCCGTTGGGCGCGGGCCTTCGAAGCGCATACGGCGAGTGCGTCAACACAGTAGGAAAATTTAGAAGCGTTTGAGATTAACGTGGCTTGGCCGCTTTGCCATGCTTGTTGGATGTTCCCATGTTGATAACCGTGGATAAGAAGCTGCTGTGAACTCATAGAATAACATCGCAGAAAAGAGAAAAGAGAGGAGTAGTCGGCTGAGAGGGCCGTCAGCGTCAGGCGGGTGCAGAGTGCACCGAGAGTCGTCCGAGAGTAGTGTTGCTGGAACACGGCCCATGGTTTCTTCCAGCTGGACGCACGTTCGTTCATCTTGCACGTCGTACAGCGCATCACTATCGCATCGCGCCATCCGGAGTTCAAGAGACAGCAGGGCGCTCATCGGATTCGAGCCGCCAGATCTCTCCAACTTGTCCGTTGTGTGCCTCGGAAGACTCTCACCGATGATTTTCAAAACCTTTTTCGGACGCCCTCAAGCCCATCTTGATACACGAGAAAGCTGATTGGCGCGGTGAAGGCGCCCGGTGAATTCCAGGCGCGAAAGGGCCGGCGGCATGAGAGCGCGATCACTGACAGAATAGTCAAACAGAGTGCATAGCGCTCTGCGTCAGCGAGGGAAGAGCATCTTGTAAGCCGGTCTGGCCTTTCATTTACGAGGAGGGCGCGTAGATGGCCGCCCGAAGCGCACACAGATTTGACTCTGTTTTAGTCCATCGTCGCACTGACGTCGGAAAGCATGTACGCCCTGTTTGAGAAGGACGTACTCGCGCAGAGGTTTCATCCACGTCGTTCCCAAGGAGATAAGGACAACATGGTGAGGTCTTGCACTGGTATGAGCGATCCAGAACGGCCTCGCGAGGGGCGATGCAGATAACACGTCCATGCGCCTTCGTGCAGCGCATACATGCAGCAGCAGAGTTCGATCCCCTGTATGCTCATGACGTCCAGAGATAAGACAAGGGAACAACGACGATAGCGCACTTCGAGTCGTTTCATTCCACCACGTCGGAACGTCGTAGTGGCGAGAAGCAAAGAACGTAGGCGCGGTCCCATCGGCAGGAATCATTCGTCGGGTGAGCTCATAGCGAGTCTGACGCAGGCTGTAGAAGGGTGAAGGCGTGCACGCTAATGACGGGCCGCCGCTGATGAATGTTTGCGAAGGACTTCTAGAGTACAGAGTGTTTTCTCGACGACCTAAACTTGTCCGCGCAGCTTGGGCGAAGGGCAACGACGCGGTACGCCTCAGGACGGCCATCCGATGAGAGAAGAAGTCACGAAGAAGTTGATGGCATGTCGTCATCTTGAACTATAACTCTATAGCTATCGCTGTGTGGTCTTATGTGCGAGTTTGGTCTTGCTTCAGTAGTTACAACAGATCCCGACGAAGGGAGAGAGCGACGAGCGTGGTGGTTCGCTCGAAAGTCCGAGGAAATCAACAAGGCCGAGAGGGCCGAGTCACAATGGTCACGTTCGTACTCGCTGAAGGTCGTGACATCACTGCGTCTTGTATGGAACGCAGCCTTTTCGTGTGGCATCATGGCATACTCATGGTTCAAATTTCATTCATATGATTCACGCGGGATGTACTAATTGCTGCGATGACTAGGCGTATATGCAGTGATGCCTTTGGAAATAGCAAGAGTCTCTGTGAAGACAGCAAGCCTCCCATCGACACGATGCACAAGATAACGATGCGAAACATACGACGGTGAGACAGGTTCCATACTCTACAGTAAGCAGAGGGCGATGATGACACAGAACCATAGCTACCGAGATGATAGCCCCGTTGGGAAATTGCCTTGTGTTGAGCGTATGGCCGGCATATGCGCCAGATGCGTTAGGACGCCGGCCACTAACCCACGGAGAGGGGGTACACTGCTCTTGCTGAAGATAGCGATACACTGGGTTCATCGAAACGCTCTGATAACTGGATAACTCCAAAAAATGCATACATGCGTGGCCTGCTGTAGATGTTGCGCCCAGGCAATGTCCGGTACGCTGCACGGCCATGGAAAGACGCATCGGCAGGACTGGTTAGAATCCAGCTGACACATCTTCGATAGTACCAGGTCCTGATCGTGAAAATAACTTGTACATGAATCGGCTTGGCTCATAGACCACGTCTGGGTTGAAGGCGGACGGTTTCAATTCAAGGGCGAGACGAGCGGCACGAGCAAACCTCGTCATCAAGCACGCACCTCTGACATCGGCCTCTATTCCTTCCTGTCGGTTTCATAATGGGGCAGTGATGAGGCTTTGAAGAAATGCGTGGGTGACATGACCGCATTCTACACTGCAAGCATCATCAGCAAAGCTAAACACCTCGCTGCCGCGTCGTCGATCGCGCTTTCTGGTAGCCTCGTTGTAGATAAGCAGTTAATTCCCAGCACTTTGGGAGCGGCGTGATACAGGTCCTCTTCACGTATGGAAAGACCCTTCCGCTTGTCACGGCCGCAGCAGTCGCGTTGTTCATGGTTGGATGATCGAGAACTCGAGTTGACAATATGGCACCAGACTTGAGCTACGACCTTCACGTAAAGCGGAGTTCCTTCCCACTACAGAGTGCTTAGAGTTCCTTGGAATGGCGATCGCAGAACCTTGTCATCTTCATCCGCGTAGCACGCAAGCCGCAGGTGCATTCGCTGTTCTCGCCTCCGGTATTCATCGCCGCCGGATTATCGCACATGAGAGAATCAGAGTTGCACAATCGATAGATGCGCATAGCCAGATACACGCAAGGTTGTCAAACATCCTTTCCTCGGCACCCTGAGCACGAGAGCGATACTCAGGGTGAGATGAAGATGGTGGGATGGAGGTAAAGTTCAAGCGCATGCTCACGACTTGATGCGTCTCGCGTGGCTCTCGCGTGCTCGAACAGAGCGGCATTTCGGAGCCAAACTTGTCTTCGCCCATCATGTCTGCCTTTACCGAGTACATCTCGGCTTCCGTCAATCGGTACAACCACGCAGCCGCGTGTACATCGTCTTCTTTGATAGCGTTTGGTAGTGGGAATCTCGTTGCTCTGTGGGATGCTGCGGTCTGTCCCATTTCCCTCAAACACCTTCGGACCGAGAATTGATGAGACGCGAAAGATAGGATCCCTCTGAGCAAGGCGTACATCAAACCCTCGCCGGCCATACATCAAGAGTAACATGCGTACACTTTGTTACGGATAGATGTCTGATCTCTGGCGACGATGCGGGGATCGTAAAAATCTGGCATAGTCTTGAAGGGGAGGATTGGTCAGAGACTATCAGTGTGCAGGCACATGCGAAGTCGATCTCTACTTTGACATATCACGCTGGTTCTGGATGTATCCTCACGGGATCCTCCGACGCTAGCGTCAAACTGTGGAACTGGAATACAGATACTAAAGGTAAAATGGCCATTGCCCATCAGACACAACAGCTAAAACAGTACGTCCAGAGCTATCATCACCGTCGCAAGAAATCTCGTTGAAGAACCGATATCCTCTGTCAGTAGCACTGGATGGTCTCCCGGGAAGCTCCTCGACGATACTCGCCGTTGGTTGCACAGACCGCTCCATACAGGTTTACACACGCTCCACTGAACAGTTCGTACACTCTACTTCGTTACCTGGACACGAAGACTGGATCCGTGCTCTGAGTTTTCTCTCACCGACATCCCCTACTGCACCCTTGATCCTGGCCTCTGGATCCCAAGATGCGACGATCAGGCTATGGAACATAGAGCCACTCAGTGCTACAAAAGTCGAGGCTCATGCTACCTCCGATGAGCTACTGGACGCGTTTGAGGCGTCACTTGGTGAAACAGGCGAACGCGACGAGGGCGGGCGCCAAATCACCCTTAAGCGACACATCGTCAGAGCCGGGGACACCCAGTACAGCATCACCTTTGATGCCCTGCTTGTCGGCCACGAGGCAGGCGTGACATCGCTCGCGTGGCGTCCTGCCAGCAGCGAGACGACAACGCCAACCCTACTGTCGTCTTCAACCGACTCATCCATCATCTTGTGGTCTCCAGCTGCTGTACCAACCCTTCAGAAGGGACAAGAGACTTCTTTGTGGATATCGCGCGAGCGATTCGGAGATGTCGGTGGGCAGAGGTTGGGAGGCTTTGTTGGCGCGCTATGGGCTGCTCAAGGGAACGAGGTCTTAGGGTGGGGATGGGCTGGCGGATGCCGTCGGTGGCGTACCCCATCCACATCTGTCTCTGTAGAGTCGGAGACGTGGACGGAAGTGGGCGCTATAAGCGGGCATGCTGGACCTGTGCGGGGAATATGTTGGGCGCCGGGCGGCGAATATCTCTTTTCTACCGGACTTGACCAGACTACACGTGTGCATGGCGCTATATCGACTTCGTCAGGAGGCGCGGTGTGGCACGAGCTTGCTCGACCGCAGGTGCATGGGTACGACCTGGTCGGTGTCGCGGCGCTGAGCGCAATCAGTTTCGTGAGCATCGCGGACGAGAAGGTCGCGCGGGCGTTTGAAGCTCCGGCTGGGTTCGTCAAGATGGTGCGAGCACTCGGCGTCGCTCGGCTTGAGGGTGCAGATGAGGAGAAGATGCCAGCCAGTGCGGTTGTGCCGCCCTTGGGGCTCTCCAACAAAGCAAATACGGATGGTGAGACACTGGTTACTTCGACGTATCTATCGGACGTTCGTCTGACCATTAGTAACAGCAAGCTCGCAAGTGGTCCCTACGTCCCAGAACCGTTCGAACCGACGTCCCTTCGAAGGTGAACTAGCATCCACGACGCTTTGGCCCGAAACGGAGAAGATCTTCGGACACGGCTACGAATCCATTTCATTGGCGTCCTCGTCTTCACGTGCGCATATTGCTACGGCATGTAAGGCGACAAGCGCGCAGCACGCTGTTGTGCGCGTATACGATGCGCAGAGCTTCCAGCCGCTAGGCAAACCGATCGAGGGGCATAGTCTGACCGTCACAAGAATCGCGTTCAGCCCGGATGACACAAAGGTCCTGAGCGTCAGCAGGGATAGAACATGGCATCTCTCTGAGCGGCAAGAGGGTGGAGGTTACGTACCGGTCGTGGCAGACAAAAGCCATGCGCGCATCATATGGGATTGTGCATGGGCACCTGAGGGAGACGCATTCGCGACTGCTTCGAGAGACAAGACAGTGCGGATATGGAGCCCGAAGGACGACGGAAGCAAGAAATGGTCGGCGATCGCGACGCTCAAGCTGGACGAGGCAGCTACGGCTATTGCATTCGCGCCGGGCGAAAAGGATCGGTACGCCGCGGTTTCTTGGATTCATTGCACCTTAAGATTGATCTCGCATCGCAGAAGGCTGCTGTCCATCGGACTGGAGACGGGCGAGATTCTGCTTTATTTTTCCCCAGTCTCGAGTCCGACTGAATGGTCCAAGCTGATGACAATCCCGCGCGGGTATGTTACCGACTTTCCATTCGGTTTACATCTCACTGATTTGACTCAGGGTTGCTCACATCGATCACATACACCAGCTTTCCTGGCGTCCTATGTCCGACTCGACGGAACACCTAGACCGGCTGCTTGCGAGCTGCAGCGACGACGGCACGCTACGCGTTCTTCGGGTGGTTGTATAGCTTGTAGATCGGAGTAATGAAGCGGTGCATTGATTGTTCCAAGATGCCAAGGGGGTCTGACTGAGTCTTATCAGAACGGAGAGGACACACCTACCCCTTGTGGACGATAATGGGTGATAGTATGGGAGTGGAGGAGGACAATAAGGTCGAGTGCGTGGCGCAACGTGACGATCGGGACCGTACGGCTTGAAATCGAATTGCTCTCCCCTGTTGCTCGTGTGCACGCGCATGAACACCGTCCACTTGGCGTACAGCTCTCGCGCTTCGTATGCACGGCACGCGCCTGGCGTGGTTGAGCAGGCGGCCATCGGCAAATCCCGTTCGCGCATCTGATTGGTGGCCGCCCGATTGTGGGCACGCCTTCACGGCGACCCATTGTTCGCCCATCGTGGCGAGATCTATATGAAGAATCTACTTCCGCTTGATCACGGCCCTACATTATTCTCCTTCCGTCTCATTGTTTGTTCGCTCTCTCCACTAGGCACCATACGTACATTGTTCTCGATAACCACCACCGACTTCGGCCGGCCCGAGCTTCGTTTGACTTGTGGTTCGGCATCTCCCATTTGTCTTCTATTGGACCTGCTGGCTCCACCTCCGGACCTTGAGGCTATCGATCCCCTGACAACCACAGAGACCCGCTTGTGGGCCCTTCTAGCGAGAGTATAAGTACTCCTGCGCTTCAGAAAGTGGCTTTCGCTGTGCTCCCCCAAACGATCGATCCGCTCTCTCAACCTCTCTGTAAAGTTGGAAAAGAAAGGAGGTAAGGTATGGGTGGTGAGAATAACAAGGTACGCTCATATTCCTTCCTGACCATTCTCCAAGGTACTGACAGTGTTGAATCACAGAAGGGCAAGTCGAAGGTCTACGTCAGTCTACCCTCGCGTCGGGCGCGCTCGGGTGGGCAGATGAAGACGCAGGAACGCATTCAAACCAGCGCGGAGAAGACGATGCGCAAGGCGCTTGTGGAAGGGCGGAGCATCGCACGGCCTGGTTCATACACTCAGGTCTACGTCGGCGGCGTGCGTGTTTCTGATTTTGAAGTTCGATATTTCAATTCTCATAGTTTTACGCAGCTCATCCCGACTACTCATCCCGAGCACGTCACGAGACACTTCGCCGATTGCGGGCGCATCCTCAACGTCGAGTTCGTCTGCCTACGCGGTACGGCCAACCTCCAGGGCAAGCCTCCGGCACGCGATTTGCCTGGGCCGATGCCTGGTCAGCTACCTACCCTGCGCCGCACTCTACGCCCTCGCCACATCGAGGAGAATGAGAAGCAGGTCGGGAGGCAGACCTGGATGTATGCCATCGTTCACTTCGACGACGCTGCCTCTGCTGCTCGCGCGCTGGCCAAGAACGGCGACACACTTGGCGGTTTCGATAATACCGAGTGTGTCATACGCGTCGTGACTTCTACTTCGGAACTAGAAGAGGTGCAAGAGCTCACCAACACATTCGCTATGGATGAGCAGCCTGTCCCATACAGTCGCGACTTGAAGCGCGTGCCTACGAGGATCAACTCGTTTGTGGTCGGGCGCACCGAGTTCGCTGCTTGGGAGCTCTGGCGCCCAAAGGAGCAGGCGGTCGTGCAGGGCGCTGAGAGCAGCACACGCACGCTCCGGGCCAAGGCTACGGCTAACAGGGTCAAGTGGCTTCAGACCGAGGCGACCATCCGGCCGAGCCAGAAGGCGGCCATGGGTGGGCTCATGAGTGCGGTGCAGATGGGGCTCAAGGCGTTGTGCGGGATCAGCTTCAAGTTGACTATCGTGTAGGCGTTTTCTTCCGTTTAGCGCACCTGCTACACCACCGCTCCTTTAATTTGGACCTTCACTCTTGAAGAGTACTAGTTCTGCTGTACCATCAACTTTCCTCCCATGAACGAATATCATTGTTGTATCTTTATATCCGTCTGATGCTCTGCAAGAAAGATGGACAACCCGCAACACAAGCACGAAATTGTGAAGACTTAGACCAGGGTCGATGGTTCTCATGAATAGTGCTGGGTCGCAGAGGACTATGGACGAGCCTCACATTGTTGTCCGAATGTATGCGCCTCGTGCTTTTGAGGCGGTGGGAAAGCCGCGTAGGTTCGATCAAAGGACTCTGCGGGCCGAGACTCGACGCGGAGGCCGGGGGGAGCAGACAACGTCCAACTCGACTGTGAACAGCTGTTGAACAGCTTCACGAGGAGCGGCACAGCGGCAGTATCACTCAGATCTGTAACGACCTCAAAGGAGTTACAGTACGTGTGGTACGCAGCAAGGAAGGGAAGGAACGCGGGAACGGCCGTGTACTTTCGTTGTGGACGAGAGCTCGTGTTGATCACGGTTCCATCCCATCACTGGGCACTCGGGAGCTCTCTTGCTCTCGAACGTCGACGTCAAGAGCGATGGCGAGCCTGAATCCGGCGTCGATGCCGTTCTTCCCGGCAGGCGCGACTGGGCGCGGTGGAGGAGGCGACGAAGATGGGCAGCATCCGGGTTATGGGCAACATTACAGCCCCACCCCGCCGCCCATGTCCAGCTCGCCGGCGGACCAGCGGGCGCGCAAGCCCTCGCCGCCGTCGCTGAGCAACTCGTTTACGTCAGCGAGCAGCGACTGGCGGCGTTCGCCGGCGCTGAACGGGCGGAGCAGCACGACGAGCAGCAGCCAGAGCCCGCCGCTCGAGGACACGCTCACACACCTCGACTCGATCCCGCCCCACGTCAGAGGCGCCGTCGGCATCAAACAGAACTTGAACGGCAGCTCGAGCGCATCTTTCCTCGGCTCATCGCCAGTCTCCTCGTCGCTCGGCTCCAGCTCTTACATCGCCTCGTCCTTTGATCTCGGCAGCCAGCAGATACCGACCTCACTCGACGCCCAACTCCGCGCCTCGCCCGTGGTTCGCGATATATTGGACCGACTTACGCGTCAAGAGACGGCGAACAGGGAAATACAGTCTGGCCTCCATGAACTGTCCCACAAGGTCGACATTCTGCTTAACGCCGGGTTGGGTAACATGAACGGCGGCGGCATCGAGTTCCAAGACCCCTTCGCACCGGCGGGCCAGGACACGCGCCTGAGCGTGTCTCCTCTAAACTCTGGAGCTCTTCCACCGTCCGCGAGACCATCCATCGCCCTGCCGCCCCGGGCCGATGACGAGATCAGCGCGCGGCTGAACACGCTCACAAACTCGGTTGGTCAGCTACTCGCGCTCTCCCAGCAGCAAGCCATCAGCGCCGGACATCTCCCTCCCCAGGTCGACATCGCGCCTAACCAGCTAGCACCGCCTACACAACAAGGTCCGCTTGGCCATGGGCTGCCGAACAGGCCCGATCTGCGGCATGGTTCGAGAACGCCGAATCCACCTATGAGGACTTGGAGTGCTGGGAGCCTGGATCTGCCTGTGCGCCCGGATCTGAATGGGATGCAGCCGCCCATGAACCGTGGAGGCCCGGATTTACTGCGTGACAAGCGCCGTTCTGTCTCGACGAACTTGATGCGTCGCGACTCCGCTGGTGTATGTCTCATCATCTGCCAACCAACTGAGTACACTGACTGATGTTTGATTCCAGGACTTGATGAACCGCGATGGTTCTGGTCCAACTATCGCCAAATGGGAGCAGCTTAACCTTGCACCTGAGCTACTTCGCTCGCTGACTAAGTTTGGCGTCGGCCCGCCTAACAAGATCCAGCAACGCGCTCTGCCCTTCCTGCTGCGTGGGGCCGACATCATAGCCCAAGCCCCTCCCACACAGGAACGTATCGCAGCCTACGTGATACCCGCGATCCATGTCGCCCTCGTCAATGGTGCCGGACGCCCTCCCGTATCTGGTCCCATCGTCGTGATGGTTAGTACGACCGTCGACCAGGCGACCCAGGCCCAACGCATGATTCGTGACCTTGGTGGTCCGATAGGCGTACGCTCAGCTCTAGGCGTGGGTGCGGCCACCAACGACCTCAGCGCCGAAGTTCGCCTGCTTACTCAGAGCATGCCGCATATCCTGTGCGGCACACCTCAGAAGCTGCACGCATTCTTCACTGCTCCTGGTGGCCTGTCCGGCGCACACGTTCGCTTCCTTGTGCTGGATGAAGTCGACCAGCTCATTGCGCGCAACTTGCACGATTTCATCTTCAATATCGTCAAGCTGCTCCCGCCTCCCCGATCGCGACCCATCTCGGCTGGTACAGGCTCCTCGCCAGCTGTCCCTGGTTCAGGACCCGCCTCGAGTCAACTGTCTGCCTCGCTCGATGCCCTCGGGGCATTCTCTCAGGGCGCAGGGAGGCGCTTCAGCACCTCGCCTATTCCGCCCGAAGCCTCACCTCAGTCAAACACTGGAGCTATCGAGCGTCAGACGGCGTTATTCAGTAACACCGTCCCCCAAGACGTGCTGAATCTTGCGACCGCTATCCAGCTCCGCGAGCCTGTGCGAGTCCTTGTACGCAGGGACGGAAATGGCGCGACGCCCGAGGCAGGCGGCACGGCGAGAGGTCTGAGGCAGTTCTATCTGTACCTTGCCTTCACAGCTTTCCCGACCGGTCGGTCGGGTTCCAACGCTGCTGAGCAAGGACTGGGTATAATTGGCTCCGGTCGCGGCGCAGGCGGAGGAGTCGAGAGTCAGCAAGCTCGCGAATGGAAGCTTGATGCGCTGTGCGATCTGCTTGACGATGTCCAGGCTACTCACGCGATCGTACATGTCGGAGGTCTCGCAGCGCTCGACGCGGTCGTGTACAAGCTCGCGGCGCATGGACTCGAGGCCGTGCCTCTTCATGGCGACATGAATTCCTCTGCGAAACTTTCGGCACTGCAACGTTTCCGTGCCGGACCCGTTGGCATAGCCAACTCTGTCCTCCGTGCGCCAGCTCCTCCTGCAACGCGTGTACTCGTGGTATACGACGTTCAGGTGAAGCCGCCTGAGGTCGCACACGTCCCGCTCGTGGTGAACTACGATTTGCCGAAGGCGGTCGAGGAATACGCGCATCGCGTGCAGGCGGCCGTCGCGTCGGGCAATGCGTCGAGACCCGGAGTTGTAGTCAATTTTGTGACGGCAACGGGTGGAGATGTGGAGATGCTCAGGTCGATAGAGTGTTTTTACAAGATCAAATGCGTCAGTGACCTTCCGTGTGATTTTTTTCAAACACTGACCATAAATTCACAGCCGGAGGTGCCAATCACCCTCCGTGACATTATTTGAACACCAAATAACGAACAACAAACCGGATTCAACCTCACGCTCCGTCCAGCTCATCCTTGAACCCTTCTTGTATCCCTATAACGCACACACCCTCCTATTCCCCATCACCTTGCTCATCTTCATCATCGTCTTCATTAGCTCTTCGCTTGCTGTTTCTCGTCACGTACAAGGTGCACCCGGTCAATACCCTCTCATCCTTGATGCCGGCTTGCACACTCGATTTCGTCCTAACGCTTCATGAAAACTGTCTCAATAAACGGCTCTAAGCCGACCCGTCTGCTGCTTGCTGTCTCGATTCATCGCTTCAATGCTTCCCCCACTGTATAATTTAGCCCTGCCTGCCCATCTACATCCCTCATACCGTATGCCTTTGAACTATCCCGCCCCCATCCCTCCTGCGCTTCGTTACCCGAACGACCCCCGCTTGCTGACTGGATATCCGCATTCTTCTGTCTCCATCCATTGATCTCGTTTGCTGATCACCCTTGTGTATACTTTTGACTATCGCTTGCCTTCGTTGTGCTTCTCTCAGCGCGGAGGAGTACGCGGAGAGACCCATGTGTATCGCTTATTTTTATCCCGAGCATACTGGTGTGAATTTGTGAGATTAGGCCATGCGGCGAGATCATAGAATGAACGAGAGACAAACAACAGAGTGCTTGCAAGGCCAAAAAGGTGGGCAACGCGTGAACTCAGCGACTCCGTCCGCGACGCCCTCTCCCATACTCATGTGACCGCGTCAGCCAGCACTCTCGCAAGTGAGCGAGCACATCTTGGTCTCGACTCCCTCCTGTCCTCCGGTAGTATCATGGCCAACCCGACTACAAGCACATACCGCGCCATCGTGCGCGAGGTCTCCAAGGCAGTGAGTAGCGCCCCAGCACCCCTTTGTCATATGGTTAACAGCTCCGCGTCTTGCAGTCTATATTCCCTCGCGCGGGCCGCAATAAGGAAATTGCGGCGAGCTTCCGTGCCGTGGCTGCTAAACGCACCACACAAGAGTGCGCGGACTGGCATCTTACCAATGCATTGACTTTCATGCGCGCTCAACGCACACACAAGGTACTTCCTACCTTCTGCGTTGAAGTCGATTGGTTGCTGACTTGGACGCAGGAGTTGCTAGACCGGTATAACCCGCTGGTGGATCTCACGGCTGAGGAGAGGATAGAGGCTACTGCGAGAAGAGTCGGGTTGAATATGCCTATCACGCCGGAGGGAGAGGGCAAGAAGGGCGAGGAGTAATGGATATGGATATGCTTGTCCGTATGTCTATCTGCTTTGCTCACTTGCTCTCGATATATCTAGACCCCAATTACTTCACACGCTATATATTGCGTGTAATATCATGACCCAGTGCATGCTCTATTCTGCCTTCGTACCCTCGAGAGCTCCCGAGTCATCCGTCCCCATGCCGGTGGGAATTGTGGCCCCACTACAGGATGCATCAGTATCAACGCCGCCCCGGCGGGCCAAGACATCTTGCTTCCAACTCTCAGCACGCTGGAGGCCGATGGCCGACTTTGTACAATCCACGGACATGGCTGAGTTCCGCAAAGCGCTTGCATCCTCTAAGCACATCATCGCCGTCGCGGGCGCTGGTTTGTCTGCTGCATCCGGTCAGTATCGTGTGACATCACTGAGGTCCTAGGATCTCCAGGATGCAAGTTATGCTCATACTTTGTACTTACCTGTGCTCAGGTATACCCACCTTTCGCGGCGCCGGAGGACTGTGGCGTACGCATGATGCCATGTCGCTCGCCACACCGGAAGCCTTCCGCAAGAACCCGTCCAGGGTCTGGCAGTTCTACCATTATCGTCGCGAGACGTAAGTTTCCCCCGATCACTTTTGCGCTACATGCCTGACGTCTCTTGATACCGAACAGGGCACTGAAAGCTCAACCAAACGCAGCCCATCACGCACTTGCTGCGTTCTCACTCCCCTCTGTTCGTTCGCTGATTGCGCCGAACGCCACGTTCACGTTGATCACACAAAACGTCGATGGCCTTTCTACTCGCGCTATGGAAACCGCACTATCGTCCCAAACCGCGACACCGCACCCTCATACGGACAAGATGCTGGAGATGCACGGTCGGCTCTTTGAAGTACAATGCACCGAGAAGCGCAAATGCGGACATGCTGAATTGGACTTCAACTCTCCTCTAGTTCCCGCGCTCGCTGGTACAGAGAGTACGGCGGAAGAAGCTAACATAGAACAGAAGGACCTGCCAAGGTGCAAGAAGTGCGGGGCGTTGGCCAGGCCTGGTGTTGTCTGGTTCGGGGAGGTTCCGAGGTACATGGACAAGATCGAGGAGCTAGTCCAGGATGCGGATCTATGTCTTGTAGTGGGCACTTCTTCCACAGTGAGCCCTCCTTGCTTAATGTAGATGTGAGATGGCTGAGACGTGCTATGTATAGGTCTACCCTGCCGCGGGATATGCGCAAGATGTACAGGGTCATGGAGGAAAGGTTGCAGTGTTCAATCTGGATAGAAGCCAGGGCGACGAGGAGGCGGACTTCCTGTTTTTGGGTGGTTGTGAACAGACGCTCCCCGAGGCCCTCGGGCTGACTAGAACGACGGCTGACGCTGGGGCATGATGCGCCCAAATGCCTTGGCATGTGGTATAAGCGCTCTCGCGCGGACAAATGGGTTCATTCGCTGTATGTGATGTTGAATCGCGGGTGCTTGAGCCAACAATGTGTAATTGTGGTTGATATGGTACATCATACATCAGGGTGCTACAGTCCTCAACGTGATATGCGAAGGCCTAGTATGAGAACAGGTTACATCGTTGACCCGTATGTCAGCTACGACCTGCGGCCGTGTTGAAGATAGTCGATCAGGTCCTCTGCGCCATGGATCGCGATCGCCACCTGTATAGTATAGGACAACACGTAAGTCAAATTGAGTGCTCAACCGTGCGCTCGCATGCTTACGCTCGTGAGAGTGGGGTTGCAAGCTGTCGAGTCCGGGATACAGCCGTTGCCGCCAATCCACAGATTCGTGTAGCCGTGTACACGCGACTGAGCATTCGCGACAGATGTGTCGGGATTGTTACCAATGCGCGTCGTTCCCTGTAAGAATTATATTCAGATACATCAGGGTTCTGTCTGTGTCAGACCAAAGTGCGTACGGTGATGTGCAAAGCAAGACCCATCGGCTGCATATGGTATGAGTGATGAGTATCAGCACTGAACATTGTACTATAGCGTCATACCATGATTTGTGGCTCCGAGCCGGGAATGAAGCCGCCCAAAAGGCTGGCGACATCGGTCATATCTTTCACCATCTTGTTTTCGCGCTCGCGATCGGCGTCGCTCTTGACAAAATTGAACTGACGCGCGAGTTAGCCTTCAACAGGTGAAGATGCCCTATTCGCACACTTACCGTGACGCGCGGCATTCCGAATCTGTCATACTTGTATTCATCCAGCGTGATGCAGTTCTCCTGCTGTACGTCGTTCCTGCCGTAGAACCGGAGATCTACGACGACTCGGGGGTCGATCTCCGGGCGAACCCCAGTGAAGAACGCGTTGCGGTCAATCAGCGCGATATAGCCGTTCTCCGTCCGATACTTGAGGTAAATCTGTGGCTCAGGGTCGTTGAACGGGATGGGGAGCGGATCCTCAGGGTGTCTGCCATGATGTTTTGAAACCGCGTTCTTGAACTTGGGGTCCTTCTCGATGTCGTCGATGATTGAGCGCTTGAGTACGACTTGGCAGAATGCCATAGTCTGTTCACTCAGATAATGCCCCAAGCTCCGAGGGGGACTGCCTCCCACAGAATATCTAAAGCTATTGAAGAGCACCTGTGAAGTGCCGATTGCCCCGCAGGCCACGACGACTGCCTGTGTGCAGATGTTACGATGATATACTCGACACTGATGAGCAGTGACTACGAACCTTCCTGGCCGTCATGAACCAAAACCGTTGCCCTGACGGGTCCGATATATCACTGGCGCTCCCCACATCAACCGCGAAGACGTTATCGATGTTTCGTGGGTCTCGCGACACTGTATCATCATAGTGGCTGACCCCCGTGACTAGCGCCTCTGTGAGAAGCCTATACTTCACCTTCTCGTTCGGATCCTTCGTCGCAGTGAATCTGACTCCGCCAAGAATCGTATCAGCACCAGTCCAGGTGTAAATGTTTTCTTCGCTCCGCTTTGAACGCCTCACGGCCAGAGGCGTATTGGTGATCTTGTCGGCGCCAAGGTTGCTCGTGAGGATGTCCTTAACGACTTGATGCCGGATAGAGTCGTCATACTGGTCGGTCCGAACCTTGAGTAAGTTACGCGCACTCCAGAGCAAGCGCTTGAATGTCTCTCTGTCGATTGGGTTATTCTTCTTCTCCGCATCATCCGGATCGGCTGTATTAATCGACGTTGAACGCGTCAGCAATGCATACAACACCATCAGGTTAAGAACGTACGGCAAGCGCAAGTCCAATGAGCGCCCATTCCACCGACTGTCTTCGATACGGCGGCGGCCGGAAGGTTCATATTACGCGCCTGGCCTGGGTTCTGCCATTGATGTGCGAAGGCTTCGTCGTTCGGCGGTGTCCAGCACACGCTAGGGAGTGTTGAGAGGTATGGATCGGTCTCAGGGATCGACACGGGCTCTAAACTAGCATTGATATATGGCACTGAAATACGGGCTCAGGTTTCCGTATCATACTGAGAAGCATCGCGAACACTCACCGAATGCGTCTGGGTTCTTCAGATACCTGTGAACCAGGAGATACGCGTCAGTTTGGGGCAAGATGCAATATGTTATGTTTAATTCACCGAACAGCGTTCTTGTGGTGAGCACCGATGATAGGGTCCTCTTGCGATCCTGCTTCGACCATAATGATTGACGCATTGGGCTGTTGAGACGCAATGATACGAGCATAAGTAGCTCTGGCAAAAATAGGTATATATCAGCGGCAGGGTAGTGGATGCAGTATATCAACCAAATTTACCCGATAGGGCCACTCCCAACAATAATCACATCCGCCTCGAGGTACTCGTGGTGATAATGGGCTCCAGCTTCGATGCGGTCAGCCAATTGCTGAAGAAAGTGATTATTCGATTGGCGTAGCCGGGCGATGAGTTCCGATCCAGACATGTTGGTGAAGACGTCGAGAGATGTACTACTGGTGACAAGACTGCTGGTTGGTGATTTCGTGGACTGGTATAGATATACGTCGGCTTGCAACAGGCGCAAAAGACGCGCCGTATAACATCCGATGTCTACTCCACATCGCAGTTGTAGGATGTTGTCCTGCGCGGCTGCCATCTACCTTCTGCGATTCATTCGTACATCTACGACTGACGTTAGAAGTGCTTTCGATAGCGTCTTTTGACCAAATGAAGACTGACCTCGCTCCCATGAGCCCATGCCCATCTTCCGGGACATTCCGGAGGCACCAAGACTTGATGCCGTCTATCTCTCAGAGCAATGGAAGGCTCGTACGTCCGGTAAGCAGTTATCACCGATCATGACTCATGGGAAAGGATGTGGTCAGAGGGACAACAGAGAAGTAATGCTCTCGTACTCTAGTATGATCAAGTCTTCGAGTGTCAAGTCCGGATACTAAGACATATGGACATGATACAATCGGGCACGCAAAGGGCAAGAGGCGTCGCAATATCAGGCAGTGTGGAATCATCCGTAGAGCTTACACGGGGCATATAGAATCGTTGTGATCTCGATGTACCACGTGGTGGCAAGTCATCGCAGAAAGCTACACCCCTGCACAGCATGTATTATGACGTAGAGCCGACGATAGTGTACTGACAGGAGACTGCGGTAGACAATAAGAATCATGAACCTGTGAAGAAAGTCAGCAAGCGCGGCAAGTGAACTTGTATTTTGACTCACGCCTCGACACCGGTTTTGACCTCCCTCTCGGCACAGGTGCGCTCGGCACTTTCTCCTCCTGGAGCTCCTCCAATCGTTTCGACGTCGATCCCCAGGTCTCCAACACGAGTTCAAGTCCAGGCTTGCGTCCGTTGCTTGACCCGTACAGCGCTTCAAATATAGCCTCTGAACGTGCGACGTTCTGGCGTATATTCTGGGCCTGCGTCACAATAGCGACTGGGCGTACGGCCGGTTGCTGGCGCCGCCGTGCAATGTCGTTTATCAGGTCTGGGTAGGATTTGCGAGGTTCGGAATTCGTAGAGTGTAGGTTTCCGGCAGGCATCTCTACAAAAGCCTCATCTATCTTTCGGTCCAGATTCTCGGGCGTAACAAAGTCGCGCGATTGGTGGTATAGAGAGATAAGCTGGCGCAGCTTTTCAGCAGGCAGTTGAAAGCGCGGTGGTTGTCCCGAGGTCGTGGGAGTGCCGGATGAAGAGGGCGTTTTGGTGGACGCCGCGCGTAGTAAAAGGCGCTTGGGCAGTACAGCAGCGCGCCGAGCGGCGGAGCGTGCTGTAACGAGCGTCATGGCGGTAGGGAGCAGACTGCAGAGCGCGTCGTGAGGTGCGGAAAGCTGGCAAGTCGCGTCGTGCACGTGCCACCCGTGAGTATCTCAGCCGGACCCAATCGGCATCGTCTCTTGCTTTACGACGTCGACGGTCCTCCGCTATACTCTTCAAGATGAGCGCCATGCTGACAGGTGGTCATAATGCGATATCTGTATGGTCGAGATCGACTTCGGAGACTTTCTAGCCCGTTCTCCATCCGGCGCTTCAAGCCAAACCTCCCATCCTATCTGTCACCTCAGCAATGGCGTACCAGTGCATCATCTATCTATGCTTCCTTTCGTATGCTACGAATAGCTGTACGTTGATGCGTGGGTGCAGTCGTGCCTAATATGTGCATGGATGTCGAAGGTGGGGTGTGAAGCCGCATTGAAGCGAGGCATGGGACGTCGTTCCCATCGTTCTGGGTGGCTTCTGGGTGAGCGTGTGTGTTTGTCTGGCCGCACATGTTCACATCGAGGCTTGAGACCCTTATGGAAGTAGGGCTTGAGTATGTGAGCGAGGCGATTCGGAAGGTCGCTCAAGTTGGCGTTGGGTGCTCTTATTTAGCGTCAGACTGCACAACCCGGGCTGGCCTTTGCGAAGGAGGGATGGAGAGCATACCATCAGCATCTGCTCCCGGTATGCTGTGCTAGAGATCCCAGTCGTCTTCTGCAAACTCAGCCCGATTTTCTGCCGAGTCCTGCCGCATAACCACACACCACCTCTGTTGGCACTATCTCCAGGCCGTACGCCAGCTTCAAGATCCGAAGCACATCTCTCCATCGAGGCCATGCTGTACCGTGTCATTTGGGCTTAGTTGCGGGAAGAATCAGTATGGTTTTGGTCGTCATCGCCCTTCTCCATCTCGGCGCGAGAGAAAAGTCAGCGTGCTTCTCCAGCCGGCACGCGCTCAGTCCGGTATATTCGGGAAGCTGGCTTCTGCTGATCACGATGCATGACGACTTACGAGCCTTGCGTACTTGTATAAATACCTTTGATTGCGAGGAAGGCATCGTCAGGACTCCCAGTTCTAAACTCAGCCTCCCAGCTCGTGTTCAGTCTCTCGCACACTCTCGCAATGAAGTTCTCCGCTTCTCTTTTGGCCCAGATCGTTCTTGCGACGACCGCGTTTGCTGCGCCATCGAGCAAGGAACGCCTCGCTAGTCGCGTTGCGCGCCGTGAGGCTGGGCGTCTGTCCTCTCAGCCCAAGATCCCCGGCTCTGGCCTCGTGCCCACCCCCGAGACTACTAACTCTACGCACCCTACTGAGTTCTCTTCGAACTGGTACTGAACTTTGATATGTTTCACGATCTGAAAGTAGTCCACTGAAACGACGTACATTCAGGTCTGGCGCCGTCTTGATCGCTGGTAGCGGTACCTTCAAGACTGTCACGGGTACCTTCACCGTCCCGACTCCCCGCGAGCCCTCGGGCAGCACCAGCAGCCACTCTTCCTCCGCGTGGGTCGGCATTGACGGTGACACTTGCGGTAGCGCCATCCTTCAGACCGGTGTCGACTTCACGGTCAGCGGCACCAGAACCTCGTTCGACGGTTAGCAGCGGATCCTGCTTTCATAAACGCTATACCAATTGATCGCGATTTTAGCTTGGTTCGAATGGTTCCCGGCTGCTGCTGTAGATTTCACTGGCTTCTCCGTTAGCGCCGGTGACTCCATCACTGCCACGGTCACGGCATCCTCGACTACCTCCGGCACGGCGACCCTCACGAACCACCGCACGGGCGCCAGCGTCTCGCACTCTTTCACGCGCCAGCCTGCTTTATGCCAGGAGGTAAGAATGATGAGATTTTCAAGGTTTCGCCGAGCTAAGTCGGGGTTTCCGCTAGAACGCCGAGTGGATTGTCGAGGACTTTGAGGAGGGAGGTTCGTACTTTTGTTCAATAACTATTGCACATCCCTGATGGACGTCACACTAGGCTCCCTTGTACCGCTGAGCAACTTTGGGACCGTTACTTTCACCGGTGCCAGTGCTGGCGGCGCCTCTCTCTCTGGTGCCACGATCATCAACATGGAGCAGAACGGCCGTGTTCTCACCAGCGCATCGGCTAGTGGCAGCAGCGTCTCTGTCGAGTACACTGGTCCTTGAGCTTTGAAATTAGTCAAACAGCTCCGCATCTGTACGTAGCTTTACCCTCGCAGTCAAGAATGGTGATTCTGAATCGCCGACTTTAGCCCTCACCAAGAACTCTCTCAGTTTGACAGGAACTCCTTTCAATCCTTTCGTACACGCCGTCAAACTATAGTTTTACCTGAGGAATACACTTGTACACTTGTTTATTTTGCGTGCATCCGGGCGTGGTCCAATAGCTACGCCCACGAAAAAGGGGAGGATAGCTTGACGTGAGGTGACGCGACGCAGCGACTCACGTGAGCGCGTTTGAAACCTCGGGCCGCTCGCGCCGAGGAGCATTGGTCCGTTCTATTCTTAGCCAGGACTCTGATCCGACGCCGGCTGCAATCTCTTCGCGGCGTTGGGCGTTGGGCGTTGGGTTTCTGAGTGCTAGTGAGGTTTGAAGACGAAGACCTTACGTCGAACGAGCTTTGGGTAGCCATACAGCGTAATTGTTCCTTTGAGGCATGGGGAAGAAGCAGAACGACATTCACAGGTACTTCTTAAACCAGTCCACGGCATTCTTGAAAGCCTCCTCCTTCGCGGCTTTCACGACCGGGTTGCTTATGTCTCCCTTCACCTGGGAATAATCGATTCAGTACATACGCGGCATCTAGAGGTACCAGTATAAAGATACCCACAGCGAATCCGTGAGATACGCCCGCAAAGTAAGCACGTTTGTAGCCAGGCGCGAAATCTTTGAGCACCTCATCTGCCTTTGCCTGCTTTTCAGCCGGGAACGGCGCGTCGGTCTCGCAGCTGTTAATGAGCAACGGTGCCTTCGCCTCAGTGGCATACCTCTGCAGAGCACTCGAATTAGTGAGAGCACAATGGGACGGGCGTCAAGACACGCACGTCGAGGTCCTCCACTTGCAGGGCCGAAGGGTGCGTTACGACCGATACATGGCCTTCACCCTCGAATGCGAGATCGAAAACGAGACGAGCACCGTAGCAGTACCCAGTTAGTCCAAATCGGGTGACGCCCTGTGCCTTGAGCGCGTTGATGACGTCGCGTGCGATACCGGCGGTATGCTTGAAGTTATGCTTTTGGTGCCAGGTCTCCCGGTCGAACGTAGGAGGAGCGTCGACGGGTCTTGCGTCCCCCTCGAAGATGTCAGGGCACACGCATTTGAGACCGTTGCGCGCGAAGGCGTCGATGATCAAAGGGTTGTTTACCAACGCTAGGCCGAAGACGTCCGGAAGGAAGATAACGACCTTGTCGGCCGCAAAGTCGCCTTCGGGTGTCGCGGTGTAGCAGTTCCAGCCCCCGATCTCTTCGTATTTCCCTAAAGACACGACATCAGCACGCCGCCGAAAGCGCTTATCATCTGACACGGTAGTCATAGATGATTTCCCGATGTTGATATACTCACCCGTCGGCGAACCTTCGTGGCGCACAGCTACCAACGGCAACGGCGATGAGTATAATCCCTATGGCGCCTTTTGATGCAGGAGTCGATAGACCCACCCGTGAAGCAGTCGTCACAGAAGCCGTCGGTATTTGACATGATGCGTGGGGATGTTCGAATTGGGTGGTCAGAATGCGAGAGGGAGAAGGAGAGGAAGAGGGCTGCGTGCGGGAAGATCAAGTGACAGTACTTATACAGGGATCGAGGTCCCAATCAAGGTGGTAAAGCCGGCAGCGAAGGGGGATACTCTTCCATCCCACAGATTCCCGGCGTCGTGTGGCGCAACGAGCTCACACGGGGTCCAGCGGTGAAGAACTCGCGCCGACGGCAGAGAAAAGCCTCGACGGAACGCCATACATTTCCCAGGGCGTATCGTTTCCGCGGCGCGTGTTCGATGTGCGCACCCCGCACTGTGAGTGGCTGCGATAATGGGGCAAGCTATGTATAAGTATCGGCCGTCGGAAGCGCGACAGAACCCTTGTCGCCCCTCTTGTTCATGGCCGTTGAGGAAAAGGCAGGCTTGGAGTCCCAAGCTACGACGCCCACTGCCGCTGCACCAACCGACGCGGCTCGGCGCATAGACATCGACGTTGGGGAAGACGACGCCCACCTTCGAAAGCACTGGTACCAGTTATGGTTTGTGACCGCTCTGATCGCCGATAGCCAAGCTTGCTTACGGCCATCACCAGGCTGCCCAAGAACCCTCCGCCCGCTTCTCCGCCTTCATTGGATGATGCTAAGGTAGTACACCTCCCACAGTGTAGACACTTGTCTGATGATACGCACAGATCATACCTTTGGCGTCTGCCAATTTCTTCTCACAGCTCACGTACCAATGGATTACCCCAATCATGGTGCGTCGCTATGGCGTACAGTATGTTCATCACAGCTCTGATGTATGATATGCAGACCCTCGGTTGGCAGCGTTCGCTGCAGGCAACCGACCTCTGGAAGATGGACCCGTCCCGCGAAGTCGCGAACACATCGCATAACCTTGAGCAGGCCTGGGTTCTCCGCGTCCAGAAGGCGCAAGCCTGGAACGCAAAACTCGATTCTGGAGAGGCCCGTCCTGGTTATGCTCGCTCTTTACTCTGGCACCTCAAAGCCCTGCGTCATTTATCGAAGTACGGCGGGACGCTGCAGGCCTACGAGGCCCGGTGGCGCGCACTCGATGGCCGCGCCGCTCCCAGCTTAACATGGGCTCTCAATGATGTATTCGGGTTCAACTTCTGGATGGGCGGTGCTTGCAAAGTCGTGTCAGACACGTCCCAGCTCATGATGCCTTTGCTCATCAAGGCCATTATCAACTTTGGCAAGAGTCGCGAGGCGGGAGATACAGAGAACATCGGCGACGGCGTTGGGATGGCGATTGGATTATTCCTTCTCGCCATCATGGTGTCAGTCTTTCAACACCAGTTCTTTTGGCGCTCCATGTCGACAGGTGTTCTTGTCCGGGGTTCATTGACGTCGATGATCTACAAGCGTGGTGTAAAGCTCACGCCTGAGGCTCGAGGAAGCATGCCGAACTCGCGCCTCGTGAACTTTGTCTCGTCAGATGTGCGTCTTCCTTGTCAAACATCACTGTTAACACTTGACTAAACGTGCTTTTAGATTAGTCGCATAGATGCATGTGCTCAGTGGTTTGTGAGTCGTCTTAAAATGCCCTGCAGACATTCACCGACTTACTGAATCATGTAGCATCCGGCCTGGACCGCTCCAATTCAGGCGACAGTCTGCCTTATCATATTGATAGTCCAACTTGGTCCCTCGGCTCTCGCTGGCTTCGCTTTGTTTGTGCTCATCGTGCCCCTCCAAGTGAGCGTGGATGCCAGTCTCGATTTCTTCAACTCTTGAACTAACGCACCGCCCACAGCGCTTCATCATGTCTCGGCAGTTCAAGTTGCGCAAGGCATCTATTGCTTGGACCGACAAACGCGCGAAACTCTTGCTGGAGATTCTTTGTAAGTCCGTTGATCGAAATCTCAATCACTGTCACTAATGTCCCCGAAGCGTCCATGCGGATTGTCAAGTACTTCACCTATGAAAAGCCCTTCCTCGCACGTGAGTCCTCTACGTTTCCGTACATTGACTGGCTCTCATTCTCTCTAAACAGGTATTTTCGAGTTGCGCAAGCAGGAGCTCAAAGGTGTCGTGCGAATCCAGTTTGCTCAGTCTGCTAAGTGCGTATCATCGTCTCTCTTGCACCGGCTCTCTCTGACTTGACTATTACAGCTACGCCCTCGCCTTCTCGTTGCCCGTCCTCGCCGCGTCCTTGGCCTTCGTCACATACTCGGAAACGCACCCAAACTTCGATCCGGCCGTCATCTTCTCTGCGTTCTCGCTTTTCAATTTGCTCCGCCAACCACTACTCTTTCTGCCCCGCGCGCTATCCACCGTCGCCGATGCACAAAATGCGATCGTGCGGCTCACGGAGTTGTTCCTCTTGCCAACCATGTCCGAAACGCCTCTGCTCATCGACCCATCCTTACCAGTTGCGCTATCTGTCAATGACGCGACATTTCAGTGGCAGCAGGTGCAGGAACCAGAGGACAAGAAGGGGCGGAAAAAGAGCAAGGCAGTGAGGAGGAAGGAAAAGAAGGAGCTACTCGCTCAGAAGATCAGAGAGAAGGAGGCCGATGCTGCTTCGGAGAAGACACATACCGGCGACGACATCGACTCACATACTCTGGACGAGAAGGCCAGCCTTCGAGATGTCGGACGTGATGTGCCTTTCTCGATGCGCCACCTCAACTTCGAGGTTCCCCGCGGCTCACTCGTAGCTATCGTCGGCAGCTTCGGCAGCGGCAAAAGCAGTTTGCTTCAGGGTCTGCTTGGTGAGATGACGCGTACGCGCGGAGAGGTCACGTTTGGCGGCACCGTTGGATACTGTCCTCAAAGCGCCTGGGTTCAGAACGCCACACTGGTGAGCTTATATATATCGTATCGTGTTCTCATGCTTACAAGTGGTTACTTCGTTTATAGCGCGACAACATAGTCTTTGGTCAACCTTGGGACGAGGACAAATACTGGAAGGTCATCGAGAACGCCTCGCTCCTCGCAGACCTTGACGCACTGCCTGCGGGTGATCAGACGGAGATCGGCGAGAAAGGCATCAACCTCAGTGGAGGTCAGAAGCAACGCGTGAACATTGCCCGGGCGCTCTACTTCGATGCCGATATCATCATCATGGACGACCCGCTATCCGCAGTCGACGCTCATGTTGGACGCGCTTTGTTCGAAAATGCCATTCAGGGCTACCTACGCGCGCGCGGCAAGACCATCATTCTCGTCACACATGCGCTTCACTTTCTACCCGGTTGTGATTACGTCTACACGCTCTCTGACGGTCGCATCGAGGAGCGCGGGACGTACAAGGAGCTCATGGGCCGCAACGGCGAGTTCTCACGGCTCATGCACGAGTTCGGTGCGCACCAGGACGAGGAGGAAACGGAGGAAGATGAGATCGAAGAGGAGGCTCCAGTAAAGGCCAGAGTCATCGACGTCCGCGACATGATGGCCAAGGCTGCGCGTCATACGCCCAAGTCCGGCGGCAAGCTTGAGGGTCGTCTAATCGTCGGCGAAAAGCGCAACACCGGACACGTCAGCCTCGGCGTTTGGAAGGAGTACTGGAAGGCTGGACATGGCAAATACCTTCTTACCCTCGTCGCGCTGTTCTCTATCCTGGGACAGGTTTCCCAAGGTCTTAACGGCTTCACGCTCGTCTGGTGGCAAGAGAAGTGAGTCTGATATCTTCGCGCAGGTGATGATGTAACTCAACGACGTTCAACCCTACAGCACTTTCGACAAAAGCTTCCACTTTTACCAGGGTCTTTACGCTGGGCTCGGCATTGCCAATGCGCTCTTCACGTTGTTCATGGGCATCACCCAAGACCTGCTCGGCGTCTATGCCTCACAGAACCTACATCACCGCGCTCTACGTAATGTCTTCATGGGCAAGATGTCCTTCTTTGACACGACCGTGAGTTATTTATTTGTCAACACGGTCCGTGTGACTGACACTCTTTTCAGCCCCTTGGTCGCGTCGTTGGTGTATTTGGTAAAGATGTAGACGCCCTCGACAACCAGCTCCCTGCTTCGATGCGCATGTGTATGTGTCGTTTCTCGGCATGTTAATCTTCCCGCCTGACCGATCTCTTAGTCTTGCTGTCATTCTCCAACTTGCCTAGTTCTATCGTCATCATCACCATCATCGAGCATGTAAGCTGCTTAAACCGTCTGCCTTTCCCTTCATTGACACCCTCGGTAGTACTTCATCATCGCTGCCGCCGCTATTCTCTGCATCTACGTTTTTCTCGCGCAGTTTTACGGCTCTAGCGCACGCGAGATCAAACGCTTAGGTGAGTTTCACCCGTTCATCGTACTGCGTGGACGCTCTTTTGACCGTCCACCCTGGTAGACTCGATGCTGCGCTCTTATCTCTATGCTCACTTCACGGAAAGTCTGTCTGGCTTACCCACCATCCGTTCTTATGGCGAGATCCCGCGCTTCATCCGCGACGAGAATTACTATATTGATCTCGAGAATCGGGCTCTATTCCTTACTGTCACGAACCAACGCTGGTTGGCCATCCGTTTGGATAGCTGTGGTGCTGTCTTGACTTTTGTGGTACGTCTTCTAATGGGAGCATATGCATACATGATCCTCACCACACGTACAGGTTGCAATCATGGCCGTCGTTGGACTAAAGGGAGTAACTGCC